CCTTCATGCAGGAGTCTCACCGCCTCTTGGGTCTCGCAGCAATACCGCATGTACCTAAGAAAGGCACGGCCGCACAAAAGCGACAGCTCGGGATCACAAGACATTGCGAAAGCAGTGCCAGTTTCGCGATATCGAGCCAAGTATATCAGGATTCGGACTCGGGCTCGTACGGTCAACCCTGGGCCCTACGTAGTACTCAATCAATCCCTCCCAATATGGTCACCGCCAATTCCATGTGCCTTGTTGTTTGCCACGCCCTCTGATTCCTCACGCGTCTCAACCTCAGCGTCCAATTGTGCCCGGATAACCACTGTCAATGGAGGATGCTTGTTGACGAGCGAGCCTCTTTTTACTTTTGATCAAACAAGTCCCAACGGTCGGATGTCGGGCTGAAGCAGCATGAAGCTCCTACCAGGCGAGGAGAGGAGACCTACCACTTCAATCTACATCTCAAAGCCTGCTAACATGTTCGAGAAGTCTACTGGTCCACCTAATCGCTCTGTCGCGATATTCGTGACGCTTACCTAGTAAGTAAGAGGTGACAGAGGGTACGAGGACATCTCATGGCCTTCGACCCCTAAGCATGTTTTTCTCGACCAGGTTGATTTATCCCAGACTCCGCTCCTCAGCTAGCCTCCTCAAATCAATTACCACGCGCGCGGGTACAGTACAGTAGTGTGGTTGCCCAGGTTTATCTTCTGTGAGTATCCTGAGCGTCCTCAATCCCCCATAACCATAACAGTGCCATAAGTCTATGTCCGCCCACCCACCCATCCTCGCATGGACAATACTTCCCGCCACGCACTTACTCAGCTCCTCATGCCGCCCTCCTGTAGACAGGGTTGGGACCCAGTTGATCTCCTCATACCACCCTCGATGGAGGCAGACTACAGACTACAGCGTTGGGACCCTAAGCCTGGCTATGTCTCTCTCTGTGTCCGCGTCGGCATACCTATACAACCCGCAAACACGCCGTCCAGCGCACTTACGGACCCGCGTCGCACATTTCAGCCTCGGCTCCCTTTCGACCAGCGCGCTCAGAATACTGTGGTACTAGGGGACATGACCCGCTCGTTTGCCTAAGGACTGGAGCGCCACCAGCATTGTTCTACCACGGTATGACGGTACGACGCTCGAAATAGCGTGTCAATGGTACGCTTTGCCTGAACATGTCTCTCGTCCAGTCCGCTAGAGGGGGGGGGTCGCGGTCTTCCATGGGAGACGCTTTCCGTGGTAGGGCAGGGCAGGGCAGGGCAGAGAAGAAACATACAAGAAGGCGTAAGAGGACCGAGATCGAGTGAGCAAGCCCACAGTCGTTCGTGTGATTCGTGTGGTGAGGCATACCTTCCGCTTCCCCCTCCCCCCTCCATGCCCCCACGCCATGTGAGGCAGGCAGGCCGGCAGGCATAGACGCGCATGAGCAGCAGAAAGCATACAGCATATATATATAGTTATAGCTGAGGGACTTGGATAATCAGACTTGACTTCAGATGATAGTGGTGCCCTAACACAAGAGTTGGTTATGAGGATATACATTGACTAAGCGTGACGCTCTTGTTTCGTACATGCTCCCTACATAAATACATATGTACGGGTTGCTTTATTATATGCTTATATGTTCATACGATCACGCGGTCCCACGCTGATCCGTTGACACGCTCACACACTCTCACACTCACATAGTTACATGGTTAAACAGTTACACACCTGCATATATATACACTTAGACATTTACATCTAAGGCTCGGGAAGTATAACAAATATCTGAGCACTCTTATACTATAGAGATAGGGTTAGGAGCTAAGGATAGGTCTATAGCCTAGAAATAGCGCATGAAGCAGCGCATTTCACACACGTGCATGGAAATTATAATCGGGACTATATATACTCGGCCTCGGGGTCCTTTAATCAGACTTTAGATCATCTCATGGCCATGACAGCCACGCACGGTGTAGAGTTTATAGTATATAGTATAGCACACACCACACACCACACACCACTCTATAGATCCACAATAATTATCGTCTCTCTTTTGTCTCGCACCGCTGTCCGCCCGTAGCACTTTGGCCGGCCCCTCGGATGAGCCGATGCAATTAACGGGCTACACCCGAAACCGGAAACAGGACTATCGTAATGAGAGACGGGACAGAGGTGAGGAGATGAAGACAGTGTAGAGTAGTTCTTCTAGGGGCCTCACATACTGTGGAGTGTCAGCTCGTCTCTAGTGAGGGCCATTGCAGGGGCGAACTGTATCTCACCTACGTCAACTCGACAATCACAGTCTCGGAGCGCCTGACTTCGTAGATATCTCGTGACGATAGGTCTACGGTTGAGGAGAGCGTGAGAGACCGAGCTAGCGGGCTCTAGCCAGTCAGCCAGCCAGCCGAGCAGCCGAGCACTGAGAATGCTCCCTACTCGGGCGGTAGGATCCTGCGCTGGTACTGTCCGTGTAGCGCCTATCCCGTGCCCCACGGGCGGCACGACTTCGTCGTAGCGCAAATCCAGCCACGCGACACGTTGGCTCGAATGTTGGGTACCTATAGCTTGGGGCATCATGTGAGAGGGGATGCCCTGTCTGAGTGGTTCAGGAGGAAGAAAAGCAGTTGAACATCCCCCGCCCCAACGGCAGCAACTCGGACATGAAAAGAACATTCACGACGTGACTTGTAAAGCGGGAGGGAAAGCAGGCTCAAGCTGTTACTCGTCATTGTGCTGAGAGGCGTACTGGTTGCAACATCAGCAGACCACAAGAGCATGTGCAGCACTGCTCCAGGTCAGCTACATTACCCTGATGCGACAATGACGGGGAGTATAGCGCATACAGCTTGCGCGGGTCTATGGTGTCATGAAAAAAAGGCTGCGTACGCCTTGGTGGAAGCGAGAAAGGGGGGGGCGCCACAAGAGCTGTTTGCAGTACCCACTTAGCTCTGACCACGTTCAGCAATCTTTCCAACAGCCATGCCGTGCGCGATGTGAGACCTGAGCATTGACAACCTCCACTAGGACAAAGGTATGCTGGACACTCCGTTACTGGTACCCCGACTTCGCAGCAACGGACGATGAGAGTGGTTGTTGCGACGTCCAGAGGCTCAATGAACGTGATGTAGAGCGGGTAGGAATGCATCTGTAGGTGAGATCTGGTTATAGCTATATTGCTGGAGTACTTACCTCTTCCTAGGCTGTTGGTACCTGCCTTGGTTGGCTGCACGAATTGTCTGCGATCGACGATCCAGTTCACGAGGCACTCGTGATTAGGTTCAAGATCGAAGGGTGTGGAAACGTAATTAAGCAGCTGATGAGACGAAGACACGTTGAACCATCGTCCGTGAGGTCGAGAATTCTTCCAACAGCCGGGCCATCCGTGGGAAGGGTGGTCGAAAGGCACATCAATGTAGTGGCTGCTTTTGTGCCCGAACCTGTCCCAGCGAGCGGGCATCTTAGCAAGGTTGGAGAGTCCTCACTCGCTCAGACGTATTGCTTTTTCATGGTGACTTAGGCACGGTGACTGACCACTCGGTTCCGTGTTGCCCAACACATTGGCCATACCCCGTCACTGGTTCGGTAAAATGCACGAAATCGAATTTGCCTCACCAACCACGTGCGGCATGGACCAGGAAGGGATCTGAAACTCTCAGTCGCCGTGGGAGCCAGTACGAAACTGCATCCTCTCCTGTCACCCTCATCATCCGTGGCGCCTGCAGGGCCTTTTGGTGATGCATTTGCTCTCCGCAGAGTATTTCTGAGCTCCACAATATTGGCTGAGAATGCAAGTGGTAGGCCGAGACCAGATTAAAGAACTGACACACTGCCGTAGGAAGTGAGGCACAGCACCACCATACGACCAAAGGAACCCTTTAGGCAAGGACTTGTGTGTCCGGGTCCGCATCAGATCAGGGTGCTGTCGCAGGTCGCTGTTTCCAAGGTCCGCAGCAGGCAAGGTTCATCCTGCCGTGTCGCAGGGGCAGCATCGGCTGATTCCAAACAAGCCGGGATAGGTGTGATGTTTGTCGCGTCAGTGTAGGGGCAATGCGAGGACGGATTGTCAAACTTCACGGAGTCTACTGTGTATACCTCCCATGGGGACGCGCCCTTGTCGAGTGAGACCCCACACTGCGACTTTTGCGTCCCTTAATACTCGTATACAGACCTTGCGTCAGCTCAAGTGGAAACGATCTGTGGAGAAATGGTTCCAGGCACTCGCACAAAGCACAGCTGCAGAGACCTTTCGCAGCCACACCGTTGTCCACGGCGCCAGGACACTGCGCAACGGGTCGGAGTCCAGACTCAGCTGTTGACACATATTCGCCCCCACAAGGCAGCTTCCTTAGTGCGCAGGGCTTAGCGATACCACGGTCGAGGGTAGGACTGAGACGATTGGATGATACCAAGGGCGAGGCTGGTTTCGGCACATGGCATCATCAGTCGCAAGAGTGATGATATTGAAGTTTCGGCACCGAGTTCGACGGGGTAGAATTGGAGGTGAGGTGGCGTTGACTGGGGAGTGAGTCTCTTGTGCACGTGAAGGTGAAGGGAAGACGTAACCGAGTCTTGGCGCCAGTGGCCGCAGACGAGGACGGACTTACGTCACCACTCGTTACGTTCAGACTCACTTCGCATTCAAGTGCCACTGCAGGTACCGTCAGCCTCTGCCACCGCGGCTGCTCTGGGGTGCATACGAGTATCGATTGAATATTACTGGGTACTCGTACGCTGGTGTGCCTATCCGTGGAATCGTTTTCGTGCCACGCGACACTGAAAATGGTACTACTGCCTAGAACCCCAGTTCCCTGTCCAAGAACTCATCAAGTCACGCTCTATTCAGGCCGGATCGAACGGCTTCCTAGTCCGGTGTACCAGAGCCGCCTATGGTACAGTACACAGTATATGTCATCACTCGGGCTCCGCATGCTAAACATCTCGCTGTCATGCCCGTGAAAAAAGGTCGTCAATAAATGCCTGCGAAATATCCACCAGAAACTCCACCAAAAGCGAACCTCATCTTAGTCATAACTCTTTCGCCGGGTCGCATGACCATGTCTGCTCCGCTGGGTATCCTTGTCTCTGTCGTCCCGACTATGACTCCTCGACCGGTCACTGCCGCTGTCCCCCTTGTTGTATTTTCTCTCCCATCGATCCTGTTCTCGGTCCCTCTTTTCTTCTCGCCACTTTCTGTGCTTGCCGTAGTCCTTGCCACCTAGCCATCCGACCAGTGCGCCACCGACTGTACCCAAACCTGGGAAGATCAGATCGCCAATGAGACCTCCGCCCGCAGCGCCGATGAAGCCATCTGCGTTCGTTGACCGCGAGTTGTCTGAAACACGACGCGGCCGGTTCTTGTGCCTATGCCGGTGACTCTCGGGGTCTGAGGAATAGTCTGGTCTCGACGGATCACTGTGCGAGGGTCGGTGGTGGGGTCGGTGGTGCGACTGTGCATAAGTTTGTTGTTGGTGATAAGGCCCTTGAGGCACGTAGGGGCCTGGAGGGTAAGGCGCCAAATGTTGCCCTGGATTGGCTTGGAAGTTCGGCTGGTTTAGTGCGTATGTGGGTTGGCTGGAGAGAGACGGTCGCGGCTGGCCGGGAGGAGGGAGCTGAGGATCTTGAGCGAAATGTACTTTGGCTTCGTTATTCAGTGGTTGATAAGGAGGCGGTGGTGGAGGAGCGGCATGGGGAGCGTAAGGCGATGGTGGTGCATTGCTGCCAAACTGTGGACTTGGGTGACCGGGTTGATAACCAAAACCAGGCTGCGACGGACTTGGTCTCTGTGAATGAGGCGGGTGCAGACCCGAGCTCTGTTGCTCCAGAGGAGGCCTGGCGCCAGATGTGAAGTATTCTGTTGCTGCCATGGCGCAAGCTTCGAAGCACGGGAGTAGATGAGGAGCAACGAGTGCCGGACAGACTTATAACAGGAACGTCAACCACGTACCCCGGCTTGCAGATCCTTTAGAGGCAAGACACTCGAAGAATCGAAGACTGCCTAGCGAGGCTAAATACCGGGTCGTGGAATTCCACGGTTGGGAATCGATGTACAAGTAGCGAGTCACAAGCCCGAGTCATGGGGCCGGTAGAGGAATCGATCGGAAGGACTGGGGCAAGGCGGAGTGTATCATCCGTTCTGATCTTCCGCTCGACGGCCTTTGGAAACACACTGCGATATTGTGTGGGGGACGTGATTTGCGAAGGCTCCCACACCCCAAAGGTGGCGCAAGCTGGCGATGCTTGGAAGCCTCAAAGAACTTTGTGACGCGAAAGGTCCCTCGTATTTATTGTGCCCTGATCACCCCGGCGCTCCCAAGACGGCACGCCCGACTCCGGGGACGGTTCTCTCTTGGCCATTGCTATTGGATGTATAGCGATGGGTTCCTTGTCTGCTCAAACCTAGCGCAGCGAGCTGCTCTCGAACTGCGCAAGATCGAAGGGGTTGACAGGGCGGTACTCCGTCGCAAACAGGAGGTCGGTCTGGCATAGGCCTCCAATCATTGACGTCACAAAGGGTCTGCCAAGCTGCCACGCTGAACCGCCTTCATTTGAGGCTATCATTGGCTGGTCATGTCTATAGTCGAGAGACGGTCCTGGTGGTTGGGGAAAGGATTCTGTCATTTGCGGTGCTTCTGAGATGGGAATTCTATTGTGGACCACTACGCGCATTTGTACTTCACCTTCCGCTGAGGTTGACTGAGAGCGACGAATCACCTGATCCTGGTGCCTTATCAGAGCGTCTCCTGCGCCTCAGTCATCAGTCGAAGTAGTGACCGTGCTGCTGCACGAAGAACAATATTGACAGATACAGTACATATCGAGAAAGAAGGCTGGGTGAAGGCAGCGGGAGAGGAACGTTTGCATCTGCTTGTGCGTTGGCCACCTCCATGCATGTCGACCTACAGGAGCTCGCCCGCCAAACACATGCTGTGCCCCCAGCGCCCCAGATTGCCCGCCTACTTTTCACAGAGATTCTTCAAGGTATCATAAAAGTACACTCGGCCATGCTGGAGATAGTGACAAGAACAAAAGTCTCGCACAGATATTAGGCGACAACCTCGCCTACGTCCACCAGAATAGGCGTCCATGGCTTGGCTCCGGGCTCTTCGGTCTCGCTAGGTAACCGGAACTCGGTTGGGCTGTAAAGATACCAGCCCTTCAACGCGGCGACTGCGGCGCGAGTCCTTGCCTCGTCGAGGCTGGCTCCTGCGCCCTCGCCTAACAGGTCGCTGCCTGAGTAAATCCCAACGACATAGACTGGTGTTCTGCTTTTGCGCCCCGTCTCGCTCAATATTTTGGCCACGGGTGCCTGAAACCCCTCTCGTCCGCAAAGCTTGCTCAAATCCCTAGTCGGGGTCTTGAACTGGAAGAGACTCGACATGTCTAGCTGCCGAGACATGAAGTGGTCGCTGTAAAATTTCTTCGCTGCTGCCCGTCCGGCGTGCAGATAAACCGCGCCGATGACGGCCCTTACAAAGTTGGTGCTTGCCCGTTGCAGGGTGACGCCCTTCGACCTGAGATCTTCTGGGTCTACCGGTCGCTCTAGTGGCTCGCCGAATTGATCGTAGTGCACCGATTTTGCGCTCAAGCTTCGGGTCCATGTTGCCCGCGTGTCGCTGCTATTGGCGAGTGCGTCTGGATTGTCTTTCTCTAACCGTGTGTCCGGCGGCATTCTCTTGAATTGTAGTAATCCGGGGTCAACCTCACCACCGGGTTCTGCTGCGGCTTCAACGCCCCATTCCCTAGCCATCTGCGTCAAGGTCGCTGGGCCATGGTATGCATACATTGCGGCATAGACCACCGCAAGCGGTAATCTCGGATACTGGCTGATGATGTACTCGGATGTGTAGTAACCCAGCAAGTCATTGCCAAGCAAGGCAAACGGTTTGTTGTTGAACCGTATTGAGGTGTCGGCGGACTCGTCCACCAGAGTCCTCGCTAATGTTTCAAGAGGGAATCGTGATGGGAGCGACAGCCGAGCATGGAGGGCTGCTAATTTCGCCGATGTTCTCGCCGCGGTGACCGGAGGTGAGGGTAATTTCATGAGCGTTTCTTCGGGAAGATATGGCCCGTCTGTCGTAGGTGACACGAAGTCATCTTCAGCACCGGCGGGGACGGCTGCTGTTGCTTGGAAGCGTCGTATACGGGAGAACGGAGAAGGAAGGATGTCGGGTCTTGTCCGTGGTGAGAGTACACTCCCGCTCCATCTCAGGAGCCTCAACCTCTTCATCGGAGCTGCCACCGCTCCTCGAAACAGTCGCGATAGCTCCGTCTGCTTTCAGACTACGAGTCAGAATGTAGGGGAAAGGAAAACCTGATGGAGGGAGGAGTGCGTCTCCAGCTAGTTGATGGGACGTTTTTCTCCTGCGACACGAGACCATCGGATTGGGACACGCGAAAGAAATTCATTCGGAAACGACCACAGCCAATGAGGGTCAGGCTTGGCGATTATCCCCAAACAGGAAGCATCCTCGTTAACTCCGAACCCTTCTCAACTCAACCTTCGCTGCTGGGTGCCACACGTGGCTTGTCACCAAACTGTTCTCCGGTGTCCCAGCTTCACCGTCGCTGCCCTGCGTACGAAACATCTGCTGCAGGCCCATGTCGAATAAGTTGGGATGGTTGCGAAGAAATCATGGCCACACGAAGCTTGACAATCACGTCGTATATGAAGTCGCTGCAAAACTTGTTCAAGGTCTCTTTTCGAACAGATACGTTTTCATTTATGGCCATCTTTCTTACTAAGGCCATGAAAAGACCTCTGCGCTTGTGGCCTCCCTGCTGCGAGGTGCGGACATTTCTTACTTGCGGGCTTCTCGCACGGGTGCCACTGCTGCACCAGTAGGTATGCCTGGAGTCAAGTTCGACCGGCTGGATGCTTCGACGTCTGAAAATCCATTCAACCACAGATTTCACAATCGAGAGGCCATATCGGCTGTCTATTGACATCCTCAGAGATGGCCCAACTTGCCCACCGACAAACGTATTATCGACGTCGTTGTGCAGAGGCACAAACCAAGCTCCGTGTATTCCTCGCGGGCTATCCAGCCGAGACAGGCGGCCGCGACGTGGGCAAAGCCTGGGCCCATCTGGTAGATCCAGCAGTGAAGTACTGTACGACCTGATTCAGACAACGTGGTGCATCGGTTAGTTAAGTTTTCTACGTCGGGAACTGTTGGGCTTGGCGGTTAGTGCTTGCCGGATTACTAAGGTTGACTGAAAATAGAGTGATGTTCGAACAAGAGCACCAGCCCGTGATCAAGTACGGACTGTGGAGGGAAAGACTATACTGCTTGTGGAGATGGCAAAGCTCCCCTACCAGCGCGATGGGCATCGCTGAAGTCTCGGCCCAAGTGCTGACCGACTCAACTCCGCAACATTGCAATTATCGAGCCAGGGACCTGAGGTCATGCCGTACAATGAGGTCGGTATGGGCCACTACGGACATATCGCATTGGAAAGTGAAGCTGTCAGATGGTTAAGTTGTGGCAAATTGAGACTGTCTCCGATGCAAGATTGAGCATGTTAGGCTTGACTCCGGAGGACAACGTCCAATGTTATGGCGAGTCTGGTTCCTCCAATGACATGCCAGGCTGCTTACCTGGCTCCAGACCAGCACAGTTCACGGGGCGGAAGAGAGACTGGACAAGTATGAAGCAAGAGTCACGGGCGGATGAGACCAGCTGGTTGGGTGCGGCTGCACAAGGGCGCGTTGGAACGACGCTGTCATCATCCATGGAACTTACTGCTCACCCGGCTGCTGCTGCTCTCTGATTCATAGGAAGCCTAGCGAGAGCTACCTCAGGATGGTACGTCCGTTAAGACACCGAAGTCACATTACATGCATGCCAAGATGGACATTCCCCGGCTCGATTGTACTGGGTATGCATCGCGAAAGCTCCTCTGCGTATCTTCAAGCAACCTCAATTACTTGTCGTTCGTCGCTTTCTGGCAACTCTTACTGCCGCCCAGCTCATGCAGCGGTATGCTGCTCACCATCGTTCCTCGTATACGTCAACGCGTCGATGAAGCATGAACGTGGCTTGCCTTACCTGTAACTTGGCTTCCGAAAGGCTTGTCTTCGATTTTCAGAGCTTCAAGCTATTTGGGGTTATAATTGGTAAGAGGAGTAAGCACTATCCTATGTCAGACTATGCCAAATGCGACTTCGCGGCCGCAGTGGAGGCGAGACACGCTATGGAATCGAGGCTAGCGAATCCTAAGTACCGAAATACTTTGCTCGGGGTGAATTGGTCCTGCGGGTGTAACCAACAGCGTGTATTTCTCCAGCCAATGGCACCTTAAGTGCGCTATAGTGTCTTGGCGCGGGCTTTATCAGCCAAATCTCCCGGCCGCAGTAGCAGCGCATACTCCGTTTTAGGTACTCCGTCCCTTTATCGTTCTTCTCGACTGTTCTTCTGTACGGTGTAGTTGCCGCACGTCCCACTCGTGCTGAGTGGCGCCATGCTCTGCCACATGGACTTGTCGATTTTGGTCAATGCTGCTCCCGATTTGACACGGCATCGCTGAAGACACCGGGTTAGCGGATCCTTGCCTTCAACCCAGCCACATGGCCAGTATGTCTATAAAGAAGGGCCATGCCTCACCTCTGTATACGATTCTTCTCTCCATACAAACAACACAACACCAAACAAACATCCAACTTTCCTTTTTTTATTTCCTTATTTCCTTATCTGTCACTCTTTGGGACCAACTGTCTAACATTCTTTCGACCACCTTTAATCAAGAAACCACTTAATTCCAATCGTTCAAGTACCTCCAACTCACAACAATTCCACACCTCAAAATGTATGCCAACACCATCGCTCTCGCTCTCCTTGCCGCCACTGGCGCCCTTGCCGCTCCTCACAGCCGCCGCTCCTATGACGACACCGTCACGGTCATCCTGAGTGACGGTGGCGAGACCGGTGCTCAGGTCAGCGGCCTGGCGTCGACATCAACGGCCATGGGCACTCCAGCCACGAGCGGTCCATTCACCACGATCGAGATCGCCCTTGGAGCGGATGTCGCGAACAAGGAACTCCGCTGCCAAGCTCTCGACAACTATGGCAACCCCATCGTCGGAGTGCGCGGCGCCAACATCGATACCACCTTCTCCGACGCTGACAAGGGTCCCTGGACCTTCAGACAACCTGCCTACGTCAGCGAGGTTGTCTGTGATCCTGCCTTCGAAAAGATCGACCCCAACTCCGACGAGCTGAGCCTGCGGGTCATCCTGCAGAATCAGTCGACCGAGACGGGTTCTCAGACCGTCCTCCCTGCCGGTTCCGTCGCGTACTCCGCTCCTGTCGGTTCCTCGGGCCCCTTCGAGACTGTCGAGCTCTCGGTCGGTTCGCTGGTCGAGAAGCAGGACTACCGCTGCCAGATCCAGGACATGGCCGGCGAACCTCTGATCGTCCTCCGTGGTGCAAACCGCGACATCACCTTCTCCGACGCCGACAAGGGTGCCTGGACCTTGGAAAACCCGAGCGCAGTCCACCAGATTGTCTGCGATCCTACCTTTGTCGCTCAGAAGGTGTAAACGTTTTTCATGACGAGATGGACGGCGCGGCTTGAAGAAACGAGGCACATGTACAAAATTGATGGCTGGCATTGGATTTGTTAATGAGTTGCATAGCGATTGGCGTTCTCTGTTTTCTACACCTTTGCATAAGCGACTGGCGTTCTTAAATTCAATACACTCCTTTACATAAAAAAAAATAATAAAAAACCTCTTTGAGGAAACTCTCTTTTTCCGCTCGTCTTTGGTGACAAATCGATCATGTTCCGACCCTCAATGGCCAATAAAGTATTTGCGCATCGTAGAGACAATATCAATCCAGGCCCTGGCCTTGTGATAGTATAACGGCCGGACACGATATATGAAGGACTAGATGATTTAGCGGCGTGTTTGCGGATGCGGTGGTCAAGCTGTGAAGCCGATACCGCCAGAACCGAAGAGCTGCTGATACTCCGTACTTGGTCTTTGTACGTAGCTTGTCAGCGGCAGGTTTGCCGAGTAAGCTAGCCTCCGCCAATCGCATCTCGCCAAATCCACTTCCTCTGCATCTTCCATCACTCGAACCTCCAAGCTCAGTCTTCGCTCGCTGAGAATATTCCAGCGTCCTCGCCACCGTCCCTCTCTCCTACCTTTCGTCGTCCTCTTGTCTCACGCCTCACTACATCACCGCAACCTTAGCAGCACCATGGGCGGAGGCGGCAAAATCCCCTACCCGAAACACGTCTGGTCCCCGGCCGGTGGATGGTATGGCCAACCACAGAATTGGAAAGCGAACACTATCGTCATGGGCGTGGTGATCGCGGCGTGCACGGCGGTGGCGTGGAGGGTCTCTGCGGAGAGGGAAATGCGATATAAGATGCCTCGGGAGGACGTGTTCTTTCCGAGTCGGTTGTAAGTCTGACTTGAAGCGCTTGACACCGACTGGTGGCAGATCGAGAACCTCTGCTGACACTCTTGCAGTTGGAGCAGACAGATCATAGAGCACGAAAAGGCGCAAAGGGGACAATGAAGAAATGCGAGACCGGCGAACACACACCCAGCGGCCACCACGCGAGCGGGGAAGCACCGGACGCAACTTGCCTGCTACGATGGTATAGACGAGGGCATCGGACACGGAAGAGCTAGTAAATGGCTCAGGCTACAGGACCAGACGGAGGAGGAGGTGTCACATCTGCTCACGTTCCCCAAGAAACATACCTTGTCAAAAATGACTGGCCTGTCACGGCGCATTCGAAACTTGTACATACATGTCAACGACGTGAACAGCAAAATGAACAGCTTCCAAGGGCGTCGTTGTATGAAAGGTTACAGTCGGCTTGAAAGATTTCCGGGCACAGTTGTGTCAAGGATCCATCGCCGTGTATGAAAGCTGCCGGTCTATATGCTCTCTTTCTCTTTGCAAGTACTCGAGAAATCGCTCAGGATACCTCTGCCCATTCCAAGCGTCGCCATCGGTGGCCGCCACAGCCGGCATACCGATCTGCTCAATCGCATACCCAGCTGCTACCGTGGCATGTATGAGGGCAAGCAGAAGCTGTTTCTGGTCGTCTCGGACGACAAGATCCTGGAGCACACGTCCATCAGGACTTGTCATGCCCGTCAACCCAATCGCCAACGCTCCCAAGAAGGTATTCCCTCCGCCCGTAGGGTCTGCCACCCGTTCTTTGCTCTGGTGGTAGGCACGGAGATGCAGACCCTCGCGGTTGTTGGCAGTGTACGTTCTGCAGCCTTGGGCGCCCTCCCTGATCACCAAGACTGTTCGAGGCGGCGTCGTTCCCTCTCCTCCAGACTCGCCGAGCAGCCACCTTACTTGCGTTTCCCGAGACTCGCACGCCGCCGTCTCCTTGAAGAATGCGGCAAACTCGTCTGCATTCGGGCTGACCACATTGACATAGCCGGCCGCTTGCCTTAACCGCGCCACCTCCTCCGGCGAGCACAGATCAGGAACGGGCTCCCATACGAAAATCGGCCACAGCTCAGCATCCACGTCGTCGGGATTGAGACCTCGTTCTCGGAGCAGGTCCCGCCGTCGCCCCAGAATTCCGTTCACAAGACTGATGCACCGTGCGGGCGAGCACACCATGTGGAAACTCCGCGCGAGGGCCTGTTCGTCGGAGAGAGCGTTCTCGTCGAGCCGTAACTTCGCCGTGAGGTACTTGAATGCTCTGTACTCGTTCTCGCCGTAGCCATTCCACGCGGTCGTGGTCAGTCGGTTCCGATCCAGCCGGAAGACGCAATTTGTGCGCCACGTGTTGATCAGCTCGCGGAACTGCGGCGGGAAGTCCGCGCCCATGTCTACAATCCAGCTGACGAGGTGTGCGTGCTGGATGCCCGCGGCGAGCCGGGCACCGAGGGCGGCATAGGTCCCTGCGCCGCCGATGATGTTTTGTTGCGACGTCTGGCTGCTGTCGAGGTATTCGATCTTGTCTAATTAATTACCGAATGAGGTGCGCCTTTAGTACATGACGACGACGAGCACGAGGCACGGAAGGGTCGCCACAGACCGATGATAAACATTCCGAGCGTGCAGAATGCGAGTCTCTTCTGCTCCATTCCTGGGGTCTCGATTCTCTTGACCCAACCTAGACGATTAAACCGTACAGTACCTCGTGGTTGGATTGTCAACGCTGTGTTTGGTCGTCTATCGAATGAACAGCAATGCGCATGCGAACTCTAGGTGACCGTGGCTGTTGATAGCGAGGCTCTCCACGCCCGCGAATCGGACTTCACCGACAGAGTCTCCCTACGTACTGTACTCCGTACTGTGTGTGAGAGTCTGTTCTGTGTGGATCACGACTCGTTCCACGTATGCACTCCCCGTGAACGCACGCTGATCATCCTGCTTGGCCTGTTTGTTCCTGCATTGAACACCGATCAACGTATGAGTCGACCCGGTATGTATCTACGTGTCTGCGCCCCACAAGGCAATCCCCCGGACGGGGAGCTCTCAGGTACCATCTGTTTCTAATTACTGTACATCGGAGAATTTGTCGTCCCGAATCTTGTCGTAAGGCGTGGAATCCGCAACGTCGCAGTAGGACAGTGACGGCGTCGATCTTGGCCGACAAGGGCAAGTGCTAATCGTTGTAACTCTGTATCTGACAAAATCGTGTATCAAAGACACAGTAATTATATGGTCGTCACGGTCGTCGCTCACTCCGGTTTCACTCAAAAGGTAGCCCGGAAGACTTCTTCGCAAGTCGCCTTCCTCTTTTACACACGCCAGGTATACTACAAGAACAGCGACACCAGCACCAGCACCAGCAGCACCAGCAGCATGATAGAACGGAACCATCTGGAGGAAGGCTGCACGGCTCGTCCTCACGTCCGACAACAACCATGGATTGAGACTCCCTTGGTGGAATCGACGGTCTTGTCCAAGATTGCTGGCTGGTAGACGACACGCTCCTCTCCCTTTCCCATTCACGCACACACACACTGACAAGCCACAGCCGCATCTTCCTCAAGCTCGAAAATCTGCAGCCCTCGTCGTCGTTCAAGTCCCGAGGCATCGGCAACCTCATGCTCCAGTCCATTGCAGACCGAGCGTCGTCGTCGTCGTCTCGGTCGGCCGATGACAGACCCCTACATTTCTACTCCTCCTCCGGAGGGAATGCCGGGCTCGCATGCGTCACGGCCGCCACATCACTCGGCTACGCCTCATCCGTCGTGGTGCCGCTCAGCACTGACGACGCGACGATCGCGAAACTCCGCGCCGCGGGCGCCAGCGAGGTCGTCTCCCACGGCGACAGCTGGTTCTTCGCCGACCAGTATCTCCGCGAGACGGTCATCCCCGCGGCCGAAGCGAGGGGCGAGCAAGGCGTGTACATCCACCCGTTCGACCACCCGGCCATCTGGGCCGGCGCGGGCACCATGGTCGAGGAGATCCAGAGGCAGATGCCCGACGGCGAGAGACCCGACGCGATCGTCTGCTCCGTCGGTGGAGGCGGACTCTTCTCCGGCGTCATGAACGGTTTAGAGCGTGTGGGTTGGACCAACGATGTGCGTGTCCTGCCCGTTGAGACCCGCGGCGCCGACTCCCTCGCCCAGTCGCTACAGCAGAACCGACTCGTCACATTACAGGGCATTACCTCCGTGGCGACGTCGCTGGGGGCGATCCGCGTGGCGGAGAACGCCTTCACCCAGGCCCAACGCCCGTCCGTCACGTCCGTGGTGCTCGACGATGCCGAGGCATGTGCCGCGTGCTGGCGCTTCCTGGACGACGAGAGAATGCTCGTCGAACCGGCCTGCGGGGCGAGCATTGCTCTGGCGTACGACGGCCGGTTGAAGCACTACCTGAAGGACATCACGGCGGGGAGTAAAGTCGTGATCGTGGTCTGCGGGGGGAGCAAGATCTCGTTGGATGTCCTGAACAAGTATAGAGACACGTACGGGGCGAGGAGTGAGGAGTTGGCCAGGCAGTACGTCTAGCTGAATAAGTGTAGGACAAGTACCTCGCGAGGAGTGAGGAGTTGGCTAAGCAGTATGCCAGCTGAATAGGTACAAGGACACGTACCGCGCGAGGGGTGAGGAGTTAGCCAGGCAGTACTGGACGTCTAGCTTGGAGGCTAGAGGTGTGCTCAGTGCCCACGGCGATTGAGCTCTCGGTTGCTGGCTCGCAGCCGGTCCCCATCATTCGGAGTGCCCGATGAAGCCAGCCGGTCCCCATCATTCGGAATACCCGCCTTCATCGGGCACCCATGTCAATGTCAATCCTGATCACCGCGGTGCCCGCGACACGGTGCATTGACAATCTAAGCCACCTACGGAGGAAGCGTGGAATGTAAGGGTCGCAAGCAACTCGTAAAACGTAAAGCGTAAAGCGTGGACCCAAGACAAGAAGCCCGACACGAAGTACGAGCAGGCCCCTGGACAGGACAGATCGATGTTTGTAAAAATGACAAAGCATGCAAGGCGAGGTACATGTGTATTTTGACTGGCTCGTACGGAGTGCAGTAGTTGCAGTCCATCCAAGTTGGCCAGCCCAGCCCAGGCCAGCTTAGCGAGCTTGAGCTTAGGTCTTAATAACACCGTCGAAATAGGAAGTACGTTTCTTCTCGTTGTGGATATTGGTTGCCTCCCTTGACTGCGTTACTTCAGCTATTGGGAAACTAAGCTGTATAGTATGTATTGTATACGAGAAGATCTTGACGAACAAGCGTGTGTTGATTACCCTGCCACAGCCTCGAGCACGGACTGTCACTGCGAGGGTAACACTACAATACCACGAATAGTTGCGGCTATGCTACCACGATATTACAGCCGAGGCTACCCACCGCCTATAGTGTCGGTGGAGTGAGTGAATGGCTGGCTAGCTGCAAAGCACTCACCTGCCTGAGAAAGAGTGGAAGTGTGCTATCGCCACTTGTAGAGCGTGAAACGGCCAGATGCGAAGAAGACTAATTAACTTTCCACACAGTCTTGTCCACTTTCGAACGACTTCTAATAACGGGTCGGTAATTGGTACTATTTATTCCTGTGGTTGATACGTCGTAGACATACGGGCAAACCACGACGACTATTCTAGACCCTAACAGGCTGTGCAAAGCTAATGCAAGGAAGAGTCTTGACGATGGTCAAAGCTGAGAGGCGAGGGCGACAAACACGACTGACGCGATGCCACGATGCCACGATGCCACGATGCCACGATGCCACGCCGGGAATGAATGCTCTCTCGTTTCCGGAGTTGCTTCGCTTGGCCTGCCACTAATTATCACTCTACGCTGCGCTGGTGGTGGTTAAAAGGATTGGAGGCGCCCGTCTCACGGGTAAGGAAGGGTAAGGAGAGGAAACGAAGAGCGCGGACCCAAGTTATTGCAGTATAATACCTGTTACTCCCTTGGTGGCAGTCATCTCAGCCCGCGCAAGGCTGCGAGTCGTGTACCAGTTTGCAGATCAAGCTCGTTCTCAAGTTTGACTGTGAAGGATCAAGATCAACAGCAAGTCCCTCGAAGTTCAATCACTGTCTCCGTAACATATGATGTCGCCACCAAGCCGCGACCGCGACCGCGACCGCACTATCGCCCCAGACATCAAGGAGCATGAGCGCCGCGACCGCAATATCCCCCCAGGCATCAAAGACCATGAGCGCCGCTCCATCACCAACAAAACCACCGGCGAAACCATTACGTGGACGACGTACGGTTACGAGAGCGACGGCCAAGAAGCCGCCGCCGTGCTGGTATGCAAACCGGGCGGCGGACCCCCGCTGCACTACCACACCACGTACGCGGAACGGTTCGAGGCCCTCGACGGCGAGATCGGCGTGCGGCTGGGCAAGGACCTCGCCAGCCTAGACACGCTGCGCCTGAAGCCCGGCGAGGCCGCCGACATCCCCGTCGGGACGGTGCACCGGTTCTTCAACGACGGTGATAGCGACGTGACGTTCAAGGGGTTCGTGCGGCCCGCGCACGCCGGCTTCGAACGCAGCTTGTACATCCTGTTTGGGCTGAATAATGACGGGTTGGCTGATCCGAACACGGGGATGCCGCGGAGTTTGCTGCACACGGCGCTGATCGGAGACATGAGCGATATGAAGTTCCCGGGATTTCAGGGCGGGTTGATGAATTACGTGGGCAGCTTGTTGGCCGCGTATGCGAGGTGGACGGGCGTCGAGGAGGAGCTGTTGAAAAAGTACTGGGATTGAGTTGAGCTGGAATATACTGGGATTGAGTTGACGAGCTGCAGTATCATGGGGCTTTGCACGGACAGAAGGCGTGTATAGGGTAGATACTGTAGATAGACAGCCTTCATGGCGTGTGGCGGTATTGTGAATCGTGCGCACACTCAGATGTTGGAAATATCGCGGGCTGTTTTGCGCAGGTCCAGGCAGCTTTTGGTTGTGTACAGCCCGATATGATCTCCAAGGCGAATGAATGTACTTCCATGCTTTTGAGAATGAATGCCGCTGTCCTGTCCCCTGAAAATTGGACCTCCTAAGCTGGAATCTTGTGCTCTTCCGCCGTTGCCCCCTTGCTCCACCTATACCGACTCGCTACATGCTCCTTGAGCGGCCCTGTCTGGCCCTTGCTTCCGTAAAAGTTCTCGCGATACGTCCCCTCGGGAATGGCGTAATCCTCCCAAAACAGACCTCGCTTCCTTAGCTCTGGCACCAGCAGCTCCACCACGTCCTCGAAACTGCCAGGAAACACAGCGTACGCGATGTTGAAGCCATCGACGTCAGCAACATCAACCCACCGTTGCAGGCCGTCCGCTACCTGGCTCGGCGTCCCGACCAGCACGGGTCCGTTGCCGCCGATGCTCACATGCTCCGCGATCGTTTGCCTGGTCCACTTGCCTACGCTGGGACTGAACCGCGCATAGCTTTCGACTGTCGCGCGGACGGCATTGCTCTCGACATATCTCAGCTCTTGGTCTTCTTCGTACTGATTCAGATCGATTCCAGTCCAGCCGCCGAAAAGCGCTAATGCGCCCTCTAGATCCGCGTACTGCTTGTAGTCGGCATACTTTGCCCTGGCCTCCTCTTCCGTGCGGCCCAAGATCGGCGTCACCAGCGCCAGGACTTTGAGGTTCTGGGGATCCCGTCCGAACTTCTCCTTTGCCAGCTTTCTGACGTCTGCTATGTTTGCTTGGCATGCTTCGGGCGAGTGGTGGGACACGAAGATAGCCTCGGCGTGCTGTGCCGCGAACAGTTTGCCTTTGGAGCTTGTGCCTGCTTGTAATAGCATGGGCGTGCGTTGTGGCGACGGCGAGCAGATGTGTGGACCCGGTACGTCGAAGAACTTGCCCTTGTGGTTGATACGCCGGACGAGAGCAGGGTCGCTGTACACACCGGTCTGCCGGTCCAACTTGACGGCATCGTCCCGCCACGACGACTCGAACAGCTTGTACATGACCTGGATATACTCTTCAGCCATGGCATAGCGGTCATCATGCTGTGGTTGAGAAGAGTAGCCCATGTTGCGCGCCGCAGAATCCAGGTACGACGTGACGACATTCCAACCTAAACGGCCGTTGGTGAGATGGTCGAGTGTCGACAGACGGCGAGCAAGATGATATGGCTGTTCGTACGTCGTCGACACCGTCACGCCGAAGCCAATGGATTTCGTCACGGCTGCCATGGCTGGGATCGATGCAAGCGGCTCATGGACCGGCCATTGTGCCCCTGATCGGATCGCGGGATCGAGAGACTGCAAATAGACGTCGTAACCGCCCAGTACGTCTGCGATGAAGATGCCGTGAATCTTCCCACGTTCAAGGAGTTGAGCAAGGTTCGTCCAGTGAGACAAAGTATTGAACTGGTGCGACTTGTCTGCAGGGTGTTTCCATAGCCCGGGAGACTGGTGGCCGGAGCATGTTTCGACGAAGGCGTTCAGAATCCATTGCTTTTTGACGTGACTTGTCTCCTCATTCCGTTCTCGCGTGCCGTTCGTCAGCGACATGATGGCTGTGGGCGAGTGAGTCGGAACCTGTCTCCAATGCCCTCCCTATGTAAGTTTTGCAAATTGTTCACACTGTCTCGACGTTGGCTTAAAGGCTGACCTGCATGAATATCCGCGCTGATGTCCGTCCACATGGCAGGGTTCCGATCTTCACAGGCGAGCTTCGTCAGTGGTATAGCGGATGGTGCAATTTGCTCCACATATCACGACGGGCCTTTCTTGCCTTGCTGGCAACTCGTTTTGCAACGCTGCTAGTCTTCCTCCAGACATGGTCTTCACGAAAAACCCCTGACACAAGCACTTGAAGCACCCATTGTCTGGGCAGCACTCGAACGCACTTCCACCGAGAGATGGAGTCGAAACTGCTAGAGGATCCAGATCCTCGGGTTATGATCCTTCGCCTTGTGCGGTGAACGTGCAGGGCACAATTCAGCCGGATCCCTGGGAATAAACGCCTTGCCCGGTTACCCTGCTGGTGTATGGCGTGCTCCTTGCGTTCTTGACGTCTTTGCAAGGCTCCATTCGCTCACGAAAACTTTGCGGCGAGACCGGCGGCATGCTCCTTGATTGCCACGCATCGACCATGAGCTTACCTCGGGCTTGTATACAAGAAGGCCACCGTAGCTTATCTTTGTCGCAAGTTTCATGTTAATCTGCCTCGTCCTTTGCCCTGGCTCGTCTTTGTGCTTACTCGGCAGTTCTCACTTGACACTCTCTCTTCATCTGGGTGTCGAATTGGACTGGACAAAATGTCTCGCCAAGCTTCTGTTATAACCAAGCATCCGGAGCTCCAGGATGTACGGGAATCGTCTGTGCAGAAGCATCCAGGTCAGTCCATTACCCTCCGGACGAGAGGGCTATAGCTGAACACGTACAGTTCGATGGCACCGCTCCACTTTCTATAACGCCACAATCCTGGGGCTCTGCAATTTCTCAGCTCCGGGTATCTGGGGAGCAATGAACTCTCTCGGTGCTGGGGGTGAAGAGAAGCCTTATCTCGTCAACGCCGCGAATGCACTCACCTTCTGCTTGATGGTGGTCTCCTGCCTCTTCTCCCCTGTGCTCACCAAATACATTGGCATCAAGGGCGCTCTCGTCTTCGGCACTCTGGGCTATGCTCCATATGCTGCAGGCCTCTACACCAACAATCGCTTTGGGACAGAATGGCTGGTACTTGTCGGAGCTGCACTATGCGGCATTTCGGCGGGGGTATTCTGGTCAGCGGAAGCCGCCATCGCTTTGGCATATCCCGAACCATACAATCGAGGGAAAACACTGGGTTACTGGCTTACCTACCGCCTAGGTGGACAGATCCTGGGCGGCGCCATCAACCTCGGCATCAATGTGAACCGCAACGAAGTGGGCAAAGTCAGCTACACCGTGTACTTGATTTTCATCGCGTTGCAAGCGCTGGGCCCATTCATAGCGTTGCTACTCAACCGACCCCACGAAGTCGAGCGGACCGATGGCCTCAAGGTCGAGTTGGAAATTCTGGAGCATCCTTGGCGCGAGCTCAAGGCGACGACGAGGACATTCTTCACGAAGAAATATCTGCTACTAATCCTGTTTATCGGTCAAACCGTTTATGCAGAAGCTGTTTTCTTCACATACCTCTCGTTGTGGTTCAGTGTCCGAGCCCGGGCATTAGGCTCCTTTTTGTCAGGTATCGTTGCGGTGACTTGCGGCAATATCCTTGGCCAGTACCTTGACCGCACAAAGATCTCGGTGAGGTTCAGGTCAAGGACTGCTTTCCTGACACTTGTGGTGCTGCAAGGCGGATGGTGGATCTGGGCGACAGTCCTTGTGACCAAGTTCCGACACTCAAGGCCTTCGTACGATTGGACAAGCAGCGGCTTCGGCCACGCCTTTGTTCCGTTCTTATTCTTGACCACGGGATTTCAGATGAATTATCTCTTCTGCTATTTTCTGATCGGACAACTGGCGGTTTCCCCGGCTGAGATCATTCGGTACGCTGCGTTGCTTCGTGGGTAAGAAAAGCTCCTTTTGCCCGCCTCGCGACAAGAAGCTGACGAAGGTAGCACGGAATCGGCTTGGCAAGCTGTCAGCTACGGCTTGAATTCAATCAAGATATTTGCTGAAGTGGGCGGAGTGTATATCAATTTCGGGTTATGGGCGGCGGCTTTGGTCCCGACATGGTTGGTTGTGAGACATTTTGGCAACGATATCATTGCTTCCGCAGCGGCGACAGACAACAATCTTGGCGTCGAAAGGCTCTCGAATTCCGAAAGCGCATCTGCTGATCAGGGTATCGAGACAGTGACTGAGAAGAAACCTTGAACTCCCAAGTTGATGGTGGTGAACCACCCCTTGGCTACAGTGATCTCAAGGGAGTTTGAAGGACTCATTCGGCCTTCAGCTGACGTGACGGCGACTGTTCGGCGAGCTCGCTGCAGATAGACTGGCCGAGCCCAAGTTAGAAGAACGCGGGTTAGACTTGGTAGACAGTAGATGGAAGCGATGATTCCGAATGCTCGTTTTCGGATTCCCACCACCGTGGCCCAGAGGCGCTAGTATGTTTGTAGACTAGTGCATAGCTCGTTCTTGGCGTGTTTTCCCCTTTTGCACCACTCTTGAAAGCCATCAAACAGCTGCATTTCCAGCGAACGGGATTGATTGATGAGATTCGCAGCAGTGGACTGGAGCCAGGTTGCTAAGTTGATCCATCCTGGTATTCGTCGACCAAGACCAGCCTGAAACGAGCTCGAAAATGGCTGAAAAAGCCCCTCCTTCTCTCACCGCTGTCGCTGTCTCTTCGCTCATCCTCGGCCTGCTGGCAGGTTACTTCCTCGGCCAAGGGTCCAGTATTGGGGTTTTCGGAGGCTCTGGCACCTCGAAACAGGCCAAGAAGAGCTGGCCCAACAGTTACGATGTCAAAGTCCACGCCGACTCAAGCGACGACCAAGCGGATGACGAGGACGAGGCGGACGAAGAGGACGAAGATGGGGATGGGAAAGAACTGAAGGATTTCAAGGACTCCAATGAGGACGTCAAACTTGTCCTGGCTGTGCGAACAGACTTGGGAATGGGAAAAGGTGAGGAAGAGCTCACTAGGCAGAGGAATCTCCTGGCTAATCCCTCCCTCGCAGGCAAAATTGCAGCTCAATGTTCGCACGCGACGCTTGCCTGCTACAAGTATCTACTCAACCATGTTACCTCAGCTCCGATGCTCAAACGTTGGGAACGGGGAGGACAGCCCAAAATTGCAGTACAAGTCAAGTCTGAGGAAGAAATGGAGACACTGCAAGCCCAAGCCATTAGCTTAGGGCTTTGTGCAAGGATAATACACGATGCAGGAAGGACCCAGATCGCTGCGGGCAGTGCCACGGTCCTAGGCATACTCGGTCCCAAGAGCGTTGTCGATCAGGTCACAGGACACTTGAAGCTGTTGTGACGGGAAAGCAGGCTCCATAGCCTCTTCGTGAACACCAAGTGTCTCCACTGATCCAAGTACCTGTCTCGGCAGCCTCGCATTCTCAGGGTACCTTCGCAAAGACCGAGTCCCATCACGCCATTCGCTGAGGAAAGCAACCGCAGAAGATGCCGCCTTATCTTGACAGCAGCCGCCTCCTACCGACATCAGAGATATGCCTCCCGGGTTCCTCTCTCGTGGCTCCTGTGTATGGCATCAATCATCCTATGTCGGATCAAAGCGTCTTCAAAGGTGGGCACGGACCCTGGCCCTCCGCTTGCAAATGCATCCCAGGCCTTGCCGACGTTGTACGCCCAGTCTGCAGCGACTTCAGTTTCGATCTCCTCCGCCTGTCCACCATGTTCCACAAACTTCAAAGTGGTAGGAAACATCTCGAGAAGGCCATTACGTCCTTCGATAATCAGGCTGCCTTTGGTTCCCCTGATCTCCCAGTACAATCCATTCTCGGTAGGAGGCTGGCCTCCCTGATACACGATGGTTGCTACAGCTCCGTTCAACAAGGTCCCGGTTATACTCACCTGATCGGCAGTGTCGTTGTCGACAGTCCTGAGGACGTTCCCGGACGTCGGATCGACGATTGGCACTTTCGGTTGATGGTTGGCCAGCGTGGCCTGGAGATGTTTGAATTCGCCAAGCACAAAGCAAAGAGCGTCCGTTCCATGCATCGTCGGTATGGTTGCCAGGGTTGCGCCGTTCTCGAAGGTCAGCTCATATTCCAGTGCGACCGGAGTTACTGGCCCCATGATCACTCCATAAGCGAACATCTATCAACCACCACAAGTCAGCGGCGGCATATGAGGCGGGGGTGTAGCACCGGTCATGACTGTTGCCTGACGGGTATTGGAGATTCCCACATACCGTTGTTCCTAAGATATCACCCAACTTTCCTGCAGCCACCATCTCCTTCGCCTTCAATACACTGGGGTTCTGACGACCCTGGAGTCCGATTATGTTCCTGACTCCTTGGGCCTTCGCAAGGGCTGTCAGTTCCTCCGCCTGCTTCAGATTCGCACCCAGTGGCCACTCGACGAATACATCTTTCTTGGCTTCAAGCGCAGGCTTAGTTAGCCTGTAGTGCTCGGGGGTCTTGACCGAAACCACGACCACGTCGACGTTCGGATCGCGTACGAGGGAATCCACGTCGCTATAACAGGCAACCTGTCCTGGCAGATCGTATTTCTCAACAGCCTTTTTTGCTGAAGATTCATTCCTGTTTTGGAGAGCCGTGATCTGGTAATGAGGCGACTTTAAGAGTGCGGGTAGATGAGAACCGGATGCCCACGAGCTATGTGTGCCAGAGTAAAGTCAGGCCGATATGTTTGCGAATAAAAGACGTGACCAGCGGAATTCTCACCCTTCAGCGGAAAGGCCAATCAAGCCTACCTTGATCGGTGCCATTTTGTCAAGAGAGTATCTCAGACCCTCGAAAATCTCCCACCAAAAGTCGAGTCCCTAGAGAGTTGCAGAGATTCCCTGGCCTGCTGTCACTTTATGGATTCAAACGTCCTGGTAGCAAGTTATATCCTAATTCCAAGCAACCTTTTGTACAGTAAGAGTTTGTCGTAGGTACTGGGGTACTGTACTTTGTAGCCAACGGTCACTACTCGATACACATATATATATGTATATGCATTCCGTGTCACTCTCCCAATTATATATGCGTACATATCCTGCTCTATCAATGTTGGCTCCATCACCCCTCCACGACCGACACGGCGGAGCAACGGACGTAGCGCCCGACAGCGTGGCGTGGCGTGGCGTGGAGTGACATGCAGTGCACTACGCAGTAATGTAAATGTGTAAGTACTGTAGCCACAGCCGTACGGAGCACCCACCAGCTGAGCTTCATTGCTGACACGAAATGCAGCGCCGCACGCTTCGAGTACACCCCAGCTCCAGGCTTGGCCTCATCTTAGTCACTAGGTACGCACTGCTAATACGAGTACAGTCCTCCGTGCCAAGTTAGTACAGTATCTAGCGGCCTCGTGTCGTGGATAATCATTAATCCTGTGCACAGTATGTAAGCGAGTGTCTTGTTCACTCGGATGACGATTAGATCCCGCGATGCTGGTACTAACTACTATTAGACAGTAAATAGGTCATGCAAGGATACGCACACACACACACTGTACGTAGTAGGCATGTCTGCGAAGGCGCCGCTAATCACTGTATGGTTACACCCGCAAAGCAGACTCTCAGGTACGGAGTATTGTATATGATATCTACAGCGGACAGGGGGTGAGGGCTCTTGGGCAGGGGCCAAATGCGCATACATACACCCTACATCGAGAACCCTTCATTCTAGGTATATACTGTACTGGGTTTTGCATCTACAGTACTCTGTACCTCGTAGTAGGCGAGAACCAACTACAGCACAGTACAGTCAGTACTTTGCAATACCGCAACGGGGTGGAGCAGATTGAATGGATCGGTAGGTATGTGGGTAGGTAGTGGCCATACTCCACCCATCCCATCCTCCACCCACATACTGTGATTACCCTACTTGCTGACACGCCTGTGGTCGTTGTTGTTGACACTCCACCTCGTGAGTGACATGCTGCAGGTTCTCTTCACTCTACACTCTACACTCGCCCAACACTGTTCGCCAAAGTTGCGGATTCTACCTAATCTTGAGGTGTTGGGAACACGGTCTGCTCGAAACCCATATACATGCATGTCAGACAACGTGCCCACGATGATCTTGTCGCCAATGAAACAGGCTGAAAGGGGATGGAAGTCCTCCGGGAGAAAGACGGCGTTCCGGTCGTCCAGGGTTCACCACTGCTTCTTCTCCGTGTCATACCGAGTCTCCACATGCTCCAGGACGGAGGTCGTCGCGAGACGCCGCTGGACGAAAGGTCTCCAAGGAACTACGCGCCCTGCGGCGTCATGACATAGTCGGTCGACTGCCACGGGAACCACATCTTGTAGAAAACCCAGTCAGTCTTGATACTCGTGGACGGCTGGGGTTCTTGCCCTTTTTCAAGGTTCCAAATCCGCACCGTACCATTCCACGAGGCCGACACGACGCGCTTCTGATCCCGCGTCACCAGCACACTAAGCGCACTGTGAGTGTGGCCCAGGAGCGTGGTTTTGTTCTTCCATTCCCCTTCTTCAGTCCTTTCCCACACCATCACCTTCGCGCTGCCATCTCGGTCGCTTCGACAAGCTTTCGGACCTGGTAGCCAGGTGCCGTATCCGATGGCTCACCAAAAGCGTACCACAGGTGCACGCCATTATTTAAGAAGCCCGAGCCAAGTTACGCCGCCGTTGGGCGCGAAGCCGACAGACCAGACGTGGGAATATACCGAATCCAAATTCGAAGCTGAGTTCCGGCCTCGGTGTGCCGGAGGTGGATGGCATGACTGGTCTTTGTGGCGAGCGTCGAGCCTTCGTGGTCAGGCGAGAAGGCGATGGAAGTGACGTCGCCGGTGTTTGCATGAGGGTGCGAGATCTCGGTTCAGCGCCCTCGCCTTCGACCTCACTCTCACGAACAGCGTTCCAGATGCGAGCGGTCCTGTCATCGGCTCCCGAAGCAAGGAGCCTACCGTCTCTCGAAAAAGCAACCGCGTTGACCTGTGAATCATGCCCCTCGAAAGTCCGCAACAAAGTGCCAGCATTCATATTCCAGAAGCGAATCTTGCCATCATCTGCCCGAGTGGCTAGCAGTCTCCCATTCTCCGAGAACGCAACCGACCGCACGTTATCGTCTTGGTCTTCGATCTTCTTGCAAGCCCAGTGCTGGAAGTCGCTATCCTGAGCCTCCCACAGCCACACTGTACACGAGCTTGCAGCCGCCAGTTTCATACCGTCAGGTGAGAAGCACAACGCATTGAGTGTACCATCGTGGTCAGAGAAAGAAGTGAAGAGCGCAAGTACTACATACACCCACTTCTACACCTGATGGGTCGTACGCGGAGGGTACAGCAACTCAAGGCCTCACATGCGCGGCACTGAGGACAACACTGGGCGTCACCATTTGTCCCCACTATACCGCCATGTGATGTTAGTTACATATGTACTCCGTACTCGTCCTCGATTGTGCTCAGCCCCTTCGTTCAATGGTGAAGCATATCGCGCACGGCTGGTGATCGCCGCTTGTCAAGATCACTAACGATTAGGGATGTGGATCTCTGGCTTTTGAGCAGCAGAACGCAGTTCAGAGCAGAATTCCTCTGAATGAGTCTCACACCGGATACGTCACGCAGCAGCACCTCGCGAACCCGTACTCGTCCAATGCAGACTCCTCAGCCCTGCTTGCCACGTGACAAGGCTGTTCGGAATAGGAGTCGAAGGTGATTGCAGCAGTGACGGCGATGGCTACCACAACAGCAATGGCAAACGGGGACTTCATCATGACTCATTGCCCGCAGATTTGACTCTGACTGTTGTTTCCTACCATCATCCGCCGTCACCGGGACATACGAACGGAGCGTGAACACTGGGAGATAGGTCTGTTTGCAACACGGCTGGAAGTCAGTATTAGTATACCAATCACGACTCACCAGCTTGTCTCCAGCTGTCACGACTCGTTTCCACAGTTCAGGCGACGGACCGACCTGGGTATATGATAAGTATAAGTATGATCTTTGCCGGCAAAGACTGTGAGCAGAGCAAGATATCTTGCAACCCAGCACAGAGTCGGAACAGAAACGGAGTACAGCCTTGAACCAAGTTACTGAAGCACAATCTGAATCCATCCATCTCGAAACCAAACTGCTTTTCTCTCTCCCCGAAATGGACAACGACTCCTCACCCAAGATGCCACCTGTCAAAGAAGACATCAAAGTCGCCGTTATGGGCCTCGGCCTCGGCGGCCTCGCCCTCGCCAAGAGCATGGCGAAGGTCCATCGCGTCTGCGCCTTCGACTACTGCTGGGAAGGACCCCACGACCCGGTCAAGAACATTTGGTGGTCGGACAACCCCTACGACCTCTCCTTCGCCACACACTTCATCATCGCGGATTCATGCTCGCGCCGCTACACTGGGAGGGAGTTCGAAGCCTGGGTGACGGATATCCTCTGGGCGCGAAGTATCATCCGAGCGGCCCTCGTTGGCAGAGAATCCCCCGCCACCATCATCCTGGCGAGCGTGGTGCCCGAGGGGGGCCTAACCAAAAAGCTCCTTGGAGAGTTTCATGCCGCAGGACATCGACTTGGCGTTGCACCACAGGTGAGTAGTAGTTCGAGTCCCAGATCCTAGATATGCGGTACTAGTGTCCGACTGGGTGTCGACGGTTACTAGTGATGAGAAAGACTGATTTTGTGATGCGTTATTGTTTCAGCCCGACTTGGACTTCGGCGAAGATGGAATTCTCCGTCGCATCCCAAAGCTTGTTGGGGGCATTGATCGCGAATCGGCGAGGAGTATTGGTTCGCTGTACGAGTCTGTCTTCGGCAGAAGCGAGGTGGAACCGCCGGGCAAGCTAGAGTTTGCTGAGGCCGCCACAGCTCATGGTTTTTTGATGGATATTGAGTTATTCGCGAGAATATACAAGCTAATGGGAGATTATATCGACCGTGCGGAAGAGGAGTACGGTGAAGAATGGTCTGATGATGAGGGCTCCGATTAAAAAGGGCTCCTAGGACAAAGGGAGCTCTCATGTCAACGCGTACAACGATGGCAGTCCAGACTTTGACCTCAGCAAAAACTCCGACAGCTCGAGCAGGACGGTTTAGAGTCGCAGCCAGGGGCGCCATTACTCGCAGCTGCGGATATATGGAACTGGCTTGAGTATGACCATTGGAAAGGGTTTTGGTCATGGCGGACACCCAGGCGGGCCGGTAGCTACAGGCTGTGACGGGGAGCCATCATCAAAACCACCCTGGCTGATAAGAATCGACAATGTGAGAGAGCGGTGTGCTGCAAGAGAGCAATGGCTGGATTGGCACAAGACCAAACTAGAATCTCGCAGCTTGTTGACGAGTGGCACTGCTTGATTTGTACCGACTATGATTAGTCGGTCTCATTCAGGGAGCTGCGTGAAATATACACAACCAGATTCAAATCGTCAGTCTGAAAAGTGCCAACGCTGTCTAGACGATATGAGCGTCGATCAACGGGTGGCGAACATCCCTCAGCCCGCATGTTCTGCGATGCGAGCGGAGGATAGAGCTGTGTAGTCCTGTATAGCCACTGCGCCTAGACGGAGACGGTATGGTTTCCCAGCATCGAGCAGCTTCAGCTGTAGAACAGCGAAATGATGACCCTGGGGATATCGGAAGAAGTCCACCCTCCGGTATGCGATTCGGCTTCACTTCATCCGCTCATGCAAACCCAGCAAGAAATTACTGGACAAACCGCCGGTCTTGTTTTAGGGATTGAATGGTTGAAGAATTGTCGTCAACCTTTGCCCGGCAATCATCCTGAAGAAGCAGAATAGTTTGCACTCGCCCGATAAGGTCCGTCTGTAAATCTAGCTGCCGGCAGTGTGCTTTGATTTCGAAATGGCCGCAACATTCCGAGCATTTTCAAGGCTGTGTCATCTCCAGCCAAGCCAGTCCCCCTTCCCGATATCCACACCTTTCATCCTCAAGATATCGTACGCTGTGACGGCATGAAAGTAGAAGTTCGGCAAGGCAAAGTCGTTGACATAGCTCAGTGCGTTGAATTTCCTGTCCCGCATGGTGACCTCATTGCCCTCCTTTCCCTCGAAGTCCTCTCGTTTCACAGTCTCGAAGAATTTGAGGGTCTTGGCAATACGGGCCTGCAGCTCGTCGAAGGTCTTTTCGTTGTCATCCCACGGTTGGTTCTCGACTCCGCCGACACGGACAGCAAGGAACTTGGCGGTATTTGAAACAGTCTGGATTTGAAATGGTAGGTCTTTCATATCAGGCGCAATCCGCGCTCCGAGGATTTCGGAATGTGACAACCCCTTTGTGTTGGCAAAATCTTCTCCTTTCTTGAGGATCTTGGAGAGGATGTTGAGGACGCGTAACATGGGCAAAACTGCCGTATCGTACAAACTGAGAGGTGGCATGACGGATGTGTTGAAGGCGTCAGGGCACGTGGTCCGGTTTCTAAGACCGAGTCTGGTGATCCGAAATACCAGGCCGAATTCGACGACATGAAAGGTCATGCCTAGGTATTAAAGCTGGTTTCGACCTCGAACAGAGGCTGGAAGCTACCTACCTTGATTTGTCAGCTCAAATGAGCTGCTGCCCGACGCCCGCGTGCAGCTTCGCCGACCGATGTGGAGAATTGAATTGCAAGCAAATGGGATCGCCGACCTGTTGGCAAGCTGCGTAATCTGAACAACAGAGCGAAGGCAGCAAAGCGTCCGATCATTGCAAAGCGTCTCGGGTAGGCGAAGTCGAAGCTCAGCATAGCATTTGGCCTGGTAGATGTGGGTTAAGATGATATCTGCGGCTTAATCGGTTGCTCGCTCATGTTAGAGACTCTGAGAGACGACGTCCGATTCCGAAGGGAGACGTTCTCCGGTTTGATAGCAGCATCCGCTCAATACCGGTCGAGGTACTTCTGTGCGACCGCTGTTTGTCCGAAGGCGGCGCTGTTGCACCTCGATCCGGTGCCCATTGAGGCATCTCATTGCTGGTTCGAGTCAAAGCGAGTTCAGACGAAACTGAGATGAAGTTGAGGCCAAAGTGAAAGCCGATGTATAGCCGGAATCCCACAAGATCAACTCCACCATTGACCTCTGTAGACGACCACAACACACTTTTATCTCGTATTCCAAGTCCACCATGAGATAGTTAAACGTATACATGAGGCTCCCAGTGTCGCCATGACCGCGCCGCCGTCACGTCGCCTGCCAACACCGCGGAGATGGCAGGAGGCCGAGCGCGACAGATCATCTTCCGCATCTTCTACAGCACCTCTTTCACGGCCGTCTTCATCCTCCTCATCATTTTTAGCGCCGTTACTCCTGCCGACACCATCTACGAGTCCTACAAGCGGAATCGCCTGATCGATATCTTCCTGATTGCCGGCGTCTACGTATTCACTGCACTCCTCGCAGTCCTCATCTATGCGTCCAGATTATACACGAATCGGTCGGTGCTTAAGGATATACCGAAGACGTTTATGCCCATCGAGAAGGAAGATCTCCCGGGCCGAAGGGTGCATCGACTCATCCAAGAATGTCTAGAGCGGAGTGCTGTGATTGCTTTTCAGGTCAGGCCACGGAGTAAGAGACTCGAGCATGATACAATAAATGCTGGGATGAGAATGTTAGCCTTGACAAAGACAAAATCAAGCACCGATCAGACGATCGAGCCGAGCTGGGGAAATATTGCACATGCAGGGTGGTCGTCGCCGGCATCCAAGGAATTGCCCGGTCTCGAGTACGCGACCGTAGTGGATGAATTGGTGGATCTTGTCGAAGCGAAGACCGTCAGCCTCGCCCCGATAGATCCGCTGGTCGAGCCTGGGCCTGATGGCAGTCCACTACCCAATCCGAGAGTCATTGAGGAAATCGCTAGGAGCGGCAATATGGGGATGAGAGCTTATCTTCGATACCTCATTGATATTGGCGTGGTTCCGGACGATTCTCTCACCGTCGCATTCCTGGCGGCATATGAACGAACCCGGTTTTCGTCAGTGCCCTTGAGTGATGATGACTTCCAGGCTCTTATGCGCATGTTTGCCGAACTCCTGCGCCACATGACGCCGGTCGAAGTTGATCTACTCCATCTCGAATCGGACTCGGAATACGGCTCTGGTCAACACTCGCACTCTCAGTCGGATTCGTCGAGCCTGGTGGAACGAAAAGTGTCTCATCGGTCTCGACATAGAGATGTAGAAACAGCCTCTCTGCCGTCTACATACTCTGCCTCGGGCTCTGTTCGCCATCATAAACAGCCTCCACGCCGTGTCTCCGAAGACTCTGCTCCATCTTTATCATCGTACGAACTCGTGCACCACGCACCTTCAGAAGCGGGCGCCGACGACCACGATGGTGACGAAACAGGAGACGCTGATGCCCAGTCACTTCAAACTGCGCCGACAACAGCACCACGGTCCCGTTCCCGACCCCGACCGCCACTTAGAACGTCGACGTCTAGGATGTACTCGGCTGTGTCGCGACTGCCTTTACACCCAAATGACTCTGGTTCCTTACATTCCAACACCGGCTCAGTTGTGCATCATGATGTGGAAACACAAAGTTCCCGCTCCTCAGGAAGTTTGAAAAGCCGGGTCCGAAAAGACAGGCATAATGGTCGTGTACTCAGGCTTGCGAGGGAAGATGAGACTGGGCGTGGGGACAGCCAACACGGCTTGCCCTACCGTATCCAGATCCCACAAAGAGATTCTGGGTAAGAGCAACACTTTGACGACAGTACGACCGACACGATACGAGAATAAATCTTGGGCAGCTGTAGGCTGAGTAATGCTTCATCACGGGCTACAGCTGCTTGGTTTAGCCGGCAGGCCCCTTTTCTTGGATATAATGTATATTGTACTCAAAGTTAGCAGGGACGCTTCAAGCTCTTGACGAGGTGGTAATTAGCGAATGTCGACCCCGGTGTCCGAATCTGAACGTCGTGGGGTTTCAGCATGGTCAGTTGTTCTTGTGCGGAACGTGGACTTTCGTTCTGCCGAGTTATTACATGCCCCTTCTTACAGTACCTTCGTGTTGACACGCTCTTGTCATTTTCCCTCGCAAACCGGGTCGATTGATGCCTTCCAAGACTCTCTTAATTAGTCCCCGGGTTTTCTTTAATCACCGGCATCTGCGCCGAAGATGCAGAAGCAAACCCCACCACCGCCGCCCATGCCTTAGCCATGCGCGGGCTATACCACTCCGCGATGTTATCTCTGGGCCACTGGCGGGCGAGGGCAAACACGACCGGATCATCACATACTGTACAGTAGGTATGAGAATTACTTCCTCGGGACGTCCTTAGCTAGGTACCTACTGAAGACCACATGCATTCCTTAACCCGGAAGCCGAGATGCATTGAGATGCCGGAGAACTGTGCGCCCCTGTTCCCCTCTTCTTTGTCTACTTTTCAGTACTTTATGCGCATATGACCTACGTAGATTCAGGGCCTCCTCTGACTCGAACTCGGGTTCGGACTCGATGTCTCAGACAATGTAAGTTTGGACGTATGTATCTCGCGCGATAACAATGACGCCCATCGTGACCTTCAGTCCGTCTCCTCAGGGAGTATGTAGAGCTGCACGCTTAGCTTCGGACGTAGAGGACGGAATGAAAAGCAGGTGCAAGAATGTCACTTGAGCGCGAGAATTGCTGTCGTTCCCGATGCTGTTCTCGTGCGTCGTTCTCGTTTTTGACCAACACCGTCTCGATGCCTCCTCGGGTATTATCATTTCTCGTTATCATTCCACTCCCATTGCCCGCACATAATCATCGTAGCGAGGAGAGAGTCATTTCCTGTCTCCCACGACCCATTCCGCTACATCAAACCCAAATGCATCTCGTAAGTAGCGTCCCAGGAGAAGAACCGCAGATAGCACCTGCCCCCCTTAAACGATCCCCGTTTCTGTCCTGAACGCTATGCTACCGTCACAAATCAAGTTTATTTCATTCAGTCGTCCTCTGCACGAGAACCTCGCCCTTTAAAACCTGGAAAGCATTCCACCAGATCATCAGCCTCGTCAGGCGTGACGCTCTCCTCTAGCATTTGCGTCGCCATCGCCACGGTCTCGTCACTGACAAGCCGGTCAATCACGAACCCTTCCGAGAAGGCCAGCCGCGTGAGCACCACGCGGTGTTTGTGCACGCCGCCGTTAATCGCCGACAGTTTCTCTTGGAGGTTGATGGAACTGCCATGGACTTGAAGGAGGTGGTAAAAGAGGGAGACACCCTTGTTGATCAGCTCGGCGTGCAGGTGATGAGTGGTCGGGTGGAGCGCGTACATCGCCGAAACTTCATCGTAGAGGCTTCTCACCAGACGGCCAATGGCGTGGGCGTCATTCGCGAGTAGCAGACTGCCGTGATGGGATGGGTCATCATGGGGATGTGGCGAGGACGTAATCGCCATCTTGGTCAGCAGATCCATGACTTCGAGACGGAGGTGGCAGAGTTGAGCGGTCGTGTTGGGAGGTAGACCTTCGTCGACACGCGGTGTTTCCCATAGGAGGTAGCATATGCGGCTCAGGGTCCAATGCTCGACTTGGGTTTGTTGATCGTCGGCGCAAATGCTTCCGAAGGTCGAGGGAAAGATGCTGGTCGAAAGGAGACGGAGCATGAGCGAAATGTCTGAAATGGGCTGCCAGGCATTGAGCATCATCAGGACAAATTCCGGATTCATCTGGCGCCAGAACAGTGAGAGTAGCTTAGGGTCGTCGGACACAGTGTACGCTATGGTGAGCATGAGGTCTAAACAGTACGTGCCGTTGACTTCTCGATTTAGAATGGACTGTGGCGTCTGTCGGAATTTACCGTATGTGGCGTGGTAGACGGGTGAGTGTTCGAAGCGGTTCTTTGCGTTGATGGTGATGGAGGATTGGAGGACGAGGCTTAGAGCGGTGATGATGTCGGCGTCAAGGACGGACATTTCGAGGTTGATGATATAGTTGACAACTTCCAGGAGTAAGCTGATCGGCTTGTAGTATTGCTCTTTTATGCACTTGGACCACAGGTCGACAAAGAGTTGGAGGACATCACTGGGGAGACGGCTTCCTGTAAGCTGAGCAGTGCCTTCCAAAACAATGGCCGAAAATGTCTTGGTCGGGCTCGAAGGCAAGGTGAACTTGACAAGAGCTTCAATCAGTGGGTCTTTGGTGTCGTTGAGCTTGTATTTGAGGATTGACTGTAGGAATTTGAGATGCCGCTCAGCCTGTTTGTCCCTTCGAGTGACAGGGACCACGGGCTCGACTGTCTGCACAGGTTGGGGCGGTAAGTTAGTCTGACCCTGATGCGACAGCCGCAGAGGCAGAGGCTTGATGGGACTTGGTTCCGCAGCTTTTCGTTTCCTTTTGTTTGCCGCGGTGGGCGTTGGTGGTTTGGAGCGTCGGGCAGATTTCGAGGGCGATACGAGCATAATGTCGCTATCATTGAAGCCGTCTCGAAGTGAGTTTGCCAGCCCACGTCTGGGCGTTGCGATAGGACTGGTCTCTCTTTCAAGCTGTGCCTTGTCCCGCAGGCGCTGTCTCAATGCTTTGCTTTCCTGAACTTCCTGGTTATGCTCTTGCTGCAGAAAATTGTACTGAGTTGTCAGGTTGTTGTTCTTCTCGGTCAGCGCATATAGCTGCGCCGTATGCTTGGCCAATTGCTCTTCCATAGACTTCTTGAGGGCGCCAATTTGTTGGCTGTAGCCTCTGCTCTCCTCTTCCAATTTGGCTCGGACAATGAAAATCTCGCCTTTCTGCAATGATACTGCGTCATTTGCTGCTCGAAGCTCTTGCGCAAGTTCATCCCGTTCCTGCTGTAGTTTCTCGAGGCGATACTGGACGTTTTCATGTTCATCTACCTGCGCAGCGTGTCCACTTTGCTGGGGAGGTGCATCCAACATCATCTCATCAGGCCTTGGTGGGATGTTCTGCAACGAACAGTCGCCTCGGTCGGGTTGAAAGGAGCTTGCCTGGCGCGATGGGTCCTTGTGAAGGAGAGAGCGATGGAAAGAGCCATCATAGGCTTGACCGTGGCGTTGTCGGAATTGTTCTCTCCGAGCGGCCTCGCTCGTTTGTGCCCGTCGAAAAGGAAAGGAATCATATTCCTCGACCGGAGTAGGCACGCCCTCTTCACCTATCAACTCGAAGCTATCATCTTCCTCTGTCAGATACCTGTGAAAGGCAGGATTGGAGATCAGAGGACGGGAATTGGGTAGTGCTTGTGCCGCTGCTGTCCTAGGCTGCGGTATAGGGAGTGGCCTCTGCTCTGGCGGGGTTTGAGCGTGCAAGTCCTGAACCTGGGCCTGTGTTGACAGTATAGCATTGTGCTCGAGCTCTTGAAGAGCGGTCTCTGAGAGGCTGTCAAACCCATCGTCGTCGAAGAGGTCGGTCTCGTCTTCGTTGTCGTCCATGCCATTCATACTCGACCTCCATTGAGGACCAGCGACGATGAGGGTCTAGACGTCTTGGACATATCAGACAAATACCGTTGGCAGGGGGTGTGCGGACGTTGAACCCGTTGTCAAAGACGCGACTGACGCGGTATCAACACCGGAGGCACGAAAGGCGAATTATTCCCTGTGTTTGTGAATGTTGCATTAGTGGTGGCGGACTGAGGAGGCCACGAGCCAGTCCCGAGTTCCGGGTCCTTAAGGTAGCTGACGTATTGGCGCCTAAGCCGCTTCTTAAACCCAAAGGGCAGCCCTATGACGCAAGTCCCGGCGGTGCCCAGGGCGAAGTCAAACCGCTTTGCGCAGGCAGACTGCGCTCCAACATGATTCTTAGTGATCAATTTGAGGTGCTGTCGAAACACTGCGACACTCTCCACCACTTGCCACATTCAAGTTCCCTCAAGTAAAGGAATTATCAATTGCAGTTCTTTCCAGAATCAGCAGCACAGGACTCTGTCGACAAGCTGCGCTTAGTAGGAACCGCCAGGCCAAAGTTGACCAGCACGTGTCAAGTGAGGCATCCCCTCTCTTTCCCAAACTGCAATCTCCATCTCCTTTGGCCAGCGCGCACCCCTGATAAAACGGCAAAATCTTCAGCCTGCGGCTCATTCATCTCGCGAGCGCGCAGCGATGCCTAGGCAAAAGGGTGTCAAGTTCCAGCATCGCAACAGCAATGGTAATGGCAATGGTAATGGCAATGGCAATGGGAACGGAAGCCATCACCGTCGATCAAGCTCCTCCACCATGAGCGATACTGCGTCCGAACCACCGAGCCCTTCCAGAGAGCACCACGACAACAACGTGAACGGCAATGTGGTGAAAAGCGAGAAGCCGGCAGAAGTGTCAGAATATGAGAAGAAGAAGCAAACCTTCATCACACGAATGATATGGACACTGGTCATGATCGGCGGTTTCTTTGGCTCCATGTTCGCCGGCCACATCTACGTCCTTATGATCATAACCGCTGTCCAGATCATCTCATTCAAAGAGGTCATCGCGATTGCTCAGGTGCCTACGAAGCAGAAGAACCTACCCTTGACGACCTCTCTGAACTGGTATTTTCTGGCCATCACGATGTACTTCCTCTACGGAGAAAGCGTGATCTACTACTTCAAGCATATTCTTTTGGTCGATAAGGTCTTGCTGCCCTTTGCGACCCATCACCGCTTCATTAGCTTCATGATGTACATCTTCGGTATGCATGCCCCTGTGTTCGTCTAGTCCAGCGCTGACAAACTAACAGGGTTCATCTCCTTCGTTGCCTCTTTGAGGAAAGGGTATTACCGATTCCAGTTCGCTCAGTTCGCTTGGACTCATATGGCCCTCTACTTGATTGTCGTGCAAGCGCACTTCATGATGAATAACGTGTTTGAGGGCATGATCTGGTTCTTCCTCCCCGCGTCTCTGGTCATCACCAACGACATCTTCGCATACATCTGCGGCATCACGTTTGGACGCACTCAGCTCATTAGTCTTTCGCCCAAGAAGACCGTCGAGGGATTTGTGGGAGCCTGGATTTGCACAATCTTCTTCGGATTCGCGCTTACCAACGTCTTGATGCGCTACAGTTACTTCATCTGCCCCGTCAACGATCTCGGTGCCAACGTTTTCACTGGTCTGCAATGCGACCCGAACCCGGTTTTCAAGCCCTACCCATATAATATCAAGGGCTTGACTGGTCTTGACTACACCTTTTTCATCTCGCCTATGCAGGGTCATATTCTCGTGTTCGCATCGTTCGCCTCGCTCATTGCACCGTTTGGGGGTTTCTTCGCATCTGGCCTGAAACGGACATTCAAGATCAAGGACTTCGGCGACAGCATCCCTGGACATGGCGGTATGACAGATCGTATGGATTGCCAATTCATCATGGGTCTCTTCGCCTACATGTATTATCAGAGCTTTATCGCCGTCTATAAGACGTCCGTGGGTGGTGTCCTTGAGACGGCTATCATGGGTTTGTCTCCAGAGGAGCAAATCGAGTTGTTGAAGAGACTGGGCTGGTACTTACAGGGTCAAGGTATTGTGTCAAATAAGGTAAGCCCTCCCTTTACCAGGCACATTGCAACGGGCGCTAACACGCACCACCAGGTTGAGCAATGTCTATCTGGTGTGCTCGGGAAAAAATAACGATGAGACGACCTGCATATAATCTTTCTTCGATTCTTCATATTGTGCGGCCTAAAGTACGGCGCCGCTACCAAAGCGTTGTTGTGGACTAGCATAGCGGTGGAGTCCGGGTGACGGGAAAAGACGATGCGTCGAACATCAGGCGCTTCCTCCGATCTCGCCGTCTTTTGTGGAAGAGCAAGCGCTGGGCGCTTGCTGTGCCATGGTCGCGCTGATTATTTGGCTGTATGCTTGGGCACGGAGGGTACAAAATTCGTCCGCGTTCGCAGGCCCAGAAACCCATGGTCTGATATGTCAAAAGCTTCGGGGCCTCACTCGCAATGTGATGACGTGTATGAGCTTCTTTGGCGCTGCCAGGTCGCCGCAATCGAAAACATGCCATGATTAAAAGGCACTGTAGCCCTTTTCCATTGCTTATTTCTTCAGCTCTGACCTCTTCCACCACCGCCGCCGCCCCCTCTGCCCCTCCCGTGCCCTCTTCCACCACCCCGTCCTTGCCCGCCACCTCCACGGCCACCGCGGTCGCCCCCTCTGCCACCGGCACTGTGGCCTGCTTGTCCGCCTCCACGGCTCCCTCGCTGACCGCCATCTTGGCGATGCTGTTGTTGATGTTGCTGTTGTTCTCGTGCAATGTCGATGATCTCTTCCGGAACACGGAGATACTTGATCTACATAATGCAATTAGCCTCAGTGTATCAGAAAGAGAAACAAAAAAACCATGAATACGCACATTATTCCCCCTCACGTAACATTCGGGCAACCTCCAGAATTTGTCGCCCTCAGGACTCGTCTGCACGACTTCCTTCAGCGTCAAATTCATCCATGTGTCGCAGTTGACGAGGTGACCGTTGAGAGTTTCGCCGTTTTTCAGCTCCACGAGCATAGGGTGGCCTTGTGCCGCTGTTAAGAGCCCGAGGGGGAGCATGGCGAGGTGTGAGCTTTGCTTGGCGCCCTCCGTGTCGCGGTCTGCGGATACCTTGCTAAGACGTTTCACGGAGTGATGGAGTGGTGTTGGAGGGTGCTTCGGTGCTTGGTGCTTGTCGTATAGTAAACCCTGTGTTGCTAGTTCTCATCCGGCCGGTTGTGTTCAGTAAAGGGTGTTGACATCCTGAGGAAAGGCTTGGCAGTGAAGTTACATGCACGTCCTACGGTGAAGGACACAAGCATGACGAGCGCCATTTGCTCACGTGTCTGTCTATCAACTGGCTTGTTGGCTTTTGCTCAAACTTGATCCCTCAACTCGCTCCTGGCTTTCACCCAGATATCCCATGCCGACTGCAGACCTGAATCGCTGCCTGTGGCTCAGTAAACAACATCTCAAAGCTTGATCATGGCGCCGCAGTGTCAATAACGTTATCCTCACGTGACCGGGTAATTGGAGCTCCCAATGCCACTGAGACTCGGTGCCGGATGGCAGCCACCGGCCGAGATGCTCGGGCTGTGCAACGCTTGTCACTCCGAAAAACCACGCACCAAACCCCAACAGGCAGTGGCTGCCAGGCGCCACCAGGCGTTCCGCCATTGTGTTTCTCCTTCTTGTGCCTCTCTCTCCGCTCCTCAGGCACCAGCCAAAAAGCCGTGTCGGGCCAAACATCACCAACCTAATCAGTCTTCCTTCTCTGACTTCTCCCCCACAACACAACCAGCTCCTTTGAGGCTTCTGGGATATGGAGTCGTGAGAGGTGTGAAATTTGTGAAGTGTTCACTTCCACTTGGAGGTGGCAGTTCAGTTTGCATTCACAATCAGCTGTACAATTGACCATTAAGTGGCCTCCGCCTGTCCTAGTCCCACTTGCTTGGGTGGTTCATCCTTCGGTTCGGCGAGATTCAAAATGTGCTCGTTATTGATTCAGGCTGCCACTTTGTTCCTGACGCTTGCAACGGCCTCTCTTCTCTGCGCTGCTTCTCCTGCCCCTTCCCCATCCCCAAAGGACATCACGACCGTTGCTGGTACAACAGGTAACTGACCTCTTGATCGTCACTTTCGCTGGTGGCTTACTCGAAGAAGGTCCTGATCACTTATCAATCTATTTCAATGCACCCTGTCCGGGGTGTTTTGAGGGCCCAGACGATGGATTGGTGCGTCATACTAAGAGGACAATCTTGTTCGTCTGCGACCCTTATTGACGCCTGGCTGTGTAGGAACTCACCCTAGACATCGACTCCGCCGAAGAGGAGTGTGGTACTACAGCTCCCCGACTGAATGGCCTCCCTCTCGTCGCCTCGAACTACGGCAACGGTGTTGCCAGTGGGCAGATCTTCTTACAGTCGACGTCTACCCGTGACTCCAGCGTCAGGAATGTCCACGCCTCGTGGGAATCAACATGCCTCAAAGGCGAAGCTTCGATGGTATCCGTCCGGCTCGAGGGAGTTGTCGGTCAAGATCCTCTCAATGACACGTCGGGCTTTACCACCTCCTTCAAACAGAAAGGCCAACCTCAAGTGCTCCGCCTCCAAGACAAACCTGTGAATCGGCTCTCCCAAGATTTGTGCGAGGATTGGCTCGCTTCGTCTGGTCACGTACCTTCAATCACGCCTATCCTGTCCGAGCCTCATTCCCCTGTTGACATACTGCTGCAGGCTGAATATGCGCAGCTTGCACAGTTACAGGCCGACATGGAGCTGCTCCATGAACAGGTACACTCAACGCTCAGGAACATCATGTCGCTATTGAAGCAGAAGTTCACCGCGTGCTCGAGCATGCAATGCGTATGGAAAACCGCAGTGGGCGAAGTGTCACCTATCGCAAACCTCCTGGTCGCTCACTTCAAACATCACAACAAGCTAGTTAGCGGATGCAGGGAGGGCGACGCTCAGTCACCTTGCTCCACTGTTATCCAAGACAAGACATCGGAGGAGCCACTCATGATCGAAAGTGAAAGTGTACATGATGTTCTTGATGGAGCCCATATCACGCCTGCTGCGTCCACACCTACCACACAGCCTTCCGCTTCTCCGCAACCTACTACTCGGGCTGTTGCTTCTGCCTCACCTACATATGTCCAAGCGTTTTCCGCCTCCTCATTCGCCACTCTTGCCAGTGCCACACCCTCTGCAACCAACCATCACGGCCTTCCCCACACACGTCCTCACGACGGACAAATTGCACTACAACGCAAGCTTGGCCTTGCGATCATATCCCTTGTTCTGCTGGTCATAGTGTCAGGTGTTGTTATCCGGGCGATCATAAAATTTCGAGATCCACGGCGACGAGCTGAACGTGCTGCTCGTTGGGAGGAGTGCCGCACAAAGAGGCTCTACCGCAAAGCTGCATGCAAGCACAAGTGGAAGACATTTTGGAAAAATCTGTGTACTCGCAAAGCAGGCCCAGAGGAGTATGAAGAAAAGAGAGCGACACTTCTTGAGCACGACGGCTCGCCCGAGGACGATGACGGCGGCCTACAAAAAGAAGTTCGCACGATGCAGAACGCCACTGATTTTGTGAGAGATCTCGTGCAAGCTGAAGAGGGTCGAGCAAGGCACGTTCGATCAAGTAACTATTCTCCGGACGGTTTCGAGCCGGCCGTGCTTGGTGGAGACGTGGGGAGCAGCCGGTCTTCTGACATTGCCCCATCCTATAAAACAGACGTGACTCCGCCTCCCCGATATGAAGAAGAATTGGAAGGCGAGATGATTGTCGTTGACGGATTCCGGTACAGATATACCCCCAGCAATACGGATGACACGCCGGAAAGCAGCATTGTCGACTGCAGTCCGAGACTAAGTCTCGAGACCGGCAGGTCAACCATTCTCACCAAGGACACGCGAGATTGACGGGCATTCAATCTTTGTGCGTTCTACACACTTATACCCAGACGACATGCCGGACCGCGCATTTAGGTGCTGGATCAGAGTCCGGAAGGTCTCATTTGTTCGAAAGGGATTTATAACGACTGTACATTATGACTATGCGGGTCGGCGCTGTTGGATGATTTCATAAAGGGGACGTTGTTTTCTGAGTGCCTCAAGGAAAATACTGCTGAAATAATACCGCGGGCAAGTACGGAGTAATTGAGACGGAAGAGATCTTGTCATGTTGGAAGTCAAACCCCCAAGCTTCTGACACACTGAGCCCTTGTCGGCTCAGGGGATGGATACCTGCTGCTTGTTCGCCTCATGTTACAGGACACTTCCACAAGTGCCATGAGACTTTTAGGCCACCACCTACACAAGACCTGTACCCTGAGTTCAGTGCTCTGAAAACGACCAAGCATGCACCTCCCTTTCAGCTGACACATTCCCGCCCATGCACAACCCCGTATTCTAACACAATTCTCCGAGCCCCGTTCAACGATCGACGCCGGTTAGATACCCTTTTTGTCCATGCCAATGTTGGCGACCAACCATCGAGCGAGTTGCGCTCGAAATAGTCAGCGTGAGGCCTCTTCAGGCGTACCATATCCGAGCCTATAGGCGAGTTCGGTATACGAACAGTCCTCGACACCTCGGCCGCCGGGTATATCGAGTGGTGGCTACCCAGTACATGGTTTGGGCCCTTCATCGCATTACCGGATCGCGGCCGTGGCATACGTACAGTAGGTCATTGTCGATTATCAAATTATCGACCCATAACCGCGAGTTATCCACGTCGGGTTTCTGAGCTACCCTAGTATGCTCTCTAACATTGCCCACATATTAGAAATCAGAGAGGTAGTGAATTGTTGTGGCCCCGGGTCTGGTCTTCGGTTTACACCACTGCGCAATTGACATAAACAGACGGAGACAGCTCGAAAGACGTGGAGGGAGAAGGGCAACCGACTTGGATTTAGGAAGAGGACGACGGTGACGACGACAACAACACCACCACCACCACCACAACACCACCACCACCACAACACCACCACCACAACATCATCATCTTCCGTTCCACACAGAGCACGACATCATGCCTCCAGCCATCCTCATCATCCCCGGCTCCTTCTCCACCGCGCAAATGTACTACCCCCTCCAAGACGCCATCACGGCCCTCTCACCCGCACAAGAAACCTACGTGGCCAACCTGCCCAGCGCGATCCGCAACCCGCCCGAACAGCCCGCCACCTTGCAGGACGACGCGACTTTCTTCCGCGGCCTGATCGAGAAGCTACTCGTAGCCAACCACCACCAGACGGAATCGGATGAATCCTCCAAGGACATCATCCTCGTCGCGCATTCGTACGGCGGCGTCGTCGCCACAGAGGCCCTCCGCGGCGTGTCGAAGCAGGAACGCCTCAAGAGTGGTAAAAGCGGCGGCGTCATCCGCGTCGTGTACCTCGCCGCGCATGTCCCAAGGGAGGGATCTAGTCTGGAGGATACGGTCGGGCCGCCCCCTGAGGGGATGGTGGCGGTGGGGGAGGTGCGTACAGTTTTACTTACTTCTGTTCTACTTACTCACTTCGTTCGTGGTTTGTAGGACAACTTCCTCCGCTTCCTCGACATCGAGACCATCGCCAAAGCGACGTTCCCTGACTATCCGCTCGATTTGGCGTTGAGTCAGGTGCGCGCCATGGGCAGACACTCCAACGCCAGCTTTACGAGTAAAGTGACGTATGAAGGGTGGAGGGACGTCGCCGTGTCGTGGATCCTGTGTGAGCGCGATCTCATCATCCCGCCGGCCGTGCAGAGGGGGTATATTGACCGGATCGGCCAGGAGAGCGGGAGGGAGGTTGATCTTCATGTTCTGGACGCGGGGCATTGTCCGAATGTCACGGCGCCGGAGGCTTTGGCGGAGGTCCTTGTTAAGATTGTACAGGCGGAGGTGGCAGATCAGATGAGATGAGATCTGGTGAGATGAGATGAGGTATTTCGAAAACGAGAGAACAGGATGGCAAGTTCTCCTTGGGGTGTAGGTAGGTGATGGTTTCAGACCTGAATGTGTGATGTGGAATGTGGTAGTAGTTGTCTCACGCTATAGGTCTAGGGCTTTCGAGGTTGAATGCCCATGTCGTTGGCAGAGGAATGGTGATGGAGAGTACCGCCCTCATATATGAATCCGCTTCAATCACAAACAGAGGACCGTCTCACATGATATTCTGTTTCAATCGCAAGATTCCTAGTAAAGAAGGGTTGGCGTTCCATGACTTTCTCATGGTCAGCTGTGCGAGATTGTTTGTGGACCGTGAAGCCTTCTGACTCAAGGTGGACAATGTCAACTAAGGCTGCCCAGCGAACATCACGGCTTGGAACGATACTACCCTGATCTTGTTGCTTTCATTTCTGCACTGAACAGCTTGTACAAAATGCTCCGAGGTCTGTCAAGGGGAGAAAAGGACACAACTGGCAGACGTAGGGTCGTCGGAGATTATCTCTCAAAAGGCATGGCGGGATTGAGATGGCTTTTCTCCATTGCAACAATCAACACGTGTCTGGGGAAATATCTGGGGAAAGCGGTGATACCCAGCAGGCAGATCTGGCATGACCCCGTCGTCTGCATGCTGTTCTGGCTGAGCAGTGGGACGTATATGCGGCTGTAGTGGATAATCGAGATGTGTTGCAGATTCCCTCTCATTGTGAAAGGGCTGGTTGATAGAATGCTTTTAGCAGGGAACCAAATGACCAGCCTAGTTAGTGTGCTCAGAGAGACCCGCGCTCAGCACAGATGCATGCCTACCATCTGTGTTGTCGAAGTGATCTACTACCTGAAGAGGGGGCAAGCTGAAGCGATATCAATACCTGGTAGGCGGACCTCTGTCGACAGAGCACCTCGGAATCTTGCAATACCGGGTGTTTCCAGTCCAAATGCATCCGTGCTAGAAGGCGGAATCACTGCTCCATTCAACGACAAAGACTTTCTCCTTCCCCTGGCATAGCTGACCGATCACTGGCTCTGGATGCTCATGCAGTTGGAGCACGGCATGCCGCTGGACGAGCCATCACACTTGACCTTACGGGCTCTGCAGGGATGAGAGGCTTTCAGTGTCCTTCTCAGCGTTTTCAGCCACCGGGTTCACGAGCCCAGCATAACATAGGTAGATAGAAAGGACGACACTTGCATTATCTTTGTTTGTCATACGTGAAGTGAGTGGTTCGCTGGATCCTGGTGAAAAGAAAGTGAGGCGACAATCTGATGTCCTGTTGGCAGGTGCCATGACAATTAACGAGGTTGATGGAGGGCAAAAGCATGATCTACGCCAATAACCGCAGAGACATCTTGTCGCTTTATAGTAGTTCAAGTTTGACGCAGCATTCGAAGAGCTATTGAAGCAGATTGGAGTCGGACGTAATGAAGCGCGTCGTGAGTGTCAAATGAACGCGGCTACAACGCCAAGCTTTTCTCAATGTTCTGGTTTCACTCAAGCGAACAGGCCATGCCCAGTACTGTGTGCAAAGGTTCATTAACATCTGACTCAGCTATGTGTAGCTGATGCTCAGAACTTCCGTCCGTCATGGGCTGAAGCAAAGCTGTCGCCTTGCGGCCTTTTGTGGCCAGCAACTTCTTCTCCCGACGACTCTCCCTCCCCGTCCGCGATCGATCAATGGTGCAAGGGAAAAGCCATCATCGTCAGGAGTAGCCCAGAAAGCCAAGGAAGAAGACTCCGCCGACCTGAGACTCTCAACAGATACTGGGTTTCAGGGTTTCCCATATTTGACGGGGATCAGACGGTCGCAGGAGAAGCGGGACCACGACCATCAGGGCACCCAGTCTGCGCCAGGACCACAATCTTCCCCGGACAATACACGAGGGGTGGAAGGAAAGGCGGGAACCACACAAGACAATCAGAGAGGTGCAGCTGGGGAATCGATGACCGGGACCACCCTCGCCGCGAGTTTCAGCAAGAAGGGTTTGGAGTCTCAGCATACCGATGTATCTGCGGAAGCACCATCTATGGGGGCCGCCTCCCAAGCATCGGCGCAAATATCCCAGGAAGGGCGTTATCCGACAAAGGGGGGATTCACACACAGGCAGCTCAGGCGTCGAATGCAAAAACCCAAGCGCTTCCGCGCTCTTCTTCAAGAGGTGCGTCGTTCGGGCGAGGAGCACCCTAGAGGACTCCTAGACCTCCACACCGGCAAGCCAGAGAAGATATTGTCCAGGAAAGCGCTAAGCACCGAAGTCCTCGAGGCGGAGTTGCGCTGGGTGGCGAGAAACACGCCAGCACCCCGAGCTGTGCGCAATATTCTGAGGATCTTGCTCGAAGAGCGGAACATTAAGCCGACGCCTGGTCACTATGAGGCACTGATTCTGGGTCAGTGTCATCCGGAATTTGGGTCAATCGAGAACGTGAAGACGATCCTCCAAGAGATGGAACGAGAAGGCTTGCCTCTCGAAGCGCCCATCCTCCTTGCGGCATTGACGGTCCTATCCATCCATCCCGACACGCATCTCCGCAACAATATCCTTGACCGTCTCACGCAGCAACAATTCGCCCTGCCAAACAGACACGCCCATCTGAACATCCTCGCTCTCATCCGCGAAGAACAATTAGAAATGGCAACGGTCGAGCTCGAGAAGTTGTCGCAAAAGAACCAAGGGTCCCCGATCCCTAGCTGGTTATGGACAATCTACATCCACGCAATTTGCGATCTACGACAGGACTTTGACGCACTCATCCAACTGCTCTACAGACTTTCTGACTCCGGATTCCTCTTTCCTCGCCCCACGCTCCTTCACTTACTGCTGAAAGCCAGCCAGGCCGGAGATATTCACGTCACGAAATTTGTGTGGCACGGATATGTCGAATCCATGCATATCATTCCCAACGAGGAGCTCTGCATGTCCGTCCTGCGCGTCGCAGCCAAGGAGAACGACCTCAAGCTGGCAGAATCTGTTGCCGTAGTGTTGGAGAGCGTGGCCGGGAACGACATGACAGACCCGCCTGCCCTGGAATACCATGGATGGGAGCCCGCGCGAGAGTCACCCAATCTGCTGGGCGTGGGAGACATTCAAGTCAATGCGCGCTCAGAGTCGGAGGATTCGAGCAACACTTCAAACGACACGGACGCCGTCCCTCCACCAAGACCGACATCAGAGACTGACTCTGCGACCGCTGATTCCGAGCTGTCCACTGTATTCTCAACGCCCCCTCTTCTGCCCAACCCGGCCTTGCCACCACCTCCACCGCGCCCTCTGCCACGCGAAGCACTCGCCCTGCTCTCTTCGCTAGGACTCACCGACTTTAGCGCGGGAGCTGGGTGTACAGGACGCAGGAGGAGAAAGCCAGCGAGAGGCATCTTGTACCCTCTGTTTAGAGAGGAGATGGGACTGGCAGGCGCGAGGTTTGACCCCCGACTTGCGCTGCTAAGGGGGTGGGATTGGCGGAAGAAATGAAACATGTAACGCCCGTAGGTGGTACAAGGAGGACGACGTTCGCCCGTCAATGCAAGCACTGCGTGCGTGTTTTTGTGTTTAGTTGCGGTTGTGCATGTGCACGGAATACATACGCCGGACTACATAACTAATGCCCACTCTAGACAGTCGTCAGGTCTAGGCTGCTAAAAGCCGAGTTGTCCATTATCGGTTACTTACCACAGACTCAACGAACGGCGTCGATACGAAACCGCCGGAAAAGCGAGGGCACTCCACAGCTAGCACTATTTTTGCATTGCGAGTCACCTAAATGTAGGGACCCTTAGGGTGATTTTGATTGACGAAGATCGTAGGCAATGGGGGCAACTTGTGCTCACTCCGCTCCCATACCACGCATGATATACTGCAAGATGAATACTGTGGTTCGAACTCTTCTCTCCACATGGACAAGCACGCTGAAGTGGATTGAAATAAATAGTTAGGTCGAGCTATCGACGAATGTAGAAATGCTGGCAAGCCTTGGTCTCAAGAGACCTGTCCGTCCACCTCGTTTCCTGACGCACATACGCCGGGCTCAGGCCATGTACCGACGCATCATCGGGAGAATCTGGCAGAGTCTGGACCGTCCCAAACCCCATCGCTAATGATACAAGCATCGAGAGAAGAATAATGGCGCTTCTTAACCTGCATGCTCGACAATCTCACTGACAAGAGTGCCGTTCTTGATCACGCTGCGTATCTGCTCCGGGAAGGGCAGTTCTTTGCTGTCATCTTCAGAGTCGTCCTTGGGCGGCAACACAACGTTGATGGCGCTGCACTTGCTGGTGAAGATTTCCGTGCTTAAGCTATCATTGGAAAGGTAGATCTGAGCGCCGTCGACTTGATCGAGCAGGATTGTAGGCACGACGCCATCAACCTGAACCTGAATCTTAGGTGCCTTGATGATGTCCAGGCTGGACACGAGTGATCCGACCAGTATCGACAAGCCGGTGCAATTGTCGATCGAGATAGCGTTGGCCTTTCCGCTGACCTTCAGGACGCATTTGTTGCATTTGGAGATCAAGATGCTGTGGTTAAGCTCGGCAGGAATCTCGATAAGCTCGTTCTGAGTGTTTTCAAAGTTCTCGACGATCCATTTGTTACCATCAAGCTCCTTCCGACCTGGCTTCTTAGCCCTCAGGCTTTCAGGTTTCTTGCTGGGGACGGGAGATTTCCCACGCGCCGAGACAGATGTCTGGGATTCGGAACGTTGCGGTACAGCGGAGCCGGCTCTGAGAGACGGGTTCTTGTGCGTCATTTGCGACTTGTCGACCTTTTTCAGTCCCGCCGTAATAGCAGATCCTTTATTGATCTGTTCGAAGACCGCATCAATACCTCCACCTTGCGAAGTGTCGCCGGCTGGTGGCAATGGAGGAGCCGGAGGACCATCGTCGTCGAACTTGGGCAAAGGCGGCGGCGGCGGAGGAGGAGGGGGACCACCGGCGGTCGTTGCTGCTTTGGGGGTAGCCGCACCCGACTGGATTTGCTTCAGCGCCTCGAGAGCGTCGATGCCATCTTTCGAGTTCCAGGTCAGGCCCGTGGGGAAGTACTCTTTTACGTAGGCGGCCAGAGAGCGGAAGACTTTGTAGTACGCCTGGATGTACTCAACGTGTGACTTATCCCTGTCGTTCTTGTCAGCGAGCGGCGCGGCGCGGACAACATGATGCACCTACTTGTCCTTGTACTCTTTCAGTATCTTGTTCCCGTCTGCAAGGTCCCAAAGTCAGTCCGGTGAGTCAACGACATCCCCTAGCCCTTTGCGACTCACAGTACTGAGCACCTCCAAGGGTATCTGTGACAAAATCACTCGGCCTCTTCTCAACGATCCAGCCCAGCGCCACGATACCTTCTGATACGGCGCTTAGATGGGTGAACAGAGGAGACGGTCGATTGGCTTCTCGGATTTCGTCGACGTTTGAGGTGTGCCGGTGAAGCTCTGTCATCAACTCAGGAGGCTGAGGATCAGGCTTCTTCGCCTTTGCCGCGACGAGCAGGTACGTCCGCTCAGCTTCGAATGCCTCCTTGACGGCCTTTGCCTGCTCTTCGACCAGACCACCAATCTTCTCTGCAGCTTTCACAAAGGCCACGACATCCTCCTGGATTATCTGGTCAAAAGCCTCCACGGACCTGGGCAGGGGCTCTGGCGGCGGCGGTGGCGCTTGCTCAGGGGTTCCAGCCGGGGCTGACGAAGGCAACAAAGCAGTGGTGACTCCGTTGGTGACAGCCGCCCCAGGTCCATCTATGGCAGTGGCAATATCCTCCAGTCGTGAAGTTGCGGCTTCCAATCTGTCCAGGCCGCGCAGTTAGCAGAAGTTTCCATTGGGAGCGTTAACAGGTGTCAGATGAAGCGTGGCCTGTCCGGCTGAGTGTGCGGTATATCTGCCTACCTTTTGATGAGCGTTGTCAAATTGTGCATACTCCCCTGCGCGGCCATGGTGACAAATGCAGTAGTCTATGTATCCAAAGAATGGGAGTCTGAGGATCTGACGAGGTGAACTGTCTCGGAGTTGCATTATAGACGTCCGGCTAAACCCTGGCAGTTTGCTGCAGTTACTACGGCGGATGGGAGAGCATATTGTGCTGTTGTCTTGTGCTGCTACTACGGTGGCGTGGGCGGGCAAAAGAGCACGCCATGCCGAAGCATTCATCTTTCGTCCATGCCGGTTTGCTGTCAACAGATGTACGCGGACAAAGACTACCAAAGACCGTGGTTGATGACCTATCTTTGTGTGAGCCTGTCGCTTCAAGCTAGATGGTAATATGGCGTGCCATCCCCGGATATGTGCGTCGCCAATCTTGCAGGACATAATCCGGAAGCTGCTCGTTACGTGCAAAGACCCGCCAGTTTAAACGTCATGGGCGAGCTCTTCCATCCCTAAAGCACAAAACCCTTTGAGCTCTTGAATGTGGACCACCAAAGAGCCTTGCGTCTTTTAGGCATATGTGCTATTAGAACGGAGAAACGGTCTGATGTTCCAGGTCCAGCACTACCGCGCTTGCCTCTAATTGACTCAGCCGACGATAAAATGGAAATGACTGACCAGATAACGGCATGGCAGACTGCTCAGGATGGCCTAGACAAGCTGACCAAAGCGAGTTTTCCAATGCCAAAACCAGGAAAGGATGAAGTGCTGGTTGAGATCCACGCGGTTTCTCTGAACTACCGGGATACTGAAGGTACGTCTGTTTTGTTTGATCGTGGCACCTTAGTTTACGTCCGTCGTCGTAGCTAACCTCGTCATCTGGACTATCTTTCAGTTGCTATGGGCCTATATACGCACCACAAGACGATTGGATCTGCAAAAGTCGTGCCTTGCTCAGACATGTGCGGCACTGTTGTTGCGATCGGAGATAGAAAGCCAGGGCTTTGGCATGTTGGGGACCGAGTCTTATCGATCTTCAATCAAACTCATCTTACAGGACAGATCAAAGAACGAGACATGGCATTCGGTCTTGGCCTTCCCCTTGACGGCGTGCTCCAGACATATCGTGTCTTCCCCGCCACTGGATTGGTAAAGGCCCCCGATTACCTCACCGACGAGGAAGCTTCCACTCTACCGATTGCAGGAATGACTGCTTGGATGTCCCTCAATGGTATGAAGCCTCTCGACAATGGACATGGCGATCGACAGACCGTCTTGTTGCAGGGTACCGGAGGTGTTTCTATTGCCGGACTTCAGATTGCTCATGCTGCAGGCGCCAAGAGTAAGTAACACGTTCACGTATCGTTTGCGATGGCGTCCAGTTTTGTCGAGCTTGCAACCTAATCACCGGTATAGCAATCATCACGTCGTCTTCTGATGACAAGCTCTCCCGTGCCAAGTCACTGGGTGCAACCGGTGCCATCAACTACCGGACGCATCCTGAATGGGAGGATATTGTTATGAGAGTCACTGAGCGCGACGGCGCCGATATCATCCTTGAGACCGGTGGTGCGCAGACACTGAGGAAGTCTTTCGATTGTATCGCGTTCGGGGGAACTATCGCTTGCATCGGGTACCTCAGCGGAAAGCAAGATGAGCCAACTGATCGCACGAATGTGAATGTCCTGGCTCTTCGTCGAAATGTCACGTTAAAAGGCATACTGAACGGTCCCAGAGACCGATTTGAAGAGATGTTGCGGTTCTACGAAACGAAGAAGATTACGCCTGTCGTGGACAAGGTGTTTGCGTTCGACGAGGCAAGAGAAGCTCTCCAGTATCTGTACGGAGGCAGGCATTTTGGTAAGGTTGTCATCCGCGTCAAGACTTGAAGCTCGTGAGACTGTACACAGCAATATACAGTAGAGCCGCTCGGCGCAGTTGCATCATATGCCTCCGCCTTTTCAGGTAGCAGGCTTGGCTTCGTTGATAGGCCCGGCTGGAGCCGCTAGGGCAGCCTTGGGGGCCCCTAAACAGCGCCGGGAGCCCGCGACTCCTCACTAGCACCAGCTAGAATTGCTTGGGCTTAGCTAACAGAAACCGCTTCGGCGGCGGTTGCGGGGCTTATCGGCCACAACCACGGCACGAGACTTCAACGCTCTACCAAAGACCGGGCATCGTTAGTCTCAACGCACTTTTGTCGTTTGATCTCCCTTTAACCCCGAGTGTCGAAGCATCAACATGTGCATGCATGAGATGACGTGCTAGAGCCCTCAACCATGGCCGACCCTTCAAAGTCGGATCACACCTCGTCTAACGCAGGCCAATCATGTCGCGAATGCCGCCGAAGGAAAGGCAAATGCGACGGGCGCATGCCCGTGTGCTCGGTCTGCCAGCGGTACAATCGCCATTGCCTGTATGACAAGCACAGCAGATCGTCCTTGACGCGAAAGTGGGTGCTCTCCGTCCCGTCCACGAGTGTCGGACTAAATACTTGCACAGGCACTTGACAGAAGTCGAAGAGCGCCTGGAAAAAGCGGAGGCTCTGCTGAGGGCCTTCTTTACCGATGCTCAGCTGTCGCAAATGCTAGCCCATGGCATCACCAATGGAGGGAACTTCCAGCCTCGGTTGGGGGGCGACTCGACCAACCCGTCGTCCCACGTAGCCTCGTCCGATCATCCGTTCGAGCAAACTCCTGCGTCGCCAACAGCCGGAATCGTCCCGGGAATGCAACAGCGGACGCAATCGTTCTCACCCGCTGGTGCTGGCTCAGATCAGCCGATCGACGTGGGTTATCTGGAGTCGCCGACCGCATCCAGGTCGAATCTGGCGGATGATGCTCAGCCACTCGAGAACCCTCCTGCCGCTGACGATGACTTTGAGTGGGATGAGCGGGAGTCTTCCTGGAACGTTGCAGATCCTGGAGGAGGCCAGGCGACCTCTGGAGGCGGTGTCGACGCCGAAATACCCAAGATCACCGACGGTATGGCGACGTTGACGGCTAATGACTCGAACGCTGGCTTCCTTGGGTCGGTCTCGGGATCCGCTCTTCTACGGCTCATCTGGATGGGCGCGGGAGCTGAAGGGACGACAAACGATGCTTCGAGTGAGCGACGCCGGACTCTGGACCAGTTATTTGATCAGAGGTCCAGCGAATACCCTTCCGCGTCGACATGGCTGCGCGCACAGCCTATGCTCACGCGCGCAATGGTTGACACACTTGTCGATGCCTATTTCGCATTGTATCACCCGACCTTCCCGATCCTTCACGAGCCCTCTTTCCGCGAACAGTATGCCAGATTGAGTGGCAGAATCAGCAGAAGCACGTGGCACACGTTGGCGAATCTTGTCGCCGCCTTAGGTTCATTTGTGTCCAGCACTTGCTCCGACGAGACACATGCAACCCTGTTCAACGCAGTCAAGGCGAATCTATCGATCGAATCCCTAGAAACGGGCAGTATAACTCTGGTTCAGGCGTTTGCTATGGCAGCAAACTACCTGCAGAAGAGGAACAGACCAAACAGCGGATACAACTACGGCGGCATTGCTCTCCGGCTCGCCATATCTCTGGGACTCCATAAGGAGTTCCGCGGCTGGCAAACCGCGCCTTTCAAGAAGGAAATACGCAGGAGAGTGTGGTGGTCCTTGTGCGTGCTGGACGTGGGCGCCACCGTCACCTACGGAAGGCCTCTAAACTGGCCTCAAGTAGGCGTGGATATCCCATTTCCGTCGAACATACACGAAAAGGTAAGGGACCTACATCGAGAAACTGTTTCCCCTTCATTGGCCCAAGTGCTCACCTCTTATTGACTAGGATCTCCCCGTAAATGCCACATCGCTCCCTGCAGAGGTTAATGAAGCGACGATCTACACCTACGTCCGAACGCAATCATCCTACCATCTTCATACAATCAGAATCTATAACCGGCTCATATCCAACCCGATCCCCTCCGCCACAGAGCTGATCGCTCTAGACGACGAATTCATTGACGGCTGGTTGAAGAATTTGCCGCCTTACTTCCGCGACGAAAATCTACCGCTCCCCCATGAGTACCTCCTTGGCCACGCGATCAGCCGCTGGCGGTTTCGCATCATGCGAATCATCATGTATCGTCCTTTCCTGATTCGATGGGCACAAGACCGGCTCGATGCCACAGTAACGTCTCCCATGTCGCCGTCGCAGGCACAATCGGCCGAAAGTATCGCAACAAAGCGCTGCCTCAAGGCTGCCGAGGAATGCATCTCTGCCATATTTGACTTCTGGGTCTCTGCCACCCACACCAGGCTCGCTGCCTGGTACGTTCTATACTTCCTTCTCCAAGCGGCATTAATCCCGATCCACTGCTTGCGACGCAATCCAACACATTCGGACGCACCAAGATGGCGCGACTCCATTCTCACAGCCCTGAGCATCATCAACGCCATGAACAACCTCAATCCAAGCGCTCCTAAATGTCGCGACATCATCCATCGACTCTGTGGCGAAAGCCTCAGCTTAAAATCCCGAACCCAATCTCAGTCGCAAGTCAAGCAAGAGACATCATCATGGAACGCCTTCCCCGCGGATACCAGCTACGGGAATCCATTCTCGTTCCAAAATCCCGACCCTACCGACGCAGGCGGGAATTCATGGATGACCGAGATTGACACAGCGATAGAGGGCTACGATATCTACGTGGACCGCTTAAGCAATGCTGCCATGGCCGGAATGGGACGCGTGACCTCTGGAAGCGAAGCCAGCATGCCAGACGCTTTCACACACAGTGACGGCACGCAAATAGGAACAGGCGTACAGGACTGGGATTGGGGCCTGATGCTCTGATGACGGAAATGACTCGGTTACGGGCGGGCATCGTTTATCGTTCTATTCAGTGCAGAACAGCATCCTACCCGACTACGTCGCAATGCACCACTTCCCTTTCATCCTACTCAGCTCCGGCTCGAATCTTTGCAATGCAAGGGCACACACCGCGATTTTAAGACAGGAAATATCCGACCTCAACATGTACCGTACTCCCCGTTCGGAATTCGTTCCTCAAAAGAGCCAAATACGCCTCGGCAATATCCTCTACACCACCGATCCTTCCCAAACACTCGACATCTCCAACAACGCCGAAGAGTTTCTCTCGACATCCTGTCTGGAAGGACACCGTACAACAAAGTCCGTCTCAATAGCACCCGGATTCACCAGAATTACTCTCACGGGCTCATCTATCCAGCGCCAATCCTTTGGTAAGCGGCTCTTTCCCACCACTACTCGCGGCCACGAAAAGCCGAAGGGTTCACACGCGGCCGATACACCATCGCTCCACTCGTCAAGGTCAATGAACTAGCATGCATACCACCTTACTACCTGGCCGCAACCTTGGCCAGGAGCAAGCAACACCTCCCAAGCAAGACGCACCGAGGTCGCCGGAGCCCCGAGCTCCTGACTCTATCATCTCGAATTCGAGTGTCAACCTTCCCGCGAAGTTCCAAGTCGCCCGCGGCCATTTTCGACGACGGGTGATCCCAACGGCTTGTCACCGTTGCAATGATTTGATTGTGGCGAAAGTCGAACAGCTTGGCTAATAGTTGTAGTTGTTCTTCCGTGTTTGATTTGTGGGTGCATTCAGGTCGACCGTGTGGCCGCGGATCGTGGCCGCGGATCTTGGCCGCGATGCTCAGGATGCTCAGGATGCTCAGGATGCTCAGGATGCACAGGGATACACAGTACGTGGATTCCAGCTTCTCGACCGCGGCGTTGAGGAGGCGGTGATGAGAACGAGTTTGTCGCCTGCTGCTTGGAGAGGTACATATCTGGCGGGTGGCGGGTATCCTTATCGGTGTTGTGTGTGCGCGGTGTTGTGCCTACTAGCGACAGTAGGTGCTGGACCGCCACACAGTTACGTGTATAGGGAAGAAGCGGCAGAAGCGATAGGGAGAGAAGAGAGCAGTAACCTTTGAGAAGTGTCCCTTACCACGTGCGCAACCTACGTACCTCCGAGATATCTTGCAATTATAGAGCAGTAGCCGTGCCAGCAACAGCATGAATGCATCAGCTCTCGATGCATCGCCAGGCCGGGACGGTCCATCATCCTCGCCACGATCGGATTCGATTGTGCTGGGCTGGACTGGACTGGTCTGGGCCGGCCGTGGAATTCGAATCTGGAGATATACTCGGTACTGTACTCTATATACTCGCATGATACCGACTGAAGTGTCGAAGGCAATAGACGTACGGAGTACACCACAAACGATAAGCGCTGTTGGCTGGCTATATCTGGCTGCATCTGGCGTGCTCGACGTCGTTTACTGTGACACACGCCAATCATGTAGCCATGCGATACTTACGTGACCAGATTACAATCTCCCTACCTACCTAGGTACCTACAGAACTGTACGGAGTACGGAGTATGTGGACTTGAAAACGGTGGAGGATGCACGCACGGGGTGGGATATGAAAAAAGGGCGTGTGCGAGCTTGACGCCGCCGCCGCCGAGCTCTGCCCTCCAGCCCCTGGAAAGGCTGGGGAGCGTGGGTCTACCACAATACCCTAGTCCATCCACCACAGCAACCAAGTCTATCTACCACAGTAAGTTCTGTATTCACGTACTCGTCCTGTGGAGGGCCGGGTTCTGGGAATGTAAGGAGTCCGCAGTTCAGATACGTACCCACGAGTAACCAACTACTGTAGCCATGTATGGCCGTACCCACTAGTCGTGCCACGGTGTCGTGGAGATTGAATAGATCAAGGGCTGGATTGAGTACATACACAGCGGACGGACGCGGTTAATCGGGCACCTAGGGACGAAATCTTCAGAGCCGGCAAAAATGTACTGTGTAATGTGTAAGAAGTATGGAGTAGGAGCAGGGAGTACGAGGTGTAACATTAGGAGTACGAGTTGATGTGAGTAGGATATGGTATTAGGAATAGAATTAGTAATGCGTCTCTCTCGAGCTGGGATGCTCGTGCTATGCACCACGTACTATGTAGTCAAAGACTGGTTAGGCCACCAGTTTTCATTATGCATACATCTTGTATGTATGTCCCGCATTTGAAAGCAATGGGGGATTGTCAAGAGTCATCAAGGTCATTCATTACTGTAATCCAAAGGGACACAATATCGGTCGAACAGTCCAATCAGGCTTCGAAAGCATCCAAGGGTATCATCCAGGTCTATCAGACAGTGAGATTACTGACGCCCAATTCACCCGTCATCCAAGCGGGCATTTTCTCCAGATCGACATACGTGGGCCCCAGCTCCGCGAGTTTCTTAAGCCCGCCAAACACGTTGCTCCCCGTAAATGTCAGTGTGATTTCGCACTTCGCATGGTCTTCCGTGGACGAACTGGCGTCTTCGTCTCCCCACTCATCCGGCCGAACCGGATTGGTAAGCTTAACGTGCACGCGGTCGAGAGGCGCGTAGTGCTCGCCTTGCGTCAGACCGAATCGCTCCTCGACCATGCGCTGTCTGTCGTCTTGCTGCTCGGATTTATCGGCCGTCATCTGCACGTCGACGGGACTGTTGTCGACTGCTTTGCCACAGTCCGCGAAGGTACTGTAGGCTCCGCCGCTGGTGCCGGGTTTTTGGTTCCCCCGCAGCTCGCACATCGTCTTTAATGATTTTGCAACAAGGTTCGTCGACTCTAATGCCCAGCGCTGGTGCGGCCGGGAGAGTGCTTTCGCAATTGCTTCGAGGACAATCCGCTTCAGGGCTGCCATGTCCACTTTGGCCATCACTTTCTCCTTGGCGTCCCTAACGCTGCCCTTGGACCGTCCAGTCGAGCTTGTCGCCGAGCCGGAGATGGAGATGTATACGTACGGACAGCTGTCTGGTAATGCGATATACATTATGCGACCTGCGTCGGTGGCTTGTTTGGGACGGCGCGGGACTTTCGACCCTCTGGGCGCAAATGCCGAGTTTGGCTGTATCCAGAGTCGAAGGATGGTGAGGCTGTACGGCGAAGGCATGCGGTGGACGTGATAATGAGCTTTGACCAGTGGTGATATCTCCGCTTTCAGGGCTGAGAGAAAGACTTCCGGCGAGACGTGGGGATAGGTTGGTTCTAGTAGGCCGGGGTTTAATTTTCGTTTTTTCTTCGCTGGATGTCGCCCATCGTCGCCGTCGTCGCCGTCCAGTGGTTTCTCTGCCTCTGTCTGGAGGGGCACCAATTTCAGAGCGCTCCACTTTAAAGCGGCGTCGTTCTGTTCCAGGTACGCGAAATCGATGGTTGCATATTGATGCAGAGAGAGTCCGCGACGCCAATCGCCGTCGACGATGCGGTCGATTACGTCGCGCTTGGTCGTCTGGCTGGGATGCTTGCGGAGATCGTGGTACAGGTTTCGCAATTCCTCGAGACTCTCGGCTGGTGTGTGCAGGTAGTCCTCTTCATCGACTTCGAACCCGGTGCGGTTGCACAGTAAATAGGGTGCTGACGAAGGACGATTTTCTTGAAGCCATTTGAGCCCAAGTTCTATGATTGACTCTCGTGATAGGCGACTGAGCGATTTGGCGAGGACGGGTGCCATTGAAGTGTGGTTGTTGGTTTGTGTTTGTTTACATTGATTTTGAGGCCGTTCGTCATTGTAAACAAGCGAGTAATCGTCAGATCATGTGACCGAAAATCTCGAATCAACTGGTTCGGGGGGAGAAATACCGAGGTCCGATTAAAGCACGTGAACCACGTGACTCACCTGAAGCATACCTACCTAGGCACCTTGGATAATACCAAAATACCCCCGTAGCCATTAGTCTCCATTGGAGGCATTCGAGCTCGTGGCTTCCTGGTTACCTTCCCTTGCCCGGAAGAGCTTTGTATGAAATTGGAAAGTCAGCACTTCCGACTCGGGAGTTCTTTCGGAAAGACATGGGACAAGGCCGAACCCCCAGACGAGGATTTTCCCACGAGCACAACATGCGAGCAATTGATTGGATGTCTCCAGGCACACTACTGGGTACGCCCTTTGTCCGGTGACTGTACTTGAGATTAGCATCATCTGCTCGTGGGCATGGGCAGGAGCAAACAGGCGGCATTGATTTGTGAGCAAAAACCAGCTCCGCCACATGGGACTCCGAACGACATTCTTATAAAGCACTCTTTACGCGGGCACCCAGTAGCCTAGGTAAGAGCAGCGGCGATGAGCGCCCCGCTGCGCTTGGCTTATTGAACCCTTTTCCGGCAGTCAGACCCGTCTTACGGGCAGCGCACGACGCTGCTCTCACATATCGTGACATGAGATCACCACTCAGACGCCGCTGTTATCTTGGACTCGTCACGATTCAGGGATCGCCACTGCCAGAAAACGTCGCTGCGCGTCAGAGATGTCAGGGTCCACGAGGCCAGGGTTGTGATGAAGCCAGCTACAGGCTCAGCTACGAGGACCACCATGCTTAACCCGTGCCCCGTACGCAGCAGCTCGAATAACCCTCCCTCTTCGCTGGCGGGCTTGAGACTATTAATGTTTTCATTACCCACGCAGCTGGTGGGGGTCCTTGTAGAAGACGAACGAATAGGTTAATCGGCACGCTTTTGTGCAAGTGCAATTCCCGAAGCGAGGCCGTGGGAGCGAACCGCCCACCACCAAAACCCACGCGAAAGGGCGCAGACCACCCACATTTGTGGCACTCGCCCAGAGCTCGAAGAACTCTTACGTCCGCCTCGATCGGCCCCTCCTTGCACCCGGTCTCAACTCGCCTGCCGATTGTTACTCCCAGTTGTCTCTCTCACCATTCTCATCTTCACTCCCCGCCATTAGACAGTCTGGATTTCTCTTCCAGCCATCCCAAACAAAATTCCTCATCTTGCCCGCACGACTTTCTCGAGGTGCTTGCGGTAAGGAGTCAGCGACTCTAGTCGCAGACGCCTTGGGGCCTCGGGTACTTGGTAATCCCACGCGCGGCGGCTTTGTCATTTTACGCCTTCGTCGTGCAACGAAGCCAGCGAACCACTGCGACCCCGCCGGATATATCTTAACGCTACCTTCCTTTAAAGATATCGTTGGAGTCAACTGTGTGAGGGTGGTCCTTGGGAGGGAGCATAGGAACCACCATGTCAACCTATCGCGGCCGGACAGGGCCGAATTTTTCGGAATATCTCAACAGCTTGAACACCCTGACGTCGCCCTATGATCAAGAGCAGTTCCCGGCAGAAGAGTTGGATATAAGCCAGGACTTGGCCATGTTCACAAATACCGACTTCACCCATTTTGATATCCCTGCACTACCTGAAGACGGTTCCTTCAACTTCGACCTGCCTGAAAATAAAAGTAATTCACACAATGTGAAGTACGAAGACCTACTTGCGGTTACGTCGCCGAGCCAGAATCAGCAATTGCCTCAGATGGATGCCTCGGCCGCAGAGCCTGCGCACTATTATAGCACCTACAACACTCCCATACAGCCTGCGCCTGCGCAAGGTTTCGGCAGCCATGACGCTCTCGGTTCACCGAGTGCTCAGACGGCGGCTGGCAGCAAGCGAAAAGGCGACTCGCTCGATTCGAACACACTAAGTCCCGAAGATAAATCCCGTGTGGCTGCTGAGGAGGATAAAAGGCGGAGAAACACGGCGGCGAGCGCAAGATTCCGGGTGAAGAAGAAGCAACGTGAGCAAGCGCTGGAACGCACGGTCAAGGAGGTGCAGGAAAAGAACTCGAAGCTGGAGGCGAAGGTGAACCAACTGGAAATGGAGAATAAATGGCTTAAGGATTTAATCACGGAGAAGAATGGACTCGCGTCAAAGGAGGAGATGGCAGCGGCGTATCAACAGTACCGCAAAGAGAGTGAAGAGCGCGACGTGAAAGTCTCGGAGCACACGACCGGTGTTGGAACTGACTGAATATCACCCAAAGGAAGAGGCTGTTTGACTTCGTTCGCATGTCTAATGGATCCGAGACTACCGTGGCCTCATAGTGTGCCCATCATGATACCGCATAAACCGACTGTTAGTCAATGAGAGATACACTGGACGTGGTAACAATGAGTTCATGGCGAGAAGGACGGGCTTCCTGAGAGGTGTGTGCTGGTGTTGATGGCAGCCCTCGATGCGCCTGTGGCAGAATCACGGGTCTTCATTGGCCCCCTCAAAAGGGATTAATAATTGGCCTCTGCATGCCAGCGAGAATCGACAGATCGGATTCACATCCGTGTCTGGATTGCTGGCGGGTGCCTTATGCGGCGGTACAGTCCTCGTCCGTTGCCTTGACTGCAGTGCATGTACTTTCACGCGTGCTCTCCATCCCGACATTTCACCAACACTTGAAATTCGACTGCCTTTACAGCCCACTGCTTCATCCCTCCTGACTGCGCAATCGCCTTCTTATCCACTGCACTCTCTGCATCGATTCCCCAGCTTCAACAGCTCTCGCGCATCCGTCGTTGTTCTGAGAAGCGCAATCTCCAACCTTTCGGGATCGTTTATCGCACCCGCACATCAAATCGAGCCTCACATCTCGGTACCCCGCCACCTACTGGTACACCACTCGTGCTTCCTCGCGCTCGCTGAGCGGTCTCCCCTCTACCTTACCCGAAGCTTGAGCCATGTCGGTCACCGTCACCGAGCTGGACGCGACCGTCAAGGCTTTTCAAGAAGGCCATGGCGAAATCCAGAAACAGGCTCAACAGAAGCTCAACGAGTTCAAGTCGAACCCCGATGCGTGGCTGATGGTGGATAGGATCTTACAAGAGGCGACGTATGTGCCGACAAAATACCTGGGTCTGCAAGTGTTGGACGATGTGGTCAACACCAGATGGAAGGTTCTCCCTCGCGACCAGTGCTTGGGCATTCGCAACTTCGTGGTAAACCAGATCCTCCAGGCTTCCGAGACCGACGAGTCGCTCAAGGCCAACAAGCTCTTCCTCAACAAGCTGGATTTAACCTTGGTCACCATCCTCAAACAAGAATGGCCTCACAATTGGCCCAGCTTCATCAACGAAATCATCTCTGCTTGCCACACCGGTCTGTCTGTGTGTGAGAACAACATGACCATTCTACGATTGCTTTCCGAGGAGGTCTTTGATTTCTCTCAGGACCAGATGACGTCCACCAAGGCGAAAAATCTCAAGACAACCATGTGCGCCGAGTTCTCGTCCATCTTCCAGCTATGCAACGAGGTGCTCACAACAGCCACGTCCATAAGCTTGGTCAGGGCAACCTTGGAGACATTACTGCGCTTCCTGAACTGGATCCCTCTGGGATTCATCTTCGAGACCAAGCTCATCGACACGCTTGTCGGCAGGTTTCTTGAGGTCGATGAATTCCGCAACATCTCCCTGAAGTGCTTGACCGAAATTGGCGGTCTGCAATTAGGACAACAATTCCAGTATGACGATAAGCTGGTGCAAATGTTCACCGAGACCCTGACGGTCGTTGCTCGAACCCTTCCGCTTGACACCGACTTCCGCGATGCATACGCCAAAGCCAAGTCCCGAGAACAAGAATACATCCTCAACCTGGCGATATTCCTCACCAACTACTTCTCAGCCCACTTGCAGACCATTGAAAGACTACCGAATCCCGATTATCTCCTCCACGGTCACTTCTATCTTATTAAGATCAGCTTGATTGACGACAGAGAGATCTTCAAGATTTGCCTAGAGTACTGGAACAAGTTGGTGCAAGAGCTGTATGAGGAGATGCAGCAACTCCCCATCACCGAACTCAATCCTCTGGTCAGCATGGGTGTCAGCGGTCTCGCCAATGGTGGCGCTCCACATCCCAGCAGTCTTGCCAACTATCCCCTACGCAAGCACAAGTACGCCCAAGTCTTGTCGAGTTTGAGACAAGTCATGGTAGAGAAGATGGTACGACCGGAAGAAGTCCTGATCGTGGAGAATGACGAAGGTGAGATTGTTCGCGAATTTGTCAAAGAGAGTGACACCATTCAGCTCTACAAGACCACGCGTGAGTGCCTCGTATATCTGACCCATTTGGACGTCGTGGACACCGAGAACATCATGTCAGATAAGCTTCAGCGACAGGTTGACGGTTCGGAGTGGTCGTGGAACAACTGCAATACCCTCTGCTGGGCCATTGGCTCGATATCCGGTGCTATGTCTGAAGAGACCGAGAAACGATTCTTGGTCACGGTGATCAAGGACCTACTCGGCCTGACCGAGATGAAACGAGGCAAGGACAACAAAGCCGTAGTGGCCAGCAACATTATGTACATTGTCGGCCAATACCCGCGATTTCTCAAGGCGCATTGGAAGTTCTTGAAGACTGTGGTCAACAAGCTCTTCGAGTTCATGCACGAGACGCACGAGGGTGTCCAGGACATGGCTTGCGACACTTTCATCAAGATTGCCAACAAATGCAAGCGCCACTTTGTCGCCCTACAACCTGGTGAGACCGAACCTTTCATTGATGAGATTGTGCGTAATATGCGCAAGATCACCTGTGACCTCACCCCTCAGCAAGTACACACATTCTACGAAGCTTGCGGATATATGATCTCCGCTCAGGGCCAGAAGAGCGTGCAAGACCGACTGATCAGCGACCTGATGTCGTATCCGAACCAAGCCTGGGACAGTGTCATCCAGCAAGCGAACTCGAATCCAGCCATTCTCCATGACCCTGAGATCATCAAAGTTGTCGGAAATATCATGAAGACGAACGTGGCTGCTTGCTCCTCCATTGGCAGCTATTTCTATTCCCAGATTGGACGAATCTACCACGATATGCTGAACATGTATCGCGCATCGAGTCAGCTCATCTCTGACGCTGTCGCCTCCGGAGGTAAGTGCTTGTCCGCTCGACGTTCGAGCAATCCTGACTTCATCACAGGCAATGTCCAGACAAAGACACCGAAAGTCCGCGGCCTGCGTACTATCAAGAAAGAGATCCTGAAACTAGTCGACATCTATGTACAAAAAGCGGATGACCTTCCCATGGTCAATGAGAGCATGGTGCCTCCTTTGCTTGATGCTATTTTACTCGACTACCAACGCAATGTTCCCGACGCGCGAGATGCCGAAGTCCTCAGTGTGACGACGACCATCATCCACAAGCTACATGTACGTTGGACCCCAAAGAGATCTCGACTTCTGGTCAGAGACAGTGATGATCCACCAGAGTGTAACCTTGCTGACCCTTGTATAGAATCTCATGGACGACAAGGTCGGTCCAATAATGGACGCCATATTCGAATGCACACTCGAGATGATCAACAAGGACTTCCACGAGTATCCGGAGTTCCGCGTAGAGTTCTTCAAGCTTCTACAGGCGATCAACCTATTCTGCTTTCCTGCGCTGCTGAAACTAGACGGTCGGCAATTCAAGTTTGTGATTGACTCCTGCATGTGGGCGAGCAAGCACGACAATCGAGAAGTGGAGAACACAGGCTTGTCGATGTGCCTGGAATTGATCAACAACATGGCCGAGACGGACCCACAAACATCGGGCATTTTCTTCCAGCAGTTCTACATCTCTATCCTCCAAGATGTGTTCTTCGTCTTGACCGACTCGGATCACAAAGCCGGGTTCAAGTCACAGTGTATGCTGCTTGCGCGCATGTTCCAGCTTGTTGAGACCAACAAGATCTCGCAACCTTTGTATCAGCCCGACCAGGCTGCGCCGGGCACGTCCAACAAGCAATATGTGAGCGAGTTCACGTCGAATCTCCTGCAGCGCGCCTTCCCCAACTTGAAGGAGATCCAAGTCCAGCTTTTCGTGAGCGGGCTATTTACCCTCAACGAGGATGCGACGAAGTTCAAGACTCACGTGCGCGACTTCTTGATCTCGCTCAAGGAATTCGCCGGTGACAACGCCGAACTGTTTGCAGAGGAGCGTGAGCAGGAGAAGAAGGCCCTTGCCGACGCAGAACGCGAGCGGGGCCTGAAGGTGGGCGGTCTGATCAAGCCAGCAGACCTGGATGGAGACGATGAGCTGTGACTAGAAGAAGAGCTGAGAACGGAGTACGCCAAAGGCGACGCGGAGCAGCCAGATGGCCCGCAAGCCTCGGTTGAGCACTATGCTATGGAACACGGCACCCCCGAAGAGAACTTCGAAAGTGGGTGGCTCTTTTACAAATGCTGAAGCCAGACGCCGTCAGACGGGGCTCAGAGATGGTCGAGCAATCCCCAGCCGGATTCGAAGAGGTGCATCCAAAGTTTTCATTCCTGTTATGATACCAAAAAGCATTGAGTCGGGTAGATTGCTGCATGGGAGATGTTCTTGGGCATTCGGCTAGCATGGGCGCAGAGACACGCTTGGAGTGGGATTCCAACGAGCGACAGTCAGCTGCGGGTTGTCCATGTTGCCTCGGACGAAGGGGTGAGCAGGAGTGGCAGATGATCGCCAGCCACAACGCGGTGTAGACGACAGCTGAGCTGAGCAGAGCAGGGACCGAAAGGGGGCGAAGATTGGAGAGTGGACAGAGAGTGTACTGTAGTGAGAAGAATAATTCAACGAGTCGTGGCTGGGCCTTTCCCGCTGGTCATCTGCTCCGTCCGTGCGCTTCATCTGACGAAGAGCACGAACTCGTCGTCTAGACCACCTTGACATGTTGGATCCATGACCATCACAAGCATAAGGACGGATCTAGATGGTCGTGATCTGAATCATGTGGTCGGGCGGGAGATGCAGCATCGGGGTCAGCGATGCATGAAGGTGTGAGAAGCGGAAGATGGGTGGATGGAAGCAAGCACCATCAAGGGATGGAGCGAGCCACAACCCAGGCTCTTTAACTACGAGGATGGATGGAACGACTGCCCTTGATTACCTACTTGTAGGTATGAGTAGCCGTGCCTAACTTGGTGTGGTAGTGGGCAGTCGGACTACTGTGGGCCACGCACGTGAGAGACGTCATCTTCTAGCGGCCGACGTCGTAATTCATAATGCGCAATTGTTGGTCTCGTGCTGAGCTTCAACTTTGCCTCCATCGATCATTCCACCCACGGTTCCAACATATTGCGCTCCCCCGCCCCTTCATACAGTCATTTTTCCCCGCGGTATATTAAACAGAGACTCAGCCTGGTCTTCCTTCGTTTGCCCTCCGGTGTTCCCACGCCGTGACCTTGCCGGCTTTGTTTTCAACGCAGAGTCTGTGCTCCGAACGGACCGACCACCCTCCACGACGTGCACACACAGTCTCAAGTCGATCTCTGCGCAAGAAATCCGTATATTCCAGATGATGTGGATTGGATAGAAGAATCTACAAGCCTAGACCACGACTACTATGTCCTCCTCTCCCCTCACAACTGCGCCTGCCTCCCCTCTGCAAAGAGCACCCATGGCCTCGGCGCGGAATGCTCAAAGACCAAATGGACGAGCCCACCTCACACCCGGTCAAACCGCCTCCCGACGTGCTGCAGTAGGCTCCGCCACTCAAATAATCACTCCCGAAGACACAGCCTCCTCCCGCTCAGTCTCCCCAGATCCACTTGTCCTCCGCCTCCGAGGTGCCCACGACGCGACGGGCTCCAGTCCACATACGCACACGCACAATCATACACGTCGACGAATACAGTGGGCAGCAGACGTGGTGGACAACGAGGGCCTGGGCCGCAAATCCAGCAAAGTGTGCTGCATATACCATAAGGAACGGGCGTTTGGAGAGTCTTCCAGCGAGGACGACAGTTCAAGCGACAGCTCCAGCGACGATAACGATAGTGACGGCGGAGGGAGTGATAGTCCGGACGACGGTGCCGCGAGAATGAGTGGAAATCGGAGGGGACGAAAGGATGCGCGGGGCCATCAACACAGGCATGGTGATGAGTGTGGGCATGGGGGTGGAAGTGGACATGGCAAGGGAAAGGGCAGGAGGAAACCCAGTCCGAATGCGTATGAGAAGATGCCCAAGTACAACACGAAGGGGAAGGGGGAGTTGGTGAAGACGTGACGAGGTGACAACGTGCGAGGGGCCGACCAGCGCTTGTATCTTGTTGCGGGTTGCTTGTTGCCTACTTTTTCTCTTGGTCCACGAACGTTGGTGCAGAAACGCAACCGTTGGCTTGGATCTGTCCACCGCGTCGTCGCCGGTCGAAAAGTTTTCATTACAGCATTAATTGGTACTGGCACGAGCATCCCTGGATAATGGACGATTGATGATGGACGATGGATGATGGATGATGGATGATGAATGATAGATGATGGCTACGACTCCCCCCTTCGCTTCACGCGCGCTTTACATATTCACACGAAAGAAGGTTGATCATTGTTGTTGTTGTTGTTGTGATTGACCGAGCAGCGATGGTGTCAACGGCCGTGAATTTCCGCGCTTACAGTAGCTTGTGGCTTGTCTTCTTACAGTACCTCACAATGAATACAGCCAGTTCTCGAAACCGAGCCGCGACATTCTCGCTCTTGTGTTGGAATCGAATCGTTCTATTCTACCGTTGCGGTTTAAGTCTTGAACTGAAGTGAACGAAATGACCAAAATATCAAACAGACGAGGAGGGAGTGGGATCTGAGTCCAGGCTGTCGTGCCCGGAAGCACCAACTACTGGTTGTACACGGTCTGCTACCTAGGTACTTTCACTACGTCGAAATTATTGATCCCATGATACACATCTGAAGAAGGGAGCACGGTGCCGTCTCTCTATTTTCGGGGGTCAGAGAGTGTGCTAGAAGGGCACCTCTTGGTGGTCTGTCTAGTCAAATGTACTGCGTACCAATGTATGATTCATCTCAAGTCTAGGATGCAGCTACAAGCTAAGTACAGTAGCTATGGATGGAAGACAGTACCCGTCGCCCAGGGTAACCTCAAGTGGGTACAGAGGCACACTGGGTGGGTGGGTGCCTCCTGCCCACCACAGAGCGGCTTCTGTGAGTATGAGAGAGAGAAGAGGGGGGGGGGGGGGGGCGGGGATCTGTTATGGGAGTGTCCTCTGGCGTGATATCAATCTAGGTACGGAATACTCACCTATCCACCGCCGTAGGATCTGTAATGGGAGTGTTCTCTGGCGTGAGATCAATCTACAGAATACTCACCCTATCCACTTCAATGCATATTGCCAATTGGATGAGATGGGTCGGGCTCCCGGGGAGTGTCATCAGTCAAATGGCATACTCGTACGTGCCAGACCGGGAGTGCATGATACATACAGCAACGCCGTAGCTCATGGTGGTTGTGATATTCGCTTGTCTTCGCCTTCCGGGACGGTCCAGAGGAGGGTACGGAGTACAGCATCGAGGAGAAGACTCGGCTCACACGAGAATGTCCTGTCCCCGTAATCAAGTGAGTTGGTGGAACGTGCAAGTTTCTAAACACATTCGCTGGTCGAGCGGGAACGTCGGAGGTAGGCGTAGAGAAGTACATGTATGGCTGATGACGAATCTGAGGTCGACGAGGATGGTCTGCTCGGGAGTGCCGTGTCCGGTACAACATTGTGGTGTTTGGTCGAAGGGGAGCAGAAGCGTACAGTACTCGTCGGTGGGTGAAGAGATTCTTCAACATCCGTCGACTCAACCAATGTCACGCCCGAATGTCATCTCACCTCACGGATCTGCGGAAGAGAGACAGATCTCGCTGGCGCTTGGGCTCTTGCGAAGGGGCAAGAGAAGAGAAGGCTGTGATCATGTTGACACATACTCTTTACAGATCTTACCTCGTCCCGTGTGTGCTCTGGTTGATATTTCCATGGCTCCAACGACGCCCTTTGATCGAGAAGGTGGCTCCCGTCTGCCCCAGTTGCCCTATGCCAGGCTGTTGTTCGAATCCCTCAATCAAGCACGCTTCCTTTTGAGCCCGACTGAGAGCTATGACGGTGACAGGGAGATCAGAGGTCGTCTTCGAAGTCTCCGGCGCCATCAGGACAGACTAGAAACGGTCGACGAAGGACAGTGTCTCGAGGATATTCCCACAACATCTTCCCCATAGCGACCCATTGAAAAGCTCTGGACAGCCGAGACCTACCCAGACTTTGGCATGTACCGTGTCAGCAATTCCGAAGGGACAGGTAGGCGAAAGCACCAGGGCAGAGGAGTGGTAGTTCAGTGAATTCTGCTGGCCCGAGAAAACCTCCAAACTCTCAAACTCGCAGAGCCCTTTAGAGCCGCTGGATTCAGGCAGGAACGAGGCGGAAGATCCAATCTCAATCAGGAGAAACGAACCCATATCCTTCCGTAGAACCCCGTCAAGCTCTTCATCGTGGACGACCAGCACTGGGATCACAGATCATTGGCAAGTACCTCCTCCTCGTGCTCCCTACGCCTTCACATGAAAAAGAAGGCGACGACCTCGGCATCGAGAACAGGGAGCCGGGATGCCACGCAATGGGGAAATACAAGCATTGCCCGTTTCAACATCTCTGGTCGTTGCGAATCTCCACAGCCAGCCATGAGAGAGGACACGGTGAATGTCTAGTTAGTACAACGGATTCGCTTGTGGTGGCGATCCAACAAGCCAGCAGTGTGTCCCTGTGAGTAGCCGATCGACCGGGAATGCTCCTCAATGTCAGCATATGCACAGACTCGATTGAGGATTGGCGTCTGATACTACCACAGGGCTGCGATCCGTCCTGGTTATCCACAGCTTATACAATCAGTGATTTACCGTGCATATCAGCGCTGATCCTGTCGAGCCTGTCCACGCCACGCCTGTAAGGTACGAGCACGAACACGTCGCCCAGTCAGTGCACAGCAAAGCGTACTCGTAACGCTGTAGGGCCGCGGGATCGAGGCAAGATCAGTCAACCGACATGCGATCAGCCTCCGTAGGGCTACGAGGACAACTTCTCGTAGAGCTCACCCACGGTTTCTGCCGTCACACAATATGTTCCCGCCCTCTCCGCTGCCTCTGTTGTCTCCACGACCTTCCTCCATCCGCGCCAAAAACTCCAGGCGGGTACCTCGTATCCTTGTCTTTGAGCCCATTGCAAACCCCTGGCTGGGACCCGCGCCCCAGGACTGGGTACCCAATAGGTTCGAGATGTCCTACTCCTCGAAATCTCAAGCCACTAACTAAATCCCGGAAGCCCGAAGATTCCTTTCATCTGGGCGCAAACGGGGGAAGATCGACATATCCAGTACTGTAGAGGTATCAACGTTAACCTCATCCGTCCACCTGCACCCGTTAGCTCGTCGAGTTTGTCCAGCAGCGAGTCATGACTAGGCCAATTTCCCGCCACAGGTCGAGGAATCAGCCGTCGCCCCCACGGAGAAATCCATCATGACAACAGATCAAGAAGAGGTGGAGGCAACATTAGACGTGGTGCCAACTAGCCGACACTACGAGATACTGTGTGCACCCGAACAGCTACCCCCGACAGAGTAATCCGTCTGTCGCTCTTTGCCTCAACTCCTCCTCACATGCCTTACGAGGCACCAACTCTCAAGCGCGGTTCCCGTTTCATGACATGGCCCAGCGCCCAGCACTGATGATGCGAATGCGCAAGCCGCGTCTTGACCTTCACATCGCCAACCTTTGCCATCGGAATCAGAGTCAAGAGCAGCTCAGAATACAACGAGTACCTCGTACGGAGAAGGAGTGGCCATAACCATGTTTGTTAAGCAGTATTGCTTTTCATCTGGGGGAGAGGCATTCCATGGGCCTGGAAGACCCGCACGAGACTCCATCATCTTAGCCATTGCTTAAACTGCTCCACGGTCCTCGTCATCCGGGGAGCCTTACCGAGCAGATCACATCCTGTTTCTTACTGTACTGTGAGGAGGCCTCCCAAACAGCAGACACTGCAGAGTACTCCGTATTATTGCAGGGAAACCAAGCGATTTCGTGCCGGGGCTATCGATAATCATCGAATCCTTCGATCTGTCGGTCCCTCTCAGGAAAGGTCCCATCACAGATTCTCCTCCTGAATGCCGTTTTCGCTTCATCTACTCATCGCCTGTCCCTGTTCAGCATTGAGATCCACTTCCGCGGGCAGGTGCAATCTGCCATGGAGTACTGATTACGTATTTCTCCCATTGAGGCTTAGGTACTAAGGAGGGTGCACGGCTTGGTTGTCCGTAAATCTGGCAGAGTCCAACACCAAACAAAACAGGAACGCAGACCGGGGACACCGCACGGGAAGGAGGTAACACCAGTTACGACAAAGTGTTGTGCTTTACATGCGACTGGCTTGTTCAACCCTGCGCGGAATATACATACGTGTGCAAAGGGTGGATTTCCTTCAGCTCCTCGAGTGCACGAACAATGTCCATCATCCCGGGATCAAAACAGCCCCCGTTGCTGGTTGGCCGAATGAGGCTTCAGACGGGCATTTTGTCCCTGCAGTAGTTTCCCGCCCATGGCCGTCGTTCTCCCTCAATCTGGGGAAAAGGGTCAAGCGGCCAGCCCAGGAACAGTATCCAAGAACTGCCGAGCCTCGCCGTGTCGAAGCGACTCCCCCTCATCGTCCAGGCACAAGACCTGCTATCCTGTCACGGCGCGGACCGACTCAATCAAGCCGTGTTCCGATGTCCAATTAATTCGCCTAGCGGCGACGCCCTGATGTTATTTTCTCGTATCCGAAGCCTCCTTCGCAGGACGGAGTCTCGATCGATCACCCCAAGCCTCGCCGTCGGTCGAGATGGTGGAAGTCTAGCCTTTTGCCCGAGGCTCTTTCACTCCTCAGTCCGTACCCGCTGGAACATCCAACGGTGCGACGATCAGAGATTGCGGTTGGGTAACTGTGGCCTTCTCCATTTCACCATTGGACGATCACCGCGTCATGCTAGAATGCACTCCCTGTGCGACAGTGTGAGGTTAAACGAGTATTCCCTAACCGTCCGGTATCAGGCCCATCCTCCACACCGTTTACTCGTGGGTGCTGGCCCAGCACCAGAACAAAGGTGCCAGACCCACGGGCCCAACATGACAATTCGCCTGCCACGCTAGTCAGTTCTCTGCGATGATCGGAACAATAGCACCGTGATAGCGCAACTCTCGACTTCCTCCTCGCAAGGTTATACGAGTCCTAGAAGGTGCTACCGGAGCTAGTGGAGAGCGACTGCATATCCACCCCCGTGCATGCGGAAGGTGTATCCCGACATGTTCTAGTCGTTTCACTCTGCGCCATCATCTTGCCCCGGATTTACCCAGGCCATACTTCGGTGCTTTGGGGAGAGAGTTACTGTCTGTTCTCGCCCCTTAACGAATCGATCGCACGGTGGGAAACCTTGTCATGCCCCGGTCAATAAAGCCAGTGCGAAAGTGTTAGTGGTGGACTTGACTGAATCTGTTGATTTACGACCCACAGCCAGACCCCGTGGCACAGAGGTTGACCGGGGTACAGTTGGCCACTGCGACTCTGGACCACAGACGTTACCTTGACATTTGCATATTGACGGCATGTGAAGACAAAAGCGTCGTGTCTCCCCCCACTGTCCTGTCGAGTCTTCGATATCGTCGCTTCTTCCGCCTGTTCGGTATGCTTGTCTGGGCACAGTCACCACCAGCTTGCTGCCAACATGACAATCGCCGCATCACAACACCACGCTATTGAGACGGCCGAGCGAGTCACGTCGGTCTTCTCGGTGGTCGGCGCATGCTTCATCATCACGACGTTCCTCTCTGACAGCAAGTTCCGCAAACCCATCAACCGACTTGTCTTTTATGCAGCATGGGGAAATCTATTCGCCAACGTGGCAACCTTGATCGCAAGATCCGGCATTGCGGCCGGAGTGACAACGCCATTATGCCAGTTCCAGGGCTTTCTGATTCACTGGTGAGGTCCCTGTTCGCCTGCTACCATGCTCATACTCAACGAAATCATAGGTTCCTTCCCGCTGATGCCCTATGGACCTTTGCGATGGCTTGCAATGTCTATCTTTCCTTCTTTCACCAGTACGACGCCTCCCAACTCCGGGGCCTGGAGTGGCGCTACTTAGGAGCGTGTTACGGTATCCCGTTCCTTCCGGCATTGGTATTTTTGTTCATCAACTCTGGGGGCAGAGGAAAAGTGTATGGAGACGCTGTGGTACGTGGATACCAACTTGCTCGTCCATAATTGCTCCTAATCGCCCCGCAGCTCTGGTGTTGGGTCACCACGAAATGGAATGTGCTTCGAATCGCCACCTTCTACGGCCCGGTCTGGCTTATCATCTTGGTGACAATGTTCATCTACGTCAAAGTGGGCATTGTGGTCTTCCGTTGGCGCAAACAGCTCCTATCCCTAGGTCGGAGTGAAAGCAAGCAGGAGGTGCCGTCATACGGTTATGCCATGAAGCAGTTCCCAGCTTCGCCAACATCGCCGTCCGTTTCTCCAAAAACATACGAAGTCACCATCAGCAGCCAAGTCCCACACTCACCGGATCGGAAACAACCACAGCTGAGCCCACCAAACAACGAATACCATGGTGATGCTTCACCCACGAATGCGCATCATGAAAGGTTCCCGTCGACTCAGGAACCTGGGTACCCTGAAACGAACACCCAGGTGGTCATCGAGAGACCGCAGGCTAAGATGGTGGATGCTAACAAGGCGACACTGAGCTACTGCAAAACGGCCATGCTATTCTTTCTCGCTCTCCTTTGTACATGGTGTGTGATTCTCATCGACATTGGTTGGCACGGTGGGCTTACTATCCTTAGGGTTCCTTCCACGATCAACAGAGTGTATACGCTTGTTCGCCCGAATGATTCCATTTTCGGGTTGGACTTTGCTTCCGGTCTGGTGCTCCCCCTGCAAGGATTCTGGAACACGGTCATCTATATTGTCACCAGCCTGCCGGCGTGCAGGGCCTTGTGGGCTGTGATCATCACTACCTTTATTCCTCAAGCCCCCCGACCGGACAGGACGACCCCGACACTTGCGATCTCAACCAAACACAACCACCGCATTCTCGGCTCGGAAGACACGAGAGCCGATATCCACGTCAGCATGGATGGAAAGAACCGCATTGTCAACTACCGCCACCAGCACGACGATGACATCCCAGAAGAGACCAGCAGCCCGCTAGGTCCAGGTCCAGGGTTCGTACATGCCCGATGATGAGATGAAGCGAGCAATGGTCACACGAGTAAATGTAATGTATTGTACACTAGAGCGGGTGGGAGGGCAAGCAAATTGGCACGCGGTTGATCTGGAGTTGGTGCTCAGGTGCATTGGCGGTCGAACGACGAGATACCCGGTTGTCAGGAGGAAAAGCTTACTGCTTGTGCCGCTCAGGTTTGACGGCCACTTGAATGCATACCAGACGTACTGTCCAGGCAGATATCAACCAATGATATGGACATCGGGTGCTGGTTGAGCACCCTTTCTGCTCAACCTCCAGCTTGGTCTTTCTTTCGGTCGACTGACCAGGAAGGAATCGTAACCGCTCTCGGTGAGAGACCGACACCAATAACAGAATGAATTGGAGATGGCCGTCAGCATAGTCATCCTTTCGGGGAAGGACGGGAAAGTCGGTGCAGAATCGGAGGCTTCTCCAAGTCTCGAGCACTTTGCAGGGGAGCAAAATACCTTGAATAACGAGCAGTGCCAGGTACGGAAAGTGACGCCTACGTGAGACGTCGAGGCTGAATAATCTCGTCGCTTGGTGCGGCATGTCATCTTCATCTCAGGTCAGTACATTCAGCAGACGAATATGGACCCTTCTGTCACGCAACGAGGTGGCTTTGAGTTTGTCTTGGGTCGTTGACTCCTGCGATACTAGGTCAAGGCTGAAGAGCCGCCAGCGGAGAACATGGCACCGAGGCCCAAGAAGGAGAAGATAGTTCTCTCGGACTTCAAGCCCTCGCAATCTTTCCTCGAGACGGTGTCGACGTCTTCGCTGAACTACCGGGAATGTGCCCTCCAGGAGATTATGGCTCTGATTGCGCACGACCCGGACGACTCGCTCGACGAATATCTGGCCACGGCATTATACTACGGAGCGACAGAGTCCGAGATCCAGAATGTCGTCTTCCAATCGAGCTTCCATTTTGGACCCTCCAAGGCGATCACGACGCGAAGTCGCGTGGTCGCGAGCCTCCAATCCCTGATGGGCCCTCTGCACCACGCCCTCAACAGCACGTACGTGGAGAAAGAGGTCTCCGTCGGGGATCACCGCACGGTCGTGAAGGACTCGAACCCGCACAGCCAGTCGATCCCCATCGTCCTCATCCACGCGCTGGCGCTCGACCGGCGCATGTGGGATGCCGTCTTTAGCAGACTGGTCGCCACGGCGGGTAGCAGCAGCATCCGGGTGATCGCGTACGACATGCGAGGACACGGCTACGCAGCACACGCTCCCCACGCGCGCTCCCTCACCCAACTTGCCTCGGACCTGCACTGCATCCTCGACGCGCTCAAGATCGCCAAAGCGGACGTCTACGGCCAATCGTACGGCGGCGCCGTGGCACAGTACTTTGCGCTGGCCTACCCGGACCAGACGCGCAGTTTGGGCCTGATCACCACGGCGGGCGAGGCTCAACCGTCGTGGATCACGCGCGCGACGCGAGCCGAGGAGGCGCAGTCCGTGGCCCCCTTGCTGCCCGAGACCATCATCCGCTGGTTCACCCCGGAGGCCATTGCGCGCAATGAATGGGGCGTCCGCTACGCGAGGTCATGCGTCGAGAGGATCTCGCTGAGCGATTGGGCGGACGCGTGGCGCTGCATGAGCCAGCTCGACTCGCTACAGAGTCTGAGCGCGGGGAAGGTCAAGTGTCCCGTCCTGCTGGCCTGCGGTGTCCAGGACGCGAGTACGGGGCCCAAGTGGATGACCCGGCTCAGGGAAGCGTGTGAAGCCGGGGGCAACACCGGGGTCGTTTACAAGGAAATCGACCCGGGCGTGCATATGATGGCGTTGGAGCAAGGCGAAGTGCTGACGCGGGAAATCCTGGCGTTTAGACGGAGAGTTGATGAGTTGGGAGGGTGAGGGAGAGGGTGAGGGAGAGGGTGAGGGAGAGGGTGAGGGAGAGGGAGAGGGATCAGTGGGAGGGTGAGAGAATTGAGAGAGCAAAGAGGTGCACAGTACTCTGTACACAGTACAAAGTATCGAAGGAGTTGCTCACTCATTCACTCACTCACTTAGATCTGTTCCTCAAACTCGAATATCGAATGCGATAGACGTACCGCCAAGGAATGCCGTCCTCGATATATGAATTACGAGGACGCTGTGTTTGGCAAATCAAATGCTATTCACCTGTCTTTCACTTTCCCATGCTCGATAATACGAGGACACAGGTTCGGCAAATTACATACCGTTCACTTGTTTCTCACTTTCGCATCCTCGATAATATGAGGATTACAGTGTTTGGTAAAATGCTGTTCACTATCTCTCACTTCCCATCCTCGATAATACGCGGACACATGCTCGGCAATTCACATTCTATTCACCTGTCTCTCACTTTCCATCCTCATATACTCTTTACTGTACCCCGCATTGGCTGGTCAGACGCCCGGAGGTCTGGATGCCCCTGATCAGGCAAGGCCGACATGACGCGAGTCATTGATTTCCTGTACGTCATGCCCGGAACGCATTGCCACTGGTCGAAGCTCACGCCTGGACGCGGCGACATCGAGATCGAGATCGAGATTCCATTTGAAAGACCGACAGCCGGTAAAATGTCCGTTTCACGGGCTCCACTCGGCGCAGCCAAACACCACACAGTTTTGCTGCACGCGAGAACATTCGCTCGAGCCGCAATTAATCAAGCACCGACGGAGTACGGAGTACACAGGACGAAACTCTCCACCATCATCACGTATTTTTATTTTATACTTCACCCTATACCCTTATGCACGTTTCAGCCTGGCCTCCCTGATATACGTCTCGCTCTGTCCTTTTTCTCGCGCTCTGATCCCGGCAAATGTCCTTAGCCCAGCATGTCTCGGCAGTCGAAGGCATCGACCACGAACCCGAACCCGGCGATGTAGGCTTCGACACTGAAAGCATCCGGGCCTTTCCTCGATTGTCCAGACAGCCGAGTATAACGCTGAGTATCAGCTATGACCCTATTCCGCCCGCCGTGGGTGATAAGTCCACCGGGGGTGAAAAGTTAGAACCCATTGCCGCCTATGAAGTGAGCCCTAAGAAGAGGATAGGTAAGTTCTCATGTTGCTTCATTGTCTTCCGGGGACTCGGAAAATCAACCTTAAGCTGATAACACCCTCGCCACGCACCGTGTGCAGCCCAGATAGTGATTGGTGTCATCGCATGCGTGACAGCCTCGGGCATCACGTTTGGATTTGACGCTCTGAAAACAATCCTCGTAGCTGAAGGCGTCTACAAGGATCTGTGCACCGAAAAGGAATTGAGGAAAGGTGTCAGGCTGTGTTACCTGCAGGATCAAAGGTACAGTAGTCTGCCGATTCGATCTCATCATTCTGATCATATCCCCTCTTGGCCGGGTCGAATGAGACCGACACTGACGTTGACGTCCTTCCCCAGGCTTAATCTAACGTTCATCATCGCCTCCGTCACGACCAACATCTCGGCCCTCCTCGTTGGCGGTATTCTCGATCGATATGGCCCACGGGTATGCGGCATCATCTCGTCCGTCTTGCTCGCACTAGGCTCACTCTGCCTCGCATTCGCCGAACCTCTGCCCTTCGACGGCTACATCGTGGCCTCATTCCTGCTTGCACTGGGCGGCACATTCACCTTCGTGCCGTCCTTCCACCTGTCCAATGCCTTTCCGCGCTTCCAGGGCCTCATCCTCGCCCTTGTTACCGGCGCCTTCGACGCTTCAGCAAGCGTGTTCCTCCTCTTCCGGATCCTCTATCAATCCACTGCCGGGGCTGTCTCCCTCCGCCAGATCTTCCTCGTCTACCTCTTCACCATCCCGACGTTCATCTTCGTCACCCAGATATTCATCATGCCCGCCCAATCGTACCAGACCCGCGGCGAATTGGCCGAGAAGATGGACCGCGCCCAGGACGCCACGACCGACCTACACGACTCAGACGACGATCTGGACCTCACAGCCACGGACCTCATGCGCATGCGGTCCCACCGCGCCGAGCAAAGGCGGCTGTCCATCGCGAGCATCAACGATCTGCTCGGCACGCCCGCCCAACAAGTCAAGCACGTCAAGAAGGAAGACACTATCCGCGCGAACTCGGGCGTCTGGGGCGTGCTACATGGCCTGCCCGCGTCCAAACAGATCCGCACCCCATGGTTCATTCTCATCACACTATTCACCGTGCTGCAGATGGCGCGCTTCAACTTCTTCATCGCCACCATCTGGTCCCAGTACGTGTACATGCTGAACAGCGCCACCGAGGCGACCAAGCTGATCGAATACTTCGATTTGGCACTGCCGATCGGCGGCATTGCCACCGTGCCCTTCATCGGCGCCCTGCTGGACCATACCAGCACCGTCGCCGTGCTGAACCTGCTGGTCCTGCTGAGCACGATCATCGGCGTGCTCGGCGCGGTGCCGACCGTGTGGGCTGCATACGCAAACGTCACGCTCTTCGTCCTCTTCCGTCCGCTGTACTACTCCGCCATGAGCGACTACGCGGCCAAAGTGTTCGGGTATGCGACCTTCGGCACGGTGTATGGCGCAATCATCTGTCTGAGCGGGTTGTTCACGTTTACGCAATCAGGCCTGCAGGCCCTACTGCACGAGGTCTTCGAAGACGATCCCGAGCCGATTAATCTGGGTCTCGCCACCGCGGGGCTCGTCCTAGGCGTCATCCTCGTCATGTACGTGGACATCAAGGGACGGGATCTGCAGAGGCAAAAGGCCATCGCCGCGGCGCAGGCTGCCGCGCACGCTTCGAGCGTGCCCGACGAGTGGACTCGACTGCTGAGCGTGCCCGGGCAGCGATCCGCGTACGGCAGCGCGAGGAGCCTGGGCAGCGTGCTTGGGCCGAACGGCTCCGTGCCCGTTTCGATCCCGACCGCCGCGTTCGGCACGGGAGGCGGTATCGGCGGCGCGTTCGGCACCAGTCCCAGCATGACGGGTGCGTTTGCAGGCGGCGGCGCTGGTGCTGGTGTCGGTGCTGCTACGGGTGTGGGTGCGGGCGGGGGCGGCGGGGGCGGCGGCGGCGGCGGTCCTGCCCCTGGCAACATCGGCGCCGGTACAAACCTGCCTCCTGGCATGGGCGGCGCGTACTCCGTCGGCATGGGCGGACCGGGGATGGGCGAAGACACAGGCGCGGCCGAGAGAATGCGGATCCTGCACGCGACGCCGAGTCGCTCGCAGTTGCACCGCAATCTGAGCACCGTGCAGGAAAGTGCTCGCGAGGATAGCATCGCCAGCCCGAGTACAGGGCAGTCGGTGCAATGAGACGAGCAACCGAGTCATGAAGCCGGTTTCATCATGTTGATATGCTGAGTTACAAAACAAATTGTGCGTCAATAGACGGGGCACGACAGTGTCAGGCAAAGCAAGGCGTTTCGAGAAGCCGCGATGAATCCCAAACTCCGGGATCTATTGTTGCTGCACTATGCATAGTATTGAGATGTATTGTGTGTGTAATTAGAAGAATAAAATTAATAGTTTCGTCTATCTACCATCGAGCCACCTACCTACCTACCTACTTACCTACCTATCTACCTACTTACCTACCTACCTACCTACTTACCTACCTACCTACTTACCTACCTACCTACTTACCTACCTACCTACTTACCTACCTACCTACTTACCTACCTACCTACTTACCCATTGATGTCTTCATTTCATCTGTTTCTGATCTGAATTAAGCTGGCATGCTACTTCCCTACTCACCTACCTATCCACTACCTACTAAAGGATACTTTATTGAAACCGCCTCCAAAACCCCTACGTGTGGTCTTAACCGATGCGGCTCGGGAGATCCGTATAGATAGCGGATTAAACTGAGCGAACTGAAGAAAAGCTACAGGAGGGCACAGTACTTGGTATACCGACGTCTCCACGCTCACGCTCAAGCAGTATACTTGTCTACATCGCGCAACAGTGACGACCATGACTTGGAGAACACGATCTGCCAAAATCTGAAGCCGTGGACGAGCGCCTGGGACTGACTAAAAGCAAGCATATATCAGACGACCCGGGGCCATACGACCTGATTGTTTCGCTGAGACCTCAAAAGCGATGCCACGTCAACCACGGTTACAACTAATGGATGCCTCTCTACATTCTCCTGGATCGAGGCTTTCCGCACCCCACCTCGCTCTTACACCTAGTCATCCAACAGGTTGGTGTCACCGTTGACCTGCTTGTTACCGTCCTCATTGTCTCTTGTATCTTTGTTGGCCTTCTTTCCATGTCCTTTCCTGGCGTAGAACTCATCTAACAATTTCGGGTTGATACGGTTGAGCAGTTCCTTGGGGAAGATGCGGAGAAGATTCCACCCGAGATCCAAGCTGTCGAAAATCGAGCGCTTGTCGTAAGGGCTTTGGGAGATGAATTGTCTCTCGAACTTGTCCAAGAATTCCAGCGAGAGCTTGTCTTCGGATGACAAGGCTTCCTCACCCACGACTGCTTTCATGGCGGCTGCGTCACGACCAATGGCATACTTGGCGTACAGCTGGTTTGAGACGTCACCATGATCTTTCCGCGTCAGACCTTCGCCGATGGCAGACTTCATCAGTCGAGACAGGGACGGCAAGACATTGATGGGCGGGTAGACACCCTTGTTGTGCAGACCACGATCGACGAAGATCTGACCTTCTGTAATGTACCCGGTCAAATCGGGGATCGGATGTGTGATGTCGTCGTTAGGCATGGTCAAGATGGGGATCTGGGTGATGGAGCCGTTTCTTCCTTCGACACGACCGGCTCGCTCGTAAATGGTGGACAAATCAGTGTACATGTAACCGGGATAGCCGCGACGACCTGGCACCTCTTCTCGGGCAGCAGAGACTTCTCGAAGAGCGTCGCAGTATGCAGACAAATCCGTGAGGATGACTAGAACGTGCTTCTCAAGTTGATAGGCGTAGTATTCTGCCGTGGTCAACGCAAGTCGAGGCGTGATGATACGTTCGATGGTTGGGTCGTTGGCCAAGTTCAAGAACAGGGTCACTCGCTCCATCGAACCGTTCTCTTCGAAATCGCGAGTGAAGAATCGGGAAGTCTCCATATTGACACCCATGGCAGCGAAGACGATGCTGAAGTTTTCCTCGTGACCATCATGGACGCCCTTCGTAGGTTGGTTGACGAGACCAGCCTGCCGACAGATCTGAGCAGCAATTTCGTTATGAGGTAGACCGGCAGCCGAGAAAATGGGGATCTTCTGCCCTCTGGCTACCGAGTTCATGCAGTCAATAGCCGAGATGCCTGTCGAGATCATTTCCTCGGGGTAAACCTTCACCCGGGTCAGTTTGCGGTGGAGACAGTGAGACAGGGCGAGCGTACTCTGGAATATGGATTGATGGGACTCCCGTTGATGTCGAGGTAGTCTTCTGCCAGCACTTTGGGCCCTTTGTCAATGGCTCTTCCTGATCCATCGAAGATGCGACCCAGCATGTCTTCCGAGACCCCGATCTTCAAACTGTGGCCGGTGAACTCGACTTTCGTCTGTAGATAATGAGCATCATCGTAGAGTGTAAAGCAGAAGTTCTGCGCACCTTCTTGACATCAATGCCCGTTGTGCCTTCAAAGACCTGGACGACAGCTCTGTTCCCTGCAAACCATCGTCAATCAGCCATCGTCGAAGATATTTGCGTAGCTGTGACGAGCATACCTCTTGCCTCGAGAACCTGGCCCGACCGTGACGAGCCATCGGGAAGTGTCAGACTGACAATCTCGTTGTATCGGGGGAATTTGACCTAAGAGAACTGAGTATCAGCGATAATGCAGCACATGTCGCGGGGCGCCAGTGCGCAGCTCCAACGTACATTGTCTAGGATGACCAGAGGGCCATTGACACCGCCAATCGTATTGTACTTCAGCCTCGGCTTGACCGAGGCCATACGAGCATCTTGGGTGGCCATGTCTCGAGTTCGGTGAGGTGAGGGTCGATGGTGGTGGTCGAGGTTGGAGATTGAGGCAGCAAGAATTGTGTAGCTACTGAGCACTTGACGGAAGAGCTGTGCAGGACCGGCGGGCCAATCAGAGAGCCACGGTGGCGCAGGCGAGGAGCAGCTGCGACTAACGAGAGATCTATTCTCCAAGACCAAACCAACAGGGAGAGCGAGCTTCGGGGTCAAATCATCGACAAAGATTCTGTAGCGAGGGCGGTAGAGGGAGCTGCAAGCTTGCGGCTGGCGATGCGGTCACTGATGCACCCCAGCACCAACTGCGCCTAACCACGCCCGCCAATGGCAGCCACAGCCAAGATAAGGCCGGTGGGCGCCGTCCGTACGGAGTAACTCCAGGCTGTGGCATGTCAGAGCGAGGACCACAACCTGACTTTCTTTTCATGTGAATCTCGTCTTGCCGTCTGGGACTGTCACGACTGTCTATTTCGTGTTGGGACTTAACTCGCTATATATGGACTTCGGTGATATTCCAGTGTTGCCAGCTTGGTTTTGAGTCACACCGACCTCACTCTCCCTTGATAAGGTAGACTTGGTGACCGAATCACCCATTCGATACAAGATCTTCAGCAGACATGAGACTGTCCAAGCAGGACAAGATAATACTCGAGCGCTAGATCGTACTTGTTGTCCTCATGAAACTACTCTTACCTTCCGACAGTCTCACTTTGACATCTACCTACAGCCTCCAATTTCCATTTCTCTCAATGAGGAGCCAACTGTCCATGCAATCCACAGTTTACAGAAAAGACCAATATGTGGTTCACTTGGCTCCTGGGTTGCTTCGGTCAGATTAGGCTGCAAATCAATGCTGTTCGGGGGAATACAGAGTGACTGCATACGGCCATCTGGTCTCATTGAGCAGCCTCTCGGTCGAACGTTACCAATAAATGATTCCACTGTTCATCCAGCACATGAAGTCGCAGTCTTCAATGGCAGTCTGAGGCACGCAGTCACATTGAATAGGATGGGTATGATGGTAAGGTAGGGTTGGCAATGGTTTGCCATCTCTTGTGCATTGACCGTCACTCTCAAGACATCGCCCAAATAACATTGCCACTACCGTTTTCGAGGCTCTCCGCAGGTGGTTCGGCGGTATAGGTGTCGAAAGCGCCAAATTTCATGACCTGGCCAGCTGGAATCCCCCTATGGAGCGACCTCAGTCCAGAAAACCAGAAGCTCACCTCGACTGACTGCCGTGTCCAAAGCCAACGGTACAGCATTTTGAGGTTGAACTATGCAACCGAAGTTCTCTGTTGCTCCTCGACCTCTCCGTCCCTCGCAACTTCAAGCCGCGAAGGTGTGCCTTTCTTGTTCCTGAATGTTCACACTGTGCCGGCCGGATGCCTCGACGTTATCGCGTAACAGTTGCGTAGGGGTCCCGAATCTGTGCGACGGGGCAATCTCCTGCACCGAACATCTCCTGACTCCTCGAGTGGCATTGGGCTGGTCTCGGGCAGGCGGATTGCGAACTCAATGTTGCAGCGGCCGACTGCAGATTGTGCTTGTCTCTGAGAACCCCAAATCGCTCAAGCATCAAAGGTAGTTGTTGTCGTTGTAAGCCGGCCCAGAAATCTTGGACGCTTTGCATTTCGAGATCTCGCTACTGCGCACCCTCTCTTTCTCCGCGAGTCGTAACGGTGACAATCATATCCCATCCCCGTGCTCAAGTCACCTCACAAGCATGGCAGCAAGACTGTCTACCACTGAAGCGAATCTGTCCTTTTCAGTGTGGTGGCTTACTCCCCCACAGGCTCTGGCCGGGCGCTAAATAGGACTTTAAACCTGATGATTTCGACAATTTCCAGAAGCTCCTGATTTGCTTCGCCCACGTTCGTTCCTGAGTTTGCATCTCTATCATCGCCACTGCTGTGATCTACTTTCTGGATGACGGCCAACGGCTTTCCCAACTTCTTAATCTCACCGGTGAGTCGCTGGTGCTTGCCGACGTAGAGATAGACTTTCTTCATCCATTTACCGTCATCATTGCTTGCCTGCGGGTTGTATAACGGGAACTCTAGGCGGCCGATCTGGCGAGTTGTTGGTACCTGGTTTTCATCCTCTGGCGTTGGATCTTGGAAAGGTCCGTGGATCGTTCCTTGGATTTCGACCACAGCGAGACCGGAAGGGGTCTGAAAAAGAGGCGGAAGTGAATTGGTGCCGGTTCTCGCTGTGCGTGAAGAAGGAATCAAAAGTTCTATTGCTGGCATGTTGGCCTGAATCTTGGTCAGATTCTCAGAGAGGGTTGATAGAACGCGTTTCCACACTGCAACACGACCTTGCTAGATGGTGGACGCGTCGCGTCGGGTCAATATGCACCACCGCATGTTACTCAGTAAGCTGGCATTGATTCCCCGTAGTTTCCACTTGTGAAATTGACATCAAGCCGTTTCACCTCCGCATCACATAGGAGGGATGAAGACGTTTTGCGTGCGCCAGCTTAAAGTCCTCTCTGGAGCCTGATAACAAATCGTCTGCTTCAGAACAGCCGGCCGTCGCGTTTGCCATAGATGTCCCACGACGTCAAGATGACAGCCGTTCATGTGTGGCTGCACCAGGACCGGAGAACATCAAGACGACACCAAGACGACACCAGGACGACATGATGGCGGCAAGCGAGAGGAAGTTGCACTGCGGATCAAGATATCGACTTGAGTGGGCACGACCAGCACCTCCTGCTATTCGTCCCTTTGATGTCCCCTAGTCATTCCCTCCCTCTCTTGTGTATGACTTTTTCGCGACTTTGAGATACGTTCTTTCCTTGAACCTTGGTATCGACTTCACCCTTCCCTGGAAGCCAGTGCTGCCTGAGAGCTCTTCCTGTGACATGTGACCATGGTAACTGTCCTCCAAGTCTGCTCCTTCAACGTCGCTTTGCTCTTCCTCAAAACATGCAGCTGAACCTACACCCGGGTGACAGTGATAGCAACGACGGTGCCATGGTATGCAACAGCTGGGCCAACGACCAGGTTTGCTCGGACTGGATCCTGAAAACATACTGTCATGACGATGCGCATTTGGCTGAGATGGTGATCAGGCCGACAGGGTCTCCAACCAGGCCAAAGTGAAGCAATTGACTGATGCAACGATCAACGGGACTTGTAAGCCTGTCGCGATCCGGGCCATTTGTGCTCTCAACACGGTTAAGGGTTAGCCGAAGTATATGTGAATATACCCTTTGCCCCTCTGCTTGCGACCATCTTGAGTCGGCATCCAGGTCTGAAACAATTTTTCACTGCGAAAGACGAAACTCCGTCGCAAAGAATCACTTCTGGTTGTGATCAGGTGTCGAGTAGCTTTCAGCGGTTGGAGTGAAAGAGGCGGGTCACTAGGAACAAACTTCCCTTGTGGCCAGTGGCCTCATCACCAACATCCGTCGCGCTTGGTGGATGTGCTCTGTTTGACAGGTGCCGAGTTACCCTTTGGCGCTGGAAGTGTGATAACGCAGACCGGCTAGCTGACATTCAATACCAGAGACAGCAGCGTCGTCACTCAATACCACAAGTGAAACTGGCCATGCATAAAAGGGCTGATTCCCCAAACAAGCTCCGGCAAAATCCATCATGGTTCGCCAAACCCTCACACATCTCCATCGACGGACAGATCCAGGGTAGCCCTCACGTATAGCGGCGAAAGAGTGTGACCAGCGGGAACATCACTGATCATTGGGAATGTGGACTTCAACACTGATCCGCGCCCTGAAAATTAGTGCAAAAGAGAACAAACATCCAGAGGGCGCTTTTGGCTCTCTAGTACCCTCAAACTGCGCCCACATCCATGTTGGAAACAGCTTGGCGGGCGACTGACAGAGGAAACTTGACAAGTCTGTGACAGCCTTGCGAGGCTTCATATTCCAAAAGTTCGAGCGGCGTCAAGACCCGAGATCCGAACTGTGCGTGTCCCCAAGGACTCGCTCCGGACCTTTCCATATTGTCCAAACTCGATATCCCAAACTCGATATCCCAAACTCGATATCCCATACTGCAACAGCAAGGCAGAGAATCCCTCCGAGAACTGCTTGCCAACAGTGCGCTGTGAAGATACCAGCAACTCGGACACGGAGACAAGGCAGGTTCCCCGTTGTTCCCCTGGCAATACCACGGTCACAAGAGTTGAATCTGCCTGAATATTCACTTTCGATCTCCTGCTTCCCCGTCAACCACATCAACTGCGCAGTCTCGACCGCGGTTCTTCAATAACCTCCGGTATCGCATCTCACGGTAAGGAAGTGACAACAAACAACGCCTGTTCCTTCAACCCATTCATACTCTCGGTCCTATTCATCCTTCGCTATTACACTAAGCCCTTGCAGCTCTAACCAATAAAACCTCTCCAGCGTCCACAGCGGGCCATACCCACATCATAGTGATGGCTGCCCGGAGAAGATCGGATCGTCTATCAGTCGATCAATCGTCACTCCTTACCTTCAGCGACCTCACTAGCGAGGGGAGTAAGGATATTGGGAATCAGGCAGGCACCAATCCGGACCGTGCTCTTGTTCTTGTGCCCGTCGGTGGACCTTCTTACACATCGACCCGAACGTGGAAGAGCCAAGCCGTCAAAGATAGCGAGGAGTATGAACGATTGCGACACCGCGTCCGCCATTTCGCCCCGGAGCAGTTCAAGCCCCATGCTAAGCCTGGTCGGGGTCCATCCGAAATCTTTCCCCAGAACGTGGCTGAGTGGATAACCCACAAAAAGGAGATGCTCACGATTGCCGAGACGGAGACCAAGAAGAACTGCGACGTGCTGAAGGCTCAGATCGAAGCTCAACAGAAAGTCCCCAAGCAGCAGCGCAAGATCAAGTCGGCATTCGGCGAGGGAGGAAAGGTGTTCAACGACGGGCTCAGCCCTGTGCTTTGTCTCCCGACAATCTGGTCAGCTGAATGTCCCCTAAAGCCAGCGAACTGGCCCAGCAAGGCAGAACTCCAGTGGAACGGTGACAGTCGACAGTGCTCCCTGGCAAGAACCAAGTGTGGGCGATACCTACCCCCTCCACGTGCCTCTACCAATCCGTCTGCGCCGTTCCAAGAGCAGCCCTTTCAGAAGCCTCATGCTGTCGACGAAACCGGCCCTGTCTTTTCATGTGGTCCCTCTCCAGCAGAGTCATACCACGGCAACATCAAGATGAACAGCGACCCGGGATTCGAGGCTGCCGGTGCTTTCTATCTCGGCGCGGAATTGATGAAGGCGATCGGCGAGTGGAAACCTTGTTTCGTCCCGGAATGGCGCGAGGAACAGCTGGCGAGTGCCACGCAAGCGATGGTGATCTATGATGAAGACGGCATGTTCGGGACTCCAGACGTCGGCGAAGCCACCTGGAACGAAGACAGTATGCTTTCTAACACGTGGGAACACCAGCAGGTCTGGTACTAGAGTGCTGGGGACCGGAGGAGCATCGGAGGTGATTTAGAAGAGGATGGGGTGGGCCGAGACATGGAGGTGGTTACTGTTGGAATGTACTGGGGAATGCGGGTTTTCCTTTTGGGCACAGCAAAGGCTTTCCTTCTCTTGTGCGGCGATTTCAACCTGGACGACAGAACATCCCCTTGACGACCTTGATGCCTTCAGCGCCGACGGCTGGTGCTTGTGTTATGGCTTTGTTTTGCTTTTCCTTTCGCGCCAACACCGGAGTCGGATACGATAGACATGACGGAACGACATGACGACCGCGATACCCCTTTGGATATGATGGGCGCTGGTGCTTGGATACCGCAGCTACACTAGGCGCTGGATGATATGACCTGGACACAGGAGTGACGAGCAAACAACAGGGCTGTATCATGCTCTTCGAACGCAGGATTATGTGCCCCCCCCGGAGACGTCATACCCACGATGGTATATGCAAATAATCCAGACATTGCAATGAAACGAGTCTCACTCACACTCTTATGCTGACTGTGCACTGTGGCCTGTATAGAGTACGAGGTTCGTCGTACTGCGTAAGTCCTATGTAGCTGTTGGTCGTAGTTCTCGCTGACATCGCCCACATCGACTCGATTCACCTTCGGCCCGGTCATTGAAGACACAGTACGAGTTACGTCTCGCACTGCCATCCCTGGGGCCCCACGCTGTCCGTCCATTCGTCGACGCCCACCATGCTCCTCATACTCATTACCCCCCCCCACCATTGGCACGTCGGCAGCCCTCATTACTCCGTACTTCCAAGCTCGTGCAAGCCCCAGGCGGCCAAAGCGGAGTAAGGCCAAACCTTGCGGCAGGCAGGACAGTGACGGCCGAATGGCCTTGCGAGCCTCGGTCCCGACGCGGATAGCTGGAGGGAGGGCACGACAAAAGATACCGAACTCGATTCTCACTCAACCGCGCCTGCGGGCTAATTATGTAGCCAGAATAATATATGATGTATCATGGCCGTGTGTCTATCCTATATCTTGACTGCTCCACCATACGCGCACAGTGCGCTGCATCATCGAACCCAGCATGTCTCGTAAGTCCCCCTCCCACCGGCCTCAAGTTCTGTCTGCATTTTCGGTGACTTTGATCCTCTCTCTCACGCACACACCCACCACGTCTAGTGTCCACCGTAGCGGCAGCCATCGCGGGCGGGCTCGCGACCGCGGCATATCTCGACGCGAAATTCCTCATCCGCCATGACCTGGCCGCGGGCTCTCTGGGGGCGGGCCAGAAAAAGGCCATGGCCTTCACGGTGGAACGGTACCAGCAGAACCGCATGCTGATGTACCACGTCTTCGAGGACCAGGCCACGGGGCGGAACGCCGACCAGCTGTTCCTGATGTTCGAGGGCCGGTCGTGGACGTACAAGCAGTTCTTCACCGAGATCCACAAGGTGGCCAACTGGCTGCGCAACGACCTGGGTGTGCGGGCGCAAGAGATCGTCGCCCTCGACGGCGGCAACAGTCCCGAGTTTCTGATGCTGTGGTTCGGCTTGGAGGCCATCCGCGCGTGTCCGGCTTTCATCAACTGCAACCTGACGGCCGGGCCGCTCACGCACTCGGTCAAGCTCAGCGACGCGCGCTTCCTGCTGGCCGACCGCTCCACAACAGATCTCGTGCAGCCCTGTGACGATGAGCTCCGGTCCGCCGGCGTCACGACCGTCTACTATGACGAAGCCTTCCTTGCGGCCCTCACCGACACGACGCCCGTGCCCAAGGCCCTGCACAAAGGCATCTCCCCGACCGAACTTGCCGGCCTGATCTACACGTCGGGAACGACGGGCCTGCCCAAGGGAGTCATCATGCTGCGTGGGCGCGAGCTCAACACCGCCCGCAGCGTGGCCGAGTACCTGAAGCTCAAGCCGGGGAATAGGATGTATACGTGTCTGCCGTTGTACCACGGCGCCGCACACGGGCTGTGTGTCACGCCCTCCATCTTCGCCGGGTCGGCCGTCGTGCTGTCGCGGAAATTCTCGCACAAAACACTGTGGCCCGAGGTGCGGGCGTCCAGGGCCGACATTTTGCAGTACGTCGGCGAGCTGTGTCGGTACCTGATCAACGCACCCCCTTCGCCGCTGGACAAGCAACACAACGTGAAAATGGCGTGGGGCAACGGCATGCGGCCGGACGTGTGGGAGACGTTCCGGCAACGGTTCGGCATCGAGACCATCAACGAGCTGTACGCCGCCACGGACGGCATGGGCGCGACCTTCAACGCCAACAAGGGCGACTTTGGCAGGAACGCGGTCGGCGTGCGCGGCCTGTACTGGAACTGGGCCAACGGGGCCAACGAAAAGAGAGTCCGCATCGACATCGACACGGAGGAGATCCTCCGCGACGACAAGGGGTTCGCCATCGAATGCAAGACCGGCGAGCCCGGCGAGGTCGTCCACCGCATGGACCCGGCCACCGTCGACACCGTGTTTGCCGGCTACTACAAGAACAAGGGCGCCGGCCAGAAACGGTTCATCCGCGACCTGTTCCGCAAGGGCGACCTGTGGTTCCGGTCGGGCGACATGATGCGCCAGGACGCCGACGGCTGCGTCTACTTTGTCGACCGCCTGGGCGACACGTTCCGCTGGCGGAGCGAGAATGTCTCGACCAACGAGGTCTCGGACGTGCTGGGCCGCTTCGACCAGATCGCCGAGGCCAACGTCTACGGCGTGCAGGTCCCCCACGCCGACGGCAGGGCCGGCTGTGCGGCCATCGTCCCCGTCTCGTCCGTCGCGGCGCCGGAACAGCTCGACTTGGCCAGGCTGGCGGAATATCTGCTCTCGACGCTGCCCCGGTATGCCGTGCCCATCTTCTTGCGCGTGGTTCCGCAGCTGGAATATACCGGCACGATGAAGCTACAGAAGGGTCGTTTACGGACCGAGGGCGTCGACCTGGACAAGATCGAGAAATCCGCCCCGGCCGATAGAATGTACTGGTTGCCCCCGAATGGGACCAAGTATGAGGTCTTCGGCAGGAAGGAGTGGGAAGAGCTCAAGGCTGGCAAGGTGAGGTTGTAGAGCCACAGCATCAGGCTGGATGCCGGGTACTGCAAGCTAGAGTCCTACTATACTAGAGCACGAACGAAGTGAAAAGATCTCGCCTTCCACTACTTTCCACCTGAACCAAATGGCAGGTTGTCCCCCTCGGTAGCCGCGTGGAAGCTTGCCCGGTTCAGCACTGTCACATTGTGCCATGTAATGTCGTCCTTCCCCGTGTCATCGACAGGTATCTCTCCATCTATCGCTGCTGGTTACCATAACAATATAGTACTCGGTACGTCTGTTGCCAGCCTCAGGCGTCCCTGGCGAGAACGGCGCATGCAAGACTGATACGGCCTACAGAGCAAGCGGACAAGATCTCCTACCCAGTGCGGACAATTTCAGTAGCGTGTCCGTCCAGCCCAGTCGCCTCCTGACGATGCGCTCTGGCCGTATCTCTGCCGGCCAAGGTTTCTCCAAAAACTACACGTACATATGTACGACCACCCCAGGGTGGTCTCGGGCCATATCTCCAGCACATCCGGCTAATGAATAGCAATTTCTTTGTCCATCAATCGTAGATCGGGGTATCGAGAAGTGAGGCGAGGCGCAGACGAGTGTCGCAGCCAATCATCAGACATCGATCGCGGCAGAAAATTGCCCTGGTGGAACAGGATATCGAAGCCGGAATCGGTTGTCATGCTATAAACACAGAATCGTTGAAGTCGTCATGGCGAAGGGTGTTGAGTGTAGGGATACGGCCGTGGTAGTACGTCAGGGAATCTATTCGAGAGCTCGTTTCAGGTCGTTCCATTTCTGCTTGAGCCCTTCGTGTTCGGCATTGAGCTAGACGGGAATTAGTATTGTGGACAAGGGCTGTCGAGGGAAAGCACTCACTTCAGCATACTTCAGCTTCATTTCGACGAGCTCCCGTTCCATCTCGGCCATCTGTTCCTCCATATGACGATTCTCATTCTGCACCTCGATATTGCGCTGCATGACTTGTTCGGTGGTCGCTTTTAATCTTTCCTCGACATTTGCTGCCTCGCTTTCTGCAACCTTCTTCAGTTCCGCGACTTGGCCGGTCAGGCTTTCGTTCTGATCATGGAGCTCATTGTTCTCGACTTTCAGCCGTACAAGCTCGTTGGCAATCTCGATGTGTTCGGCATCGGACTTTTCGGCCCTTTGTTCCAACGACCGAATTTGTGCAGCTTTCGTGGCGCAGTCAGTCTTGAGATTCTCCATTTCGGTTTCACGCGCCTTCTCGGCTTTGGTTGTCGTTTCCCATTCCTCGCGATAGCGGTTCAACATGTCAGGAGTAAGCTTAACGGCACAGGCATCTTGCACAAGAAGATCCGCTCGATAGACCTCGTTTTCCGATCCCCCCGAGCTGCCAAAGAAGCCGGATTCCAGTAGCGATTTGGAAGATGGTGTGGCATCGATATAGGCGTCGAAGATCTTCTCCTTGAGGAAGTTGGTGAGACTCTGCATGTCTTGCATGCCCAGAAGTGTAGCAGCGTTCTTCTGCATAAATGCCATGCCGAACTTCAGAATGGCGCCTTCAAGACCCTCACAGAGAACCAGGTCGTACACGCGCATGACGAGTTGAAGAGGGAACCGATATGCAAACATCGTCAGAAACCATTGGGTGGCGTAGAGATTCGGGGTGACGTCTCTCCGCTTTAGGTGACAGTACAAAGCGGGTTCCAGGTCTTCCAGTAATCGCTCAAATTGGTACAGGTGGAGATGCAAGCCAGGCATGTCCTGGATGAAGAGATCCCTGACCTGGTATTTGTTCATCAGGCGAACCAGTAGGCAAAAGGCCTCTTCTTGTGGCATGGCGATTAAGAGTGGCATTACCATAAAGTTCATTCCCTGGGGATACCCGACCGCGTCATCAAAGAGTGCGTACGCGCGGAGCACATGGAACAGAGGGTCTTGTAAGCCAGCTGCTATCGCGTACTTGGAGTAGCTTGTCCTTGAGCCCAAGTCGCGCTTGATGGCCTTCTCCAGCTTTGATAGCGCAGCGGAGTCCTCCTTGGCCTTCTTCGCTCTCTCTGCCGCCAACTGGGTCTGGAGGCGGGCAGTGCTCAACGGATCTGTAGCTTCGTGGGAAGGAGAGGGTGACGCAACTCCGACATTAGAGCTTGTGGCTGGCGTTGAATGATCGGACCTTATCGACGATCTCGAAGAAGCGGTAGATTCCTTTTCCTTGACGCTACCATTGAGGTTTCCGTTGAGCAGCGGGGACTTGGGCATACCCTCCTTTGCTGGTTCTCGCGACTTGAGCTCCCAGTAGACGGCTTCTAGGTCCTCATTTTTGCTGCCTGCTAGTACCTGCCATATGACCGGTCTGATGGTCTGAGGGATTCCGCCACTGATGGCTTGGGTGAACTCATCAGGGCTCGTTCGGGCAACAGCTTGTGGACCTTCATTGACGACATTCTGCCAGAAATCCCAGTCGATGGGTATAGCTGTGCCCGCAGCTGCAGCAGCGACCCCCGACACGGTGCCCGGAGGGAGATTCGGATTCGTAGGAAGTGTTTCAGCCATGGGCGATGTAGGAGACACAACAGGAGTAGAGACGACGTTCTCATCCGGGTTAACGGTGCCAGGTGTTGCTATTCCCATACTTAAGCTGGTAGACCGACCGACTAAACCAGCTATTGCACCACCCTCGGCTGACTCTGTACCTTCCAGGCTTGATATTCCAGCTTCTTCCCGCATGCGCAGCATCTTGAATTGCTCTCGCAGCGACGCCCGTTTCGAGCCGCCCGAGCCATCTTGCGCCTCTTCCAGGGCCTTCAGCATCAGGTCAGGATTGCTTCCAAGGGTCGATGTGGACGCTGCGGTGTTCCGCCGGGTGTCAAGCTGGGATCTAGAGGGTAAGGGAGGGGAGCGAGTTTCTTTTGGAGCGGATGTCGCACGGCTGAGCCAGCCAAACGGGGTGGTGGCTTTGCGACTCCATGTGGACGTAGCCTGAGGCTGTGGCGGTAGAGGCGGTTGAGGAGAGGGCGCCCGAGCGTCATTGGAAGGTTTCTTAGGGGGAGGAGGAGGAGGAGCTCCCCACGGCACTGAAGGCAGAGAGGAAGCGAAACCCTGAAATCTCGAAGGACGAGGCGGAGGCTTGGGAGGATCGGATTTCTCAGTTGGGTCGCCGGAGGTGCTGCTTAGAGATTCAGTGGGCTTCAATGTAGACGTTTGCAATTCATTCTTGGTGTCAACGTCTGCAACCGGCTGGGTCGTGGTTATATCGGGTGTCTTGGATTCTGAGCTTCCCGTGCTTTCTCTTTGCGGATCCTTTGCTTGCTCGTCGTCATTGGCATTTGACGGAGGTTGATCCGACGAGGAGGATTCCCGTTTCGAGTTACTTTTGACGTCGCTCGCGTCCTCGAACTGCTACTTCTTGTCAGACGGGAACTTGTGTGAACCTGGGCGTCCATGTGGCTTACCTCGTCGACCTCCGAGTGCTCTGCGGTGGTTGCCATCTTGAAGCCCTCAACAGCGACCAGGCATGCTCGTGTTCTCGCCCATCCAACGATCTTGACCTAGTCTTGCAGCAGAGGTTGTTTTCTTGATTTATTGCCCGTTGGGGATAGCTGGGTGGTTTGTTGGGTCGTAGGAGCGACGGTTGGAACGGTGACGCGAGAGTCAGGCTTGGATTCGCAGGGGGGTGGAGCTGATCAGACAACTCCGAGATGGTGTGGCTCGTCACTCGGTGATAGATAGGAAGGTGAAGGCTGCTGCCAATTCTTGCTTGCTGTTCCCTGGCTTGAGGTGCGGTGGGAGGATGGTCACTCGTCGACAGACACCAAAATTCTTAATAGTTGCAGCTAGCGGAAGGAGGGATCGACATCAGATCTGGCTCGGGATCTCGTGCCCCAGAAACAGGTTTCAGATTCCCAGAATATCTACGCGGTATGTTCAAGAGACTGCAGCTTGGGACGCGACACCTGTCTTTTCTTCCCTGTTGCCGACCTTTCGACTCCGCTGTGGCACAGGATCATGCATTGTGCGCGTGTCTCATTCTGCGTGAGCCCGTTGTTGCCCCCGTCGTGTTCTCAGAGAGGCGTGTTTTAGCAGGAGCGCCACAGGCACGCGCCCCGGCTCTACGGCCTAGCCCCTCTTAAGCCCCTATGGTGCCGCGTGGTGCCGTTGCAGTGTTTGGCTGTGCCGTAAAGGGGCCGACAGCCCAAGTACCTCACAGTAGGGGAGCTTTGCGGCTCATTTTTAAGGGGCTCAGGAAGCAAAGGCCTGTTTCATTACGAGTACGATGCAGGGCCTGGTCATCATCGTTCCACCTCACCAAATATCACGCCAGTTGCTTGCGAGCTGCTGCTCCATATCGTTCCATCTGCCCTTCCTCAGAGGATCCAGAGTCTTCAGCGTCTGCAACCACTCTTTCACCTTGACGCCGTCCTCCTCCTTAAGGCACGAGTTCACCTTGCCTTCTAAGAGCGTGCACTCAATCAGCGCCTGGTACGGCCACTTGCAATCTTGGGCATCCTCCAGAACTTCCTCAATGTATTCCCGCTCTGCAGCGATATACTCTAGCCGCGCCTCTTTCGAAAGATTTGGTGCCATGCTCTTCGCCGCCTGGTCTGGATCAAACGTGCACATGAGATTCTGGTGGTAGAACCATAGCGACTGGTCGTAAGGGTCGAACAGAGCTTTGTGGATCAACTCAAGTTCTATACGAACAGTGAAGTGAGCATGGGTGACATTTGAGGAGCAAGGTGGCCTACCTTCGTCTAGCATGTTTTGTCGTTCCTGGTCACTAGCACTCTCCTCGTCTAGGATCCTGAGGATGAGCTTGGTGCGGTTATGCCAGGCTGAGAAGTTCGAGAGATTTGTCCCAATCATTTTCTTGGTGTAGTCAAACTCTGGCCGTGCCATGCTTTGTCCTTGCAAAGCCGGGCTCTCCAGATTTTGCACCACTGTCCGTCGATAACCCCAGCCATGGAAGTTGCGGCTGTCCCGATTGAGCATTTTGCCCACCAACCCCAGCTCCTCTTCCCATAGCTTTCGGGCTTTGATCGCGGGCACAAGGATCGTTGCTTGTTCGAGAAGCCATAGCCTGTGGTTCCAGATCCAATAGCACTTGGGGAATTTGAGCAGCAGGGGAAAGAGGAATTGCAGGTCCAGTTGAATAATATCGAGTACCTGGCTGATTCGAGTGTCTTCGTCTATTTCCTCGGCTGATGTTTGTCTCGCGAGATCCTCGAACTCATTCACGTAGATGCGCCGGCGGTGGTTCCAGACAGTGTAGTACTCTGGGTTCTTCTTCAGAAGTTCTGCCGTCTTTTGAAGCAATTCTGCTGTGTATTCCTTTGCAGCAACCTGAACCAGATCATCGTCAGCATTATTTCCTCGACCGGGTTATCTAACATCAATAACCTTGTCATTTACTTCCTCCACGAGCTGCTGATACTGGGCGATTTCCTTCAGCTCCTTCTGCCGCGCTTCTGCCGTTCGCTCCTCACGCGTTGCGGCCCGAGGGATACCATGCTACCTGCGATATTAACGATGAACAACGGTGAAGCGCTCGCCCATTTTCTTACACTTGACATTATCGAACCTTATTTTGATCAAGGTGCGAGGTCCGGTCAGTTGGGGGTTCCGGGCTAGCGAGCACGTAGAAGTTGCGAGGGACGAGGAAGATGGAAGGATGATGTGAGGTGAAAGAGCGACCGAGATGAGGGCGAGAAGACATCGATGCCAGTCAAATTCCCAGGCAGCACATATTATTCCTTACCACACATGCCAACATCCATACTAACCATGCAGCATAGACAGGTGATGGCCTGCTCCTAACATAGATACAGTACAGATCCAAAGGTTTATTCAGACCTAGCCTGCATCGACAGCAGCATTCAGGTTCCTGGTCCCTTTCTCGCAGCGTTCGACAATGACTGCCCACTGCACACCAGCTATCATTCTTTGAGCGACCAGAATTTTGGCTTGCTTCTGCGAGCTCGGTCTGAAACAGCGCAGCTCGTCTCTAGCGACAGTTTTTGAACGAGACACAAGCGCCGCCCCTTTTGCACGGAAGCCTCCCCAATGAGCAGTGACAGCTTTAGCACAGGCTCATCGATTCAAGCTTTGGTACCACCTCCTCGCTTCGAAGCAGATAGTCATGTTGAGCACGCTGGCAGTTCTGCATTCAGATTGCACTATCCTCCTCCCCGGGGCCGCCCTCTGCTTCGTCAAACGCCTCAACACCAATCGACATCCAAGCTCTTATCTGAAGATCATCCCTCTTTGACACCTCCGAGCGGGCGACCATGTCTATAGCAAAGACGAAGCGTCAGTGCCGGGAGCCCAGTCCGATCACGAGCTCATTTCACCTCCCCTGATCGATTCATCCCCCAGCGACCGTTCCACATTGACAGACGAGAATCCTACCAGACCAGCAAGCCCCCGGTCTTACTTCAGGGCCGCGAACGATATGAACGACGGCGAGACAACATTATCGACCCCTTCCGCTCCGTGAGTGAGGGTAGATTGCGGTCGTTGACTCGGCAAAGGAATGCGCGGAATGCCTACAATCTTCGCCCTCCTCACTACGTCCCGTCCTTTGTCCACGGAAGAGATGCCACTCCCGCTCACATCGATGCAAGAATAGCTACAAGGACCCTCCGGCAAATCAGCGGCGGCTTTTGGACTGTGGGAGGTCGCTTGTCTCTTCAGCTTAGCCAGTTGCAGGGCATCCCTTCTGGTTCGGGCCGCCTGTTGGCCAGTGGTACCACCGCTCCACTGCATACAGCTTCATTTCTGGACGAGGCTACTCATGACGACAAGGTGGTCGCTCATGAACGCCGCCTTGCACTCGCCCTCGACATCGATCAGGCAAGCCGAGTCCTGATGCACAATATCATCCCCAACAAGGCGCTGACTCACCAACACAGTCCGTTCGTCTGGACGAACGGTGCCTGGACCCGGGCAAACGCGTCACCCTGTAAGTCACTCTCCTTCACGTTCCGCCATGCGGCTGCTGACACGCAGCAGTTTCCCCGAAAACAGATGAGCCACTTCGCAGCGAAAAGGCTGTTCCTACGGTGCCATTTAGAGTCCTTGACGCTCCCAACCTCAAGGACGACTATTATTGCTCCATTCTCGCCTATAGCTATACTTGTCACACGCTGGCGGTGGCACTGGGTCAAAAGGTCTATCTATGGACAGAGCAATACGGAGTGCGATACCCTCCGCTGGCTCCGGTACGATTAACCAACTTCGTGACTTCTTTAGCATTTTCATCTGAGATAGGAGGCAAAGCCATTCTGGCAGTCGCCCGCAACAGCGGCAGCGTCACGCTATGGAGCTTGCTGGAACCACAACCACGATTTGATGCGCCTCACTCCTGTGCAGCGTCTTGTGTTGCCTTCAAGCCAATGCAGACGAGACGACCAGACATTACTGGGACTGGCATGACCTCTTGTGAGGACTTGCTTGTTGGCGACGACTCCGGCAAGATATATTACTATTCATTGGAGTGGCCGGAATTCGGTGCAGGGTCAATGACCTTGTTGGCAAAAATCGACGCTCACAGCCAGAACATCTGTGGTCTCTCTTGGTCTCCGGATGGACACCGATTTGTTTCTGGCGGCAACGATAACCGAGCGCTTCTGTTCGACCCAGAGATATTTGTTAATACAGCGGTCCAAAGATCTTTCTCTCAAGACGTTGTCGAGCATGCTGCTGCCACGGCCCAGAATACGGCTGGTGTACGGGCCACGCCGCCTGTGTCGCCGGAAAGGTCGGGAGCCATAGGTCCAGGAGGAGCTATGGAGGCCGGATTCCATGCACCTTCGATACAGCATCTGGGACTGCAAACACCACCTCCGAGCCCTGCGCGCCGTGGACGGAAGGCGGGGCGAGCTCCACGGGCCAATCGATGGATCTTCGAAGATCAGAACCTTCTTCCCCGTCAACAGTCGATGTTGCGGAATGCCTTGGCCAATCCCAGTATCCCAGGTCAAGTCAATGTACACATTCATTCCTTCTACCATTTCGCAGCCGTCAAGGCAATTGCATTTGCTCCGTGGCAGCCAAACCTACTAGCCACAGGAGGGGGAAGTAATGACCGGCAGATTCATTTCTATCACACCGGATCAGGAGCTACTTTGGCGCTCATCAACGTCTTCTCACAAGTCACCAGCCTGGTTTGGAGCACGACGAGGCGGGAAATTGTCGCAACATTCGGATATTCACAGCCTGAGCATGAGATCAGGATTGCTGTATTCAGCTGGCCAAGCTGTGAATGCGTGGTGAGCATCCCTTGGGAGCGGAAGCAAAACGGCGAGATTGGTCGCGCTTTGTGGGCAATCCCCTACCCCGGAGGACCGAATGATGCCATTCCAACCAGGAGACAAACTCAGTCCAACGAGGGTTTTGCTGCATGGGAAGCGGTTCGACGAAGAGAAGCAGAGCGGAGACGAGGCACTGCAACTACAACGGACACTCCTATTCCTCGAGTACAGCGCAGTCCAGCACCTAGTCCGGACCGAACAGCGCTGCTAACCACACCGACAAGGCGAACGCGACTCTCCTCCTGGAGCCGACCACGCGACAGTGGTCACGGAAGACAGCTCCGCGGCGAAGGTGAGCCCTGGGCAAGTCGCACCCAGCAGGAAGGGAGTCTCATCATCGCCTGCTGCGACCAAACCGTCAAGTTCTTTGAAATCTGGGCGGGGAAAAGTAAGGGCAAGAAGAGTGGCGGATTGGGGAATCGGCCTGGTGTGCTCGGTGGCAGCCGGGTGCTTGAAGGATGGTGTGACTATGTAGACGTGGATGAGATTGGGTACGGGGAGGAGGTCATCCGGTAGTGGATGAATGGCAGCGAAGACCAAGAAGAGGGAGTGCATTTTATCCTTTGGAAAGAACGTGCACCATCAGCGTTCCCGACACTCGATAGCCACACCAAAGGGATCAGCTCTACGTAGCAGTATCCGAGGAGACACGGTTGTCAAGGAATCCATACTGAATCCTGTGGGAAGAAGTATTCTTAAGCTGTTTCATATCATTCATCGTGTCTACGGCTTATGCCCCTGGACGATTGGATTTGAATCAATGATATCTCATATTGATGCTCACGCTCATGCTCGCTGGTATCCAGGTCATCCAGGTCCTCGCTATGCTTTTTGCTTAACACTTTTGATCGTCATAATCACATTCAGCCACGTCCCGTGGCCCGAAGCACAGCCGTACTCCTTCCCGTAAGAACATTTCCTCAACATGTGAATAATCCATACCTCCCACATCTTCCAGGACAAGGAAGCGAACCTCCTCCGTCCATCAACCATGCCTCACAGCACGGTGCAGAAGCATTTCTAATGCCTGTTCTTCTTTAAAGGTCGATCCTTCTCCGCCGACCTCGACTTGCTCTTCTTCGCGCTGGTGATATCGAAACCGACATCGAGATCCATAGCGTCCCTCTTTGGTTTTGATTTCGAGGGCTTCAGAAGAGGCATTGGTTCTGGCTCTGGCTCTGGCTCCTCCACGTCTTCGTTATCTTCATCTTCACCTTCACCTTCACCTTCACTGTTGTCGCCAGCCACCTTGATCTCGTTCCCGTCGTCGTCTTCTTCTTCGAAATCCACACTCCCGTCGTTGATGAAGCTGTCGAGATCACTGCCCTCGTCTTCTTCACCGTCTTCACCTTCTTCGCTCTCATCATCGAATCCCGAGACCGAGGACGCTGATGACGATGCGGCCTCAGCTGGCGAGGGCGCTACGTCGTCGGGATCGGACTCTCCTGCAGACGATACGGACGCTTCGTCGTCGACGAGGCGGGTCCCATTGGGAAGGCCTTCTTCGTCGGATTCTTCCTCGTCGTTATCTTCATCATCGTCATCGTCCTCGTCCTCTTCTTCTTCCCCTTCGTCGGAGGACTCGACGCCGTTAGCGAGGATTTCGTCGTCTTCCACATCTTCCTCGTCGTCTTCATCTTCATGGCTGGCGCCGATGAGATCGTCCAGCTTGGTTCCTCTTCGCGCCCTCTTGGCCGGGCGGACGGTGAAGCCATCCTCGTCCAGATCGTCGTCGCTGTCCCAGTTATCTTGCCCTTCGAGGAGGATCACGCCGGGCTGGCCCTGGCCTGCTTCCCTTTCCCCCCTCTGCGCGGCAATAGACTTGCGGAACTGGACCTGCGCGTCCAAGAGATCTAGTTTCCCTTTCAGAACCAACAGGTCGTCCAGCGTTCTCATCCGTTCGTTCAATACCGCATAAAGGGTCTTGACCTTGCTGATGACGTCCGGCATGGAGGCAATCGCCCCGCCGTGCGCGATGCACGTCCATTGCACCCAGGCGATCAGATGGCCGTACCGACCGGGCCTGCTCGCCAAGCGTTCCGCGAGTTTCGACAAGAGAAGGCCGGCGAGAGTAGAGTCCAGGCGCTGGATCGTGGACTTCACGATCGAGGCGTCCGTGGTATGCAGGACTGCTTCGAGGAGGGATGTGTCGTTCGTCCGGAGGGATTGGGTGAGAACCGTTGACAGCGACATGCCTGCGGGGAGCGCCATGGCTGGGAGTTTCGGGATGGCTAAAGCCGTTGTGTCGGCAGGAAGAGCGGCCGGGATGGAGATCTCAGTGGGGTGACGAGCGGCGAGAAGGTCGCCGAAAGAGGGTTCCTCTTTATCTTCTTGGGCTTCTTTTTCTTCCGCGTCAGGCATCTCCTCGTCAGAGTCGGAGGCTTCTGAGGCATCTTCGTCTTCGTCTGCCTCTTCATCTTCCTCCTCGTTGTCTGCCTTGGCCGATGCTTCGTCGCCGGAATCATCCTCGTCTACGTCGTCCTCGCTCTCGCCGCTTGAGAGCTCTATCGCATCCGCTGTGGAAGGACCGCCTGCCCCACCGCTGACGACCACAGTCTTGGATTCGTCGACCCTCACCTTGCCCGTATCCTTGACTCCATTCAGTGTGGCGGTGTTCAATGTATTCGCACTTTTCACTTTAACCACGTCTTTCACCCCATCAAATAGCAACTCTCCATTTCCCTCATCTTGCCATCTCACCTTCTGGAAGGCCAGGTCGACGCCGCCATCCGCGGAGACGATGACAAGGTCAGGGCCTTGCAAGAATGCTGCGACAATTGGGACGGACTTTGTCTTCGAGTCGGGACTAACTAAGCGGACGGACGCCGAGGCCTTTCGCGTGAGGTTCTTCCGACTGGATTTCAAGTCCCCGTTGATCGTCTTGGACTCGGCGAACGGGTGGGGGAATAGTTCTACGGCACCATCATGGGTAATTGCGCAGAGCATTTGTTGTCGTCGAAGATAGTCGGGTGCGTCCTTTGGCGGAGATGACAGAGCGACTGCGGTGACTCCGCTGGATGTAACTAGCGTGCGGGACAGTTTCTTCTCGGAGATGGAGTAGATATTGATATATCTGTCAGAGTCTGCAGCGAGGAAGATTTGAGAGTCGTCCGACCGGCAGAGTGAGTGGACGGTGTTCTTGAAGGAGTCGAAGCGATCTATCCGAAAATCGTCGGATGATGTAATGTCGATTGCAAATGGTGTAGAAGAGGCACAGAGGATTTCAGGAGCGACCTGGCATGGTGAAGCCAGGAGACTGATGGTGGGGTCTGGGAGGTTTATCGTCCTGTTCTTGTTAGTTGTAATCCAACACCGTGTGACGGACCCAATGCTGACCTTATGGGCTGATCGTTTAACAAATCCCATTGTATCAGCTTTGCATCTTCACCTATGCTCCAGGCTTGTAGGTAGTCTGTTGGAGAGAATTTGAAAGCCTTGATGCCTCGTTCATGTCCCCCAGAGAGCGTCCCAACCACTCTGCCTTCAGTGGGCGAGAACATGCAGATTTGTGAAGTATTTGTCCCGTACGCCACCACTGCGCCATCGTTGCTAGTCTGTTCTCTCTTGCGCTTCTTCTTCGACTGCTGTCTCTCCCGGTATGCCGAGCCATAAAAACCCCAGTCCAACGACGTAATTTTTGACTTGGTCTCGTGCTGACTCCGGAGTCGCCCTGTGCTGGTGTCGTGGATCCGCAGTTGATGACTGTCAAAGCTCTGAATAACAGATGCAAATAAATGTAGCTGAAATTGCGACGGGGTAAAGGCTGACTTCAACACCGACGATTTTCGAGCATTGTTACCGGCGGTCACGGCGGGCGCAGAGGCCGACGATTTAGAGACAGCCACTTGGGCATCTTTGCGGCCCATGGCGACGGTATGATCGCAAAGGTCAAACGGGGAGGACAGTGGGATTTCGGGCAGTCTGCAAGCTTAAAACATGGCAGCGCTGGTCGAGAGCATGCGTCTGGGTTTTGCTGCCGCTTGTATTCCCAAAATTTGTCGCTCAGTAGAAAAAAGTTGCGATGTGGAGAAGGATGGCTACGGCGAAGCACTACTCAGTATGACAGCGAACCATTCGGCGCTTTGCCGTTTGTGTGCCTAGCGTCTTTTCTTGTGTTCGGTGCCTTCTCTTCGGCGGCCCCTCAGTCAATTTGCAACACTCCTTTGTGATTTTTCCTTTTCTGCTCCATCCTGATTATGATCGTTATACTGTCGTCGCCTCTTCGGTGTTTGCAGCATCTACCCTCGAGGAATGAATCCCGACGGAACACCACTTGCTAATCTATTACCCCAAATTCGCAACAGGCCCCAGCCACTCGAAGGCATGTTTGCAGTATGACTGACACCAAGGTTTTACAATGCCCTGCGCCTGTCGTCTTCGAGGGCATCATTCCTAGGTCGCCCAACCAAATACTTTGTGTCACGAAAGATATCAGCGCTTCAGTTCCCATCAGAATTTATGCTTTGATGTTTTTTTTTCTATTGACAGGGCTTTGAACTGCACCAAGGCATCGTCGCCCAACGACACCTATGCTGGACTTTTCACATTCAGAAGTCCCAACGGTGAGTTGTCGAACTACGTACTGATAAGCAGGCAGATTTTGTCCACAGGCAAGGCTACGTGGATTTACCTCTTACCACTTCCGGCTCGACCGGTCAAGGCGGAAACTTGCGGAAATTATGCCAACAGGGGCAGACATGCAGGAATATCAAGCTTGGCGACAAACAATGGAAACCACAGCAGATGTGCAGCGACAATGCTTGTGTCTACTTCAGGTGCCACAACGACGGCGAAACATGAGGGTCAAACTGCTTCTCGAAGATCGCCTTTATCATCTCCTCGTGCGCGGCAATTCCATGACTCATTGCCCGCGTCCGTCACGTGACCGTCGCTCCGCTGCAACGATGGTGAGGCGGGAACAGGACCCTGCTGGCTGCTCACCTGCTCGGAATGCTGTACTGTGTCAGCAACACCCTGCTGCAAACAGGGCCGGGTGCGAAAACCCATTTGCGCGGGAGAAGCTCGTTGAGACAGCAGAGACAGGTGGAAAGCGGATGAGAGCGTGTTTGTACTTGTGAAAAAATATGGAGAGGCGGACAGGGTGCTGCAGGCTGTGATTTGCTAGGTTGGAGGCCCGAGGTACGCGAAGGTGTCAGAAGTGGGCAACTGAGAGATGGATGATGCATGGCGGAAAAAGGGTGGCGCACAGAGAGGGCTAGCGGCTTCTGCACGGCCAGATGCTGAGCTCTGACTGGAAGGAGCGCGGGGCCTGCAGGGTCCCCCTGGCATAGCGTGCTGGGTCGCCGCAGGGCAAGTTGATTTCTGCGCACTCCTCGTTCCCCGACCCTATTTATTCATTTACCGTGCCCCCTTCGCAAATTCGTGAGCCCGCGTCCGACTTCATCACACTCCCGTCAAATCTTAAGTCCCTAAACTCCGCTTGGGTTTTTGGGACGCGCTTGTCGCATAACAAAGCGTCTTCATCAAACACCGATGCGCCCATCCGCGATCAACTCCCAATCATCCATCAACCCTTAGCAGCGCATCCTCCTCGCTGCCCAATACATCGTATTGCTGGTGCCTGCGCTTGCTGGTGGGAAGTGCAGGAGTGTTGCGACGCCCAGAACGGAACGGAAGCCACTGATTGGTGGGCACGCGATTGGTCCAAGACGGTCACGTGCCAATCCGAATCACATGACCGGCCAGACTCTTCTCAACGCCTTGTTGCCGCCTTCATCCATCGCCTTCGACGCAGAGTTGGTCGTCGCCACTTGAATGTGTCGGCGCCTGGCCTGTGACTTTGTCGACTCCTTGATAAATCTCGACCCATCGCCCCCTGCCACTGCCTTTCCCCACAGTCACGCTTTGTGCCCTTCCTTTCTTGCGCCTTCTTTCGCCACCTGTCCGCTCTGTAATATCAGCCACTTTAATAAGTAATTATTGCGCAACACCTTTTGTTCGGCTGGTCCGATATCCACCTACCTGAGACTTCCGTGTTATCAACTCTTGGCAAAATGGACGTTGAGATGCAGATGGAGGCCAGTGGGTATGTGCACTTCACTTTCTTTCGATCTAACAGGACACTGACCCGACCTTCACCAGGATGCCGACCCAGTTCAAATCGACCTCAGATCAGCCTGAAGTCACTCACATCGCAGACAACATGGCTGCCTCAATATCAAACTCAGAGGCAGTGATCAACCCGAGTCCGCCGAAGCAGTCCGCAGATGATGCGCCGCGGCCAGACCGAGTAGAGGCAGTAGAGGCAGTACCGGAAGCAGTTCCTGAGCAAGCGCCTTCAGCCCCAGCAGAGACACCTGCCACCAACGGCATCACAGAGCACGTCGCTGAATTTGCGGAAATCACTACTTCCGCAGTTCCTGACTCTCAACCTCAACCTTCTCTCGAAGACATTTCTGCCGCACCTCCAGTCGCCACATCAGCCTCCGACTCGATCCTCACAGAATCTTTTGTTCCATCTTCCATACCCGCTGAGATCCAGTCGTCAGCAACACCTGTCGAAACCACTCAGTCCACCATGGACATCTCAGAACCCCCACCAGTTCCGGCTGAAGCGCCAGTGTCTGATCTTCGAACCGCACCTCATTCCGACGCGCTCCCACCTGAAGCCGTCGCGAAGGTCGAAGCTCAGAAACACGAACTGGACAATTCGGCCGATCTGCCCACCGCGCCTAAGGCCGATATCCCCGACACCTTACCTTACGTTGCGCCATCAGTAGATGTGACCGCAAACAACACTGGTCTTCCTTCGCCTCCCGCACAGTCGCCTCCTGCTGCGCCACAACCAGAGCCTGCGGTGTTGCCTGAGCAAGTCCCAGCTGTCGAACCAGTACCTGCAGTTGACACGCTGCCGCCAGCAGAGCCCGAAGAACCGGCGCCGACACCAGCTGTACCCACGACAAGCGAATCCGCGGACCAAATCATGACCGATGCGCCTGCCCCCTCCACCAAACCGGTCCATGAGCGCGAAGAAGACGGCGACGATGTGGAGCGTGCTTCGAAGCGTGTCAAGACTGACGAGCCACAATCAGCAATCGAGGAGCCCCATTTCAAAGTTCCAGAAGTTCCCGCCGCCTCACCGCCTGCACTTGCAAACGGCGAGAACGCTGTGTCCGCAACGATCACAGAAGACGGCGATGACACCGTCACCCCAGCGCGCTTGGCTCACATGAAGAAAGTCATCTCGAACCTGAAGAAGAGCAATGCCTCGGCTAATTTCAGACTTCCGGTCGATTATGTCAGTCTGAATATTCCGACCTACCCCTTAGTTATCAAGCATCCGATGGACTTGGGCACGATCGACAACCGACTGAAGCGAAACGAGTACAACTCGGTTTCTGCGTTTGTGGCCGATTTCGAATTGATTATCAGCAATTGCTACACATTCAATGGCATCGAACACGGAGTGTCGCAACAAGCGAGAAAGATGAAGCAGTCCTTCGACAGTCAGATGAGGAATTTGCCCAAGGCGAGCATTGAAGAGCCGTCCAAAGAGGTGAAGAAAGCGGCCAGAAAATCAGAGCCAACTCGAACGGCACCTCCACGCCGACCGTCCGTAAGCACTTCTACAGTGACTGTTGGTTCTGCCGGGTCACCTGTGTCAGCGGCTCCATCCACTCCCGCGTTCGCCCTCAACCCTGATGGTATGCCTCTCATTCGGCGCGACTCGAGCATCACAGATGGGAGACCGAAACGAGCCATTGTTCCAACCAAACGCAATTCGGAATTCGGAGCCGGAAGGCCGAGAAAGAAGAAGTACGAGTTGCAATTGAAGTTCTGCGAAGAAGTTCTGAAAGACCTCATGTCTGCGAAGAACTGGCAGGCAAATCAGTATTTCATGGACCCAGTCGATCCGGTCGCGTTGAACATTCCCACCTATTTCCAGATCATCAAGAAACCCATGGATCTGAAGACGGTCAAACAGAAGCTCCAGAACAACGAATACGAGAGAGCGAAGGATTTCGAGGAAGATGTCCGTCAGATCTTCAAGAACTGCTTCAAGTTCAATCCCGAAGGCGACTTGGTCAACAACTCGGGGCATGCGTTAGAGGCGTTGTTCAACAGCAAGTGGGCGACAAAAGACGAGTGGCTCTCTGCCCGAGAACCGGCATCTGTTACGCAATCGGATGCAGACGAGGATGAGGACGACGAGGAAGAAGAAAGCGAAGATGAGGGGAATGAAAGTGAAGAGGACCGCAGCGAACAGATCAAGCTATTGCAGAAACAGATTGAGGCCTTATCGAAACAGGCGACCGAGTTGAGCCAGAAGAGCAAGAAGTCCAAGTCACCCAAGGCCGGAAAGAAGAAGGACAAGACGAAGGTCAAGAAGGAGAAATTGGAAGCACCGGCGCCGAAAGCCAGCAAGGACAAGAAAGAGACCAAGAAGAAGTCGGCTAAGAAACCCGAAAAGGAGCGCTACGTGACGTTTGCTGAGAAGCAGTACATTTCCAATGGGATAGCGATGCTACCAGAGAAGCAGATGCAAGAGGCCCTTCGCATCATTCAGCAGAGTGTACCATCCCTGGCCAACAGCGACCAGAGCGAGATTGAGCTGGACATCGAGGAGGTGCCCAATAGCGCCCTCCTGAAATTGCTCGGCTTTGTCAAGAAATACGCTGGACCCCCTCCCGATGAGCCGAAAGCCGAACCAACTGAGACCTACCATGCACCGGCCACCTCGAAGAGCAAGAAGAGCAAGCCGATGAGCAAGCATGAGCAGGAGGCGCAGATTGAGGAGCTGAAGGGTAAGCTGGGAGCGTACGTCGGACCAATTTCACCGAATGCGGTGCCCAGTATTGAGACTGGCGATAGCAGTGACGATGATGACAGCGGCGAAGAGAGCGAAGAGGAATAGGTGCATCCAAGCACATCGAGCAGGCGTGGCTGGTGTCGGGCATTCGCATCTTTGCTTGGCATTTCGAAGACACATGGCGCATAGCCTTGGGAGGTTCGAGCGTTGCATCTCAATCAAGGATCCATTGAGTCAATGCGGCATATTGACCAGCGGCTTCAACCAGTCTTTGCATACAGCAATTGCGCTGGAGAAGACAAAGATTGGCAGCGTTTGTATGATGTATGTATTTTTGCATTGAGGAGAAATCGAGCAGAGCAAGACCAACAAGGAAACAGCCTCTGGGCTGAAGCGATAAGCGCCACTGCATGTGCAGAAACAAGATCATTGCAAGACGTGATAGCGAGCATAGCCACTCGAGACTGCTACCTTGATCATCGCAATGTGAAAGATGTCCTGCGTGTAAACGAACGTATCCGCAACTCAGGACGTCGCGTCAATACAGGACACACGGTCATCCTTCGGGATCAAGGGTGAGCAATCTACTGTAATTCCGGGAATACAGAGTACAAACAAAGAAACAAAGAGAAACAAACAAACAACAACTTTACAGTAGCCCTGAGTAGCCCACTTGGTCCCACACCAAGACGCCCACAACCCACAACGCCACAAACCCAAATAAAAGCACTTACAGTATGTGATCGATCACAATTTGAGAATCCCACCAAGGTAGACCCGGCCTCCCCACTTCCGGCAACCAAACGCAATGATCCCCATCATCCCCGCTCAGGATCTCGAAGCCTACCCTTCGTTCGCGACCACGTGGGCGCATGTCACTGCCGAGTTGCTCGAGACGGACGGGTCGAGTAGGCGGGCGAATGAAGGTCGAGCTCGAGCGCGTTCTTGGGAGGGGAGCGTTCGTGGGTGGCATGATTTTGTGCCTGGCCGGGAAGGAGGAGATGGAGATGGACACCGAGACCGAGACCGAGACCGAGACGGGAGAAGAGAATATGGGCAGCAGGAGGAGCAGGCAGGAGAGGGTGACGGGAGTGGCGAGACGCCTTCTCATGCGGTCCACGGCGGTGAGGAGAATTCGTCGTCGCCAGCAGGTCTTGAAGAGCTCTTCCGTGCCGAGAGGGTGAGGCGTATGAAAGATGGTATCTTGAGGGAGATACTCTCGGAGGTTCCATATCTGGACGAGGATGAAGGCGTGGTGGAAGGAAGCAGGTCTTCAGAAAGGTCAAGTCGGATAACGGTGTCCATTCCTCTGGGTACGAGGCTGGAGGAGCATCAGGGTATCAGGAATACTGACGCGGGAGATGAGGCGGTTGAGCATCCCTCGGTTGCTCCGTATGGGCAAAGCAAGGGAGGGCTACCACCACGACTACCACCACGATTACGAGACCTCGTCCTGATTATCTCCGCGTCCGTCGACGGCGCTGGGCTGGATGGGCAGTCTGGAGCCGCTGGCCAAGAAGAAGATCTTCTCTCCGAGGACATCAACCTGTTCAGGGCCAACATTCTACATATTGCAGAGGTGGTCTCGTTGCGGGTCATCGCTGTCGAATCCTCTCTGACCGCGTTCGCGGACCTCGCTCTGGAAAGAGAAGTGGACTCCCGCATGGGGCTTTCATCGCTGTCTTCTTCGCTACAGGTCCAGGTCGAGAAGCTGAACGCTCTGCGCACAAACGCCCTGCCCTCGTCTCTTGCTCGTCTGGCTTCGACGCTACATTCCCTCCGCACGCTGCAACGCACGCTTCTCCACCTCCAGCTTACGTTCCTTGAGAAGTCGAAACACGGCGTCCTCAGTCGGTATAACGCGGCGAGGATTGTCTTTCTGAGCACAGTCGCGCAGACTATGGCGCTGAAGACGCAGGTTCTCGTACTAGAGGCCCGGAGGGAGGTAGTTACGTCTCCGGAGACCAAACAAAAGATGGATCTGGCGAGAGCCAGATACCAGCAGATGGAGACGGAGGAAAGGGAAATGGATGAACGGATAAAGACGCTTGAAGAGGTGGTTGGTGAGTATGAGGGCTTGGATACCGGTGGTAGAGGTGCCGCCGGGGGTGAGATAATGGCAAAGCTTGGAAGGAGGTATGGAGAGATAGAAGCGGAGCTGGAGACGGTGAAGAGGGATATTGAGATGTTGGAAAGAGGCAAAGGCTTGAAGTGAGACAGCCTCAGCGGCGAGTGGTATAGTAAGGCTGAGTTGCGGGTTCAGCCTCCTGTCTCTTTATTGCACGTCACAGAACAGGCCCTGGTACCTTCTCATCTCTGTCAGCCTGTGGCTGATTCGTCGTCTTCAAATAGCTGTTGGCCTCGAGAATCTCTCGGTCGAATTGCCACTCAGGCTGGGAGGCTGTGAATGCTTCCGTATAAAGGGCTGTGAAGAAATTGGCGCCTTCAGCCAAACGTCTTGGCCGCTCGTTTCGCGTCGTGGTAGCGCCTCCTTTTGCGCTGAACAGGAGGATGGGGTTCCAATGAACACTGCCCTGTGACTGCGGCAGAATGCATACTGTAGAAGAGGGCAGTGATAGTTGTAACAGATAGCTTATTCTCCTTTCACACCCTTTCCGTCAAAAGGTACTGCGTCGAGGCCGAAATATCGATACGGCGCTCCATCCAGCCAGATTGCAACACGGTTCTCAGACATGATCGTCGGCGTCGGCGTATATCCTCTTGGCCGGATGTTGTGCTTCTGATATTACAATCGAATAGGATCTTGAGCCCCAGGGTAAACGAGACTGCATCAGAATCTGTCATACTGCCTGCGGTACAGGCGAATGTCTCGCAGGCAGCCCTGGATGTGGCTCGAACGAATGCTTCTGCCACGGAGACCTGCGACTGCAAGCGCCTTCGATCCTCTCGTCCTGCATATAGACGTGCTTCACCACTTGCGCGTTAGGACGCTGCAGTGCGGCAGCTTCTTTGACCTACGGCGAAAGATCAAGCGAGACAAGCCCGGTTCATGGAGGTGGAGACAACTTACACGGTGAAACGCCCAGAAGGGACTCTTGGTCAACCGTACTGCCATACCCGCCTTTGTAGTCCACCGGAATGCGGGGTCGATCCAGCTGCTCTCGCCACTCTTCTCACTCGTCCTCCTTTCATGCAGAAGCCTTCTGGTAATATCGAATCACACACCCTTGTTCTGCTATCCCCAATGCACGTCTGCCGGCTTGCTGCGCCTTGCAGACATGGACTCAGGCTCTATCTGGCTCTATCTCATAGGGCGGCTGCTGGTCTACTTTTGGATCGTGCCAATCATGCATGGCCTTGACTGAACCGTTCCTCACCTCTCACCTCTCACCCCTCAGCCTGATCAATCGTCTTCATTTTCTCATGGCGAGCATTAAAATGGGATCCCCCCTCAGCCTGGAGGGCTCTCCAGACCATCACGGATCCTACATGAAGACTGCGCACTCGCGGCAGACACTCTATATCGAGCCATACTAGGTTGAATCTGGTTCCCTTTGCATCAAAAGACCAGCCTATCCATAATGGCAACTCCTCGCGAAAGCTCTATGGCTCAGTGGGAGAGGCACAAACCGGCCATCTGCAAGCTTTATGTTGATGAAGGTTTGACGTTGGCCCAAGTGATGGATCAGATGGCTAGAATTCATGACTTCCAGGCAAGGTAGCCACATCGCCTCAGGTCTTTGTTTTGGCTAAGCTCATTTGTCGCACAGCGAAGCACAGTACAAGAGAAAGCTAGGAGCGTGGGGCTTCCGGAAGAATGAAAAGGCCGATTTCTGGAAAGACATCAGTCTGACCTTGAAACGCAAGAATCTGGACGCCGCTGATGTGGACGTCTTGCTCCACGGAAAGCTTGTTCCGACGAAGAAACTGAAAAGGGCGATATCTCGATATGACCTGCCGACATTGAAATTGACTCCAGCCCTCCCGGCATCTTCTCCCGGGGACAGCATTGTCCCGACAATCTGGAGAGCCCGGACTCCTGACGGGGTTATTCTTCGCCCCAAAATCCTACCACCACGGACTCTCAGGATTGAACTGCCATGGCATAAACTGCGAGATCAACTCGACCGAATCATACCAAACCTTTTTCCAATAGAGAGGGATCGGTCACCATCACCTTTACCTTCCGCTATCCTAGATCTTACCGAAGATGCATTTGAGTGGGGGATCAATCAAGACTGCCTCTTGGGGCAAAGCCATGGTCGCCTCGTCAATGCACGTCATGGTGACTTTGTCGGCGACAAAATTGCCAGCGTACTCAACGTATCGACGTTGGCAGCTCGGCATGAAAGTCTAACTGTGGCAGTGGCTTTGATGGCGCCGTATGTCCCCGAGAAATACGAGACAGAGACGCTGGATTCCGTCAGTCAGCTGATTGATCCTGGCTCATCAAAGAGGATGCAGGTGCTAATATCATTTATGGCACTTCTGCTCGCCAACGACACAGTATCAGGTAAAACACTCGACCCTTTCGTGATTTTCCTCGACGAAGTGGCGGGAAATCAAGCTTTCGACATGCTACCTCTAAAGGAAGGATCCAGCACCCAGGCGATCATAACGCAGCTTTTATTCGCCGCTGTCCGGATGGACGTGCCAAGCTTGATTCAGAGTGCGGTAAAGAACAAAGTAAACATCAATCGCCAATCCACGGGCCGGCTATCAACAACTTTGATTCTACAAGCTGTCCAGCTGGAAAGACTCCACGTCATCCAACTGCTGATTGACGCTGGGGCGAACCTACAACCACCTCAAGGAAGTGAAGAGTTCTACCATGAAGTCGAGTGCCCCCTGTCTCGTATAGGAAATGGGAAAGCTGCATCCGAGGTCTACGGAATGCCTCGCTGCTATTGCCCTTGCGAGTCTTCCTGGCTTTGGGGCCGTGCTGTATGCAGTATGGCTGCTTCCACAAGAATCGCCAACGAAGTCCTTCCCTTACTGTTGCACTCATCGGGCACGATCGGACCTGGTCCAGTGACCACCCAGGCCATATCTTCCGGTGCTACTACGGACACAATCGAAAAGGTGTTAGAGGCAGGCGGGTCAGTCGATGAATATAATATACCTCGGAAATACAGAGCCCATTGGAGCTGGCCTGTGGAAAGCAGCGATGAATGTACACTGAAGTCGACACCACTGTATGCTGCAGTGACTTCTGGTGATGCTCCATTGGTCGGTCTTCTCCTGAAGTATGGAGCCGACCCCAATGGTCCGATGGCGAGGTACACAAAGGAATTCCTCGCAGACTGGGGCGAATACTTCTACAGGTCGCCGCTGGTCATTGCCACGGAACACGAAAATCTCGAAATAGTGCAATTGTTGCTTGAACATGGCGCAGACCCAAATCTGTGCCCCCTGGAAGTCCTCGAGAGAGCGGAAAAGGAGCAATTTATCCTCAATTTTCGTAGTAGGGGCAAGGTTAACGTCGACTCCAGTCCACGGATTTTTGCCCTTTACCCACTACAGGCTGCAGCAGGCCTGGCAGACACTGATATTGCAGAGGTTCTCCTGGATCACGGTGCAAATGTCAATCCAGTTCATGGTACTCCGCCATTAGCTGTCGCAGCACGTCATGTCCATTCCAAAACCTTCGACCTTCTGTTATCAAAGGGCGCAATGATAAATCCATCCCCCACGGAGCACTTCTCGCTGTCGCCTCTTGAGGGAGCTGTCATTTCCGGAGACGAAGCTATGGTTGAGCGACTGCTCATCGCGGGCGCAGATCCGAATCGGTGCTCGGCCGGGCTAGGTTGGAGAACACCGTTGCAGCGAGCTGCTGAGAATGGCTCTACTGCCATAATCGACAGCTTACTAAGAGCAGGTGCGGACCTTGATCCTTCTCTTGATCCTAATCATGCAAGAACGATACTGTATTGGTTTGTGAGGCACCGAAACCACGACCGCATGACGCAGCTTCTCTGTAGCGGAGTGAGCCCGACTGGAGACTCCGTGAATCAGAGGTCGCCATTGACTGCAGCAATCTTCGTTGAGGACCTGGATATGGTTTCTCTTTTGATCAAATGGGGCGCAGATCCTAACGATCCGTATCCGATGTGCGAAGATCTCTACAGCAGTAGAGAACGGCCCATTCGGTCCCCTATCGCTGAGGTATATTACTTGGACATGCTAGGTTCGCTGCCTCCTCTGCACTGGGCAGTCAACACAGGGCGACTGGATGTTGTTGCTTGCCTCTGCAGCTCGGGGGCTGATGTGAATGGCACTAATATGCCTCCACATGGTTCTCTACATCGCAAGTATTTGACTGCACTTCATCTGGCAGTTAATCACCGGTCCAAGGACATCATCGCGTACCTGTTGCTTCGAGGCGCAGATATCAACTCTCTCGCCTTCGTTAACTATCGAGAAGTCATCTCACCTCTGTGTATCTCAGTTTCTAACTCGGACCAAGAAGTTACTGAGCTTCTGTTGCGGAACGGGGCGAATCCGTACCTGCCCGACCCCAAGAACGATATGCCAGTCGAGCGTGGAATTCTGCCTCTTGAATCTGCCTGCAAATGCGAAGACAACCAAATGGTCCAATTTCTTCTGTCCTCAGGTGTGGATCCCCGCGTCGGCTGTCCGCTTACGTATGCATTCACCTTTGCTCTGGAAGAGTGTTATCGTGTTTCCGATGAAGCGGCATATCAGCGGTTCAGCAAACGAGTGACCAACACAATGGAGCTCTTACTATCTTACGGAGCAGACGTAAATCATCGGCGCAAGCGCACGCACACTCCGTTACAAGCTGCGATTACTTATGCTGGTAGCTTCAGGTCGTCGCTCCTGGGGGCGAAGGAGGCAGGGCTTCGCTGCGCTCGCAGATTGATTGAGCGCGGTGCTGAGATTAATGCTCCACCATTATCCTGGTGTTACGGTAGGACTGCGCTTCAAGCTGCCGTCGAGACTGGCGATGTCGAATTCGTACAATTTCTGCTCATGAAAGGAGCAAAGGTCAACGCCCCAGCCGCTCCATTTGATGGCGTTACCGCGCTGCAAGCCGCTGCCATAAAGGGATTTTTGCGAATCGCCCAGATCTTGTTGGAACATGGGGCGGATGTAGATGCGGATCCAAGTCCTGTAGAGGGACGGAGGGCCATTGACGGCGCAGCTGAGATGGGACGAATCGACATGGTGAAACTTCTCCTCGACAACTACATCGGACCAAGGTCTATTTCCGACGTGTGTGCTAGTGCAATGGAATACGCCAAAGAGAATAACCAGTGGTACGTGATGCAGTTGCTGGAGAAGTACGAGCCGCCGACACCATGAAATACAGATGCCATACCGAACGGGCTGCCGTGGGCGGATTTGCGCAGGAGTCATGATGAAGTTGCCGAGTTCTAGTCCTCTCCATGGACGAACCCGGTGAAACGTTTCATCGAGGGATTGAAACCTTGGTCCAATGCCATGGACAGCTACTCGTACACGCTCAAGTGGCTATTAGGTCTGTTACTCCGTTCGGCCAGGCGTGGCGGGTTCGGATTTGCAAATGTTTCCTAGAGCAGGGAAATCTCGTTCCGGTCGCAAGCTTTGCGAACTCGGGCTGGCCTATGCATTTAACGCCTGCCTTGTTTTGCGGTGGGTCGTCTGTTTAGAAGGACAGGCATGCGAGGAGCTGGAGGGATTTCATGAGCAACGGACGATATGTGATCAATTGTGTGGGCGACAACGGTACTTCAGGGGCACCATCTAGTCTTATTTCACTCTCCTGGCTTACGTCGTGCGTAATAATAGAACCAGTCTATAATCCATCAGGGGTTGTTTATCATGCCATCATTCAATACGTGCATGCGTGCAGTCATTGCGTTCGTTTTCAACTCTACATCCATGCGGGCAAACTACTGTCTACTTAGCTCGGCCAAGGTAGTGCAGTCACGACATTTCACTCTTCCTCCCACGCCGTCGAGCGTCTAGGCCACACGCGCTTGTAAAGACTGACCCCCACGGCATCAAGCGGATTGATCTTGCCGTCGAACGTCGCCTTGAAATACCCGTGCGTGCCTAGCGGCTCCTTGATGAACCCTTGCCGCCCCCGTCTCGTAAACAGCGGCAGGGCCGCGAACCACAGCACGTCCTCGCGGTTGAAGAACATGTACCGGATCGTGACTAGCTTTTTGTGGATCTTGCACGGATGGCCCGTGAGGATGATGCGTTTGGCGACCACGCGCGCCGAGCTGGGCGGAAGGGTCGTTGCCGTGCCGATGAGCCGCAGTGTGGAAGCTGGAGGGGTGTTCGAAGAAGCGTCCACGAGCTGTGGAGGGGCTGTCCCGTCGTCATCATCATTATTAACAGCGGTGGATTGTCGCCGGAATACGAGCACAGGCACGGATCCCCATGTCATGGGCCCGATGAACGTCGCGATGGCAGTCCGTCCGGGGTGCAGGAAGCGGTCGAACTTGTGCACGTCGTTTGGCGTCTGGCCTGCTGCGCTGAAGATAGGGTTCGTCACGAGACGCCGGTGGCCGATCTGCACGATCACTTCGTCCTTGGACTTCAGAGGCTGGTCGATATCCGAGTGCAGTGTCATGGTGAGGTTGATGACGGCGTGCTTGTGCTCGTGGCGGAGGAGAGAGAACATGGACGATGGGGCCGATGCGCTGGATTGTAACGACACGGGCACGTCGCGGAGGTGGATCTCGACTTTGGTGCCGGCCAGGACGTCCCCGGCGAGGGTCTCCTTCAGGACGGAGTTATATGATTTCTTGTATTCAGGCACTTGGAGCAGGCGGGTGTATTCTTGCGGCTGGTGGGGGATGTCTTCTGCGTGGTTCCACTCGCTCGTCCGCAGGCTCTTGAGGCCGCGATACTTGGCGAGGCGCTCCCGGGCGAGCACGTCGGGCGGTAGTTCGATTTCGTCGGGGAACTCCAGGTCTTCTTCGGCTTGTTTCTTGCGGGTGGCGCGGAATTCTTCGAGTTGGCGCGCTTCTTCTGCCGCGTCGAGCGGTGCGTCGTCCACGTTCATCTCCGATGCGGGATACTCTGATTGTTGTGCTTCCGTCATATCGCCGTCTTCGGCGTTAGTGAGATGCATGTCTTTGTCTTGACCATCGCTTCTTGTCGAATCTGCCTCAGCGTCCATTGCAACGTCGCCATCTCGGTCCTCGTCGTCCAGGATGTCTGAATCCGAGTCTGACACGTCGTCCAGGTACCAGGCGGCTTGGTAACTCGAGGTCCCGTCTGGTAGTTTCTTCGGTGGAGGAGGAATATGTGAGTTGTCGTCGGAGAAGTAATGGTGGTCATCGAGTAGAACACCCTTGTGCTCGCTTGTCGCTGCCGTACTCGCCACGTCCTGCATCTCTGCTGTTTCTGGGGCAAGCTCCGCAAGATCATCTTGATTGGCGGTTGGTGTCCATTCTTTGATCGGCTCCTCTGCGTCCATCTCGTCGGCCTTTCTTTTTGGGCCGGATCGTGACAGTTGTCGGACTGAGGAGATCTGAAAATCTCCCCAACCCGGGATGTGGACTAGGCGATCAAGGTTCAGCGACTTGCCTCGGATCGTACCGTACAGTGTCACATCAGCGGTGGTTGCTCCATCGGCTGGAGGACCCCAATTGACATTCTCGATCAGCATCCAACTTCTGTCATCCCGCCATCTGATCCCTCGAGTAGAGGCTGTGCACAGCCGCCGGACCAGATTCGAGCAGTCAGATTTGCTATCGAGGCTTGAAAGCTTGTCCAAAGCGGGAAAGTAACGGCCAAGGGCAATGTTCATGTCGGTCAAATGCCGCATTCGCTTCGGCGCCGCAACTTTCCTATCCAAATTGGTCACTACGGCGGTGACATTGGTGATGCCTTGACCTTCGAGAGCCTTCAAAAATAGATCCTCCTCTTGACCGTACGTCTGCTCTGCATCAAGCACAAATACCACCCAGTCAGCCAGCTTGCAGACATCCAATGCATTGAGCAGGTCGAATTTCGCAGGCAGGTACAGGAGATTGCGACGAAATCGATCGACGCGTACAGGGACCGGGTTGGTGGGTTGATCGGGCCGGGGCACGTCGACGCTGTCGTTCAGAGCGCTGATTACCGAGTATATGTCGATCTCACTTGACAATGGTACGACAGCGATATGCTTCGCCGCCCCATCTGCGCCCTGGAAAATATGTTCTTCTCCCTCCCGCTTGTCCTTGTGGTTTATACGCAGTTGCTTGGCCTGGTTGCGCCTAGCCAACTTCGACATGACCTGCTGATGTGGCGTCTTCCTCTCTCCCTTAACGGGTTTGCTTGATTCTGTTTTGCCCTTTGCTCTGTCTTTCAAGGCACTCTTCGACGCGAACCGGGACTTGAAGGGTTTATGGTCGACCTTGGTGGTGCTGCGGTGGTGATGGGCAGCTGTGATGATTGGTGCCATTGCAACGTTACCCCCGGAGCCTCCAGCCTTGAATCTGAAGGGCAAGGACATAACATACCACTCCCGGCGACGAGAGGGGAGAGGCGTGTCTGTCAACAGCGCATGAATTTCTCTCTTCTATGGTGATTGTGTGGGGAAATTTCAACGCTTGGTGACGTCTGCCCCGCACGACAGGACTAGCCTTAATAGGGCTAGATCAGAAGTACTCGCCAGATCTTCGGCAAAACCTCCCGCTGCACAATAAGTCAAAAAAGACACCGCTGCTTTGAACCTGAACCTAGTTACGAAACCATGCCCATCATCCGCAACGCTTCCAGGAGCTGTGGCTCAAGCTGAGGAGACAAGATGGCAGGTGCAAGCAAGAACGCGCCCACTGAGATAGCCACACCAATGTGAGCTAAGGGTCTTGCATTGGTGTCGGAAATGTAAGTTCCGGCGAGAAACAGCATGTTACTGTGATGACCAGGGCGAATTCCCGCGCCGGTCGCTTCTCGTATTCGACTGTGCCGCTGGAGAAGCCACCGAGGTGGAAGGGGACGAAGAGATGACCAGTAGCACCAGGATTCTTCACAGCTGTGCTAGACGTGGTGATGCTGACTACACCTCCACTCCTCCTTATTGAGACTTCGATGTTAACCGCTCTATTTCAGCCGCGACACCCTCCAATGCATCATGGACGAGCCCATCCTCGACAATGCCCTCCTGCCACGTAATGCCGAGGACCAAACATCCATCGGCGCCCGTGACGACTGAGACTTGAATTGCGGCGGCCGTGACGCCAGCGCTCTGGGTAAAGACCATTCTCCCCATTTCTACATCGCTCTCTCCGTGCGCGCTTGTGCCTGGTTTGACGAGACCTAGGTTGGATACCTCGAAGCTTTTATCCCTGTGCTTTCCTATCTTGGACAAGAAGAGCTCTTCATGAAAGTTGTTCACATATTTGAGCAGGTTAGCTTCCGCGTTGGCGCCTTTCAAGCTCAATATGTTTTCGATGTTGCGGCGGGAACGTTGCGCCTCGGACCAGGAGAGGAGAGAAATATCGCGCTTTGAATCCTGAGCAGCATCAAAGCTATGACGGTTGTAAGACTCGGACATATCCTGAACGAACACACCCATAACGTCGTCGGTAATCCTGGCGTCCTTTTGGAGGAACCGACGCGCGGAGAGCGCGCCGCTACATGCGAGACCTCTGAAATTGTCAGGCAAATGGGCAAAAAGCACGCCTGCAATGAGGGTTTGCAGTGCTGCGGTGATGGTCGTGCCGTTCTCACGGCACACATTCTTGAGAGCTGTTGTTGTCAAAGCTGGAATATTGAGTGATCGGACTCGAGTTTGTCCCAGAGGCGCAGTGCATGTCCCACCGGTCCAGAGGCCAGGATCTCTAGCCGGCCAGAATTTTGACAAGACCCACTCCCTGAAGAGGACTTTGAGGAGGTACCATATCGTGACAGGTAACGGGTGAAGTGCTTCCAGATTTGGCAGCAACGGTGTGGATGGGGTAGCGATGATTTTTGGAACAGGAATAGCGAGCGATCCTGTGGAGGCAGATGACAAGGCTTTGTGAAAGGTACGGTGGAAAGCAATGCCTGACTGTCCATCACCCAAAGCATGATGGTAGAAAAACGCTGCTGTAAAATGAGTAGACTGATAAAGGACCCGTAGACGCCAGAAGGGTATGGGTGCTTCATAGGGGATGCTATGTTGAGAGCCGAGGAGTTCGTCCAGTTCAGCGTCTCGCGTCTCGGCTTCCCATGGGTAATCCTGCTGCCGAACCTGGAAAGTGACACATTGGTCCAGATCGATTTCGGACAGGCGGACGAAGTATGGATTCTGGGTATGCTCGTCCACTGGGATAGCGGACAGGATAGGATGCTGAGCAATCACATCTCCGAGCACCCTGTAAATGTAGTCCTTCAGTGGTAATGCATAGCTCTTCGAGAGCTTGTACGAGGCAGTCACTGCAGGACCAAGATAGAACTTGAGGTCATGGCGGGCAGTTGAGTAGCGCTCAAGCCTGCCTAGATTTACTCAGTCAGTACCAGCAGCAATTCTGTCGAGCACCAAAGCAAGGCTGGCATGGCATACCAACAGGACGTAGGTTTTCCAGGTTCTTCATCTTCAAGATTGCCCTCTCCCAAAGGTCTTTCCAGTTCACCCGGCCTTAGGCTAGATATATGCGCTGCCTGCTCTCCACTTAGCACCAAGGTTTGCACAGCCATCGGCCTGGAGACTCCATCTCCGAAGCCGGATTAGACAGGGAGCCTTTCGACCAGAAAAGGGGCAAACGCAGGCAACGCAAGGCTGTGCAGCTGATAGGATCAATGTTGTTCCGGATCCGGATCACCAGCGTAACCAGGGGGTCAAAGGGTTCTCCGAAACAGTCAGGGCAATCACACAGGCCAACTGTCTGTGTCTCCCTCATGCGAGCAGATCAGACGCTCGCAATGCGTCTCTCGCGGTATCAACTATTGCTTTTTGCCTAGATCTGTTATTGTTAGCATTTCTGGCTGCTGCTGTGAAAGTCGACATGGCTCGAGCCCGCGATGGCCTATTCTCCGAGAAACATTACGACGATGATGCCGCCCTTGTTCCCTCCGAGTCGGAATCGGAGAATGACAACGAGAGCGCAGAGGAGGAGGATGTCCGAGAGGGTGACAGGGACATCCTTGACGAAGCTGAAGAGCATGAGAAGTTACTACACAAGCCCTCGCGCCTAGAAAGAGCACGCGGTGCATTTGGGCTGCGCGATGGCAAGCAGGAGGGAGGAAGCAGTAGCAAGCGGCCGACGAAGAGCACAAACCGCAGATCTCGCAAGAGAGGGATGAGCACTCCGGACAAGATGGAGGGCGGCTTCACAGACACCAACTCCGAGGACTCATTCGAGATTCAAGCCAGCAAGTGGGAGATCAAGACCTCGAGGAAGTCACACCGGGGACGTCTGGCCCTGATGTCCCTTGCGATCGTTGGCCTCTTCGTCGCCCTGCTGTTTGGTGCATATAGGGCGTCATCCAAGAAACACAATTTGGCTCCAACAGAGCACCGACTGACCAGGTACAACAATGGAACCCATATTTTCCGCCCGACGACGATCTTCATATCCCTCGACGGTTTCCGCGCCGACTTTCTCAATCGGAATATCACTCCAGCTCTGAGTGCCTTTATAGCAAGCGGAGTATCGCCGAAATATATGCTGCCGTCGTTCCCCTCCGTCACCTTTCCAAACCATTTCACCTTGGTCACTGGTCTCTATCCGGAGAGTCACGGCGTGGTCAGCAATCAGTTCTGGGACCCTGAATTCCAGGAAGAGTTTTGGTACACCAACATCAGCGTGTCAATGCAACCGAAATGGTGGAATGCGGAGCCGCTATGGGTGACTGCCGAGCATCAGGGCGTGCGGTCTGCAATCCACATGTGGCCGGGCTCCGAAGCTCATATACCAGACGTTGAGCCGACGTATATGGACAAATACAACGGGACTGAAGCGTTACCACGCAAGGTCGAAAGTATACTACGCTGGCTCGACATGCCTGGCGACGATGACGTGGATGTTGCCGGGAATCAAGACCTCCGCCCACAGTTCATTGCTGCCTACGTTCCTAATGTTGATGCCGATGGACATCTGTACGGCCCGAACAGCACTGAGATCCGCGCCACGATTGCCGATGTGGATAGCATGCTGACAATGCTTGTCGAGGGTCTCCTTGCACGCAACCTCACGGAAATCGTGAACATGGTCATCGTCTCCGATCACGGCATGGCGACCACTTCCACAAGTCGACTGGTCCAGCTCGACGATCTGATTGATATGTCGTTGGTGGATCACATCGACGGCTGGCCGCTGCGTGGTCTACGTCTGAAGAACCCTGACCGTGACGTCCCCATTCTATACGAGGCGCTATCTCAGGCAGCAGCGAAATCAGGGAACTTCGATGTCTACACTCTTGAAACGATGCCAGAGCGCTATCACTTCACCAAGAACGACCGAATTGCTCCGTTATGGATCGTCCCCAAGACTGGGTGGGCTGTGGTCGAAAAGTCCAGTTTCGATGTGGCTGAGGCATTGGCGACTGGGAAAGAATACGAGCCCAAGGGCCTTCATGGCTATGATCATGAGCATCCTCTGATGCGCGCCATCTTTGTGGCAAGAGGGCCGGCATTTCCTCACGAACCCAACAGCCAATTACCTATTTTCCAGAACATCGAGGTGTATAACATCATGTGCGATTCTTTGGGAATTGTCCCACATCCGAATAATGGGACACTGAGATTGCCGCTGAAAACTCAAGGCTTACACTCCGAGAACGATAATCCGGGCTCAGAGATCGTGGCGGATCCAGTCAAAGATGAGAAACACGAGGGAGAAAATCCTCCTGCTCCTGATAATGACTCGGATACTTCGAATCCGTCAACAAATGATCCGCTTCAGAATGGAGATGATTCTTCGTCCGATACGCCTCTGGAAGGTGGTGCTCCGTCCGATACACCGCAGGGAGATGGTGCTTCGGCCGATTTGCTTCCAGAGGAAGACAGCCCTCCAGCCGATGAAGGCGACAGCGAACATAGGACCAGCAGCAGTTGGTGGAGCTTCGTCCATGAACAGCTTGAGAAAGCCAAAGAATGGGCCAAGGAGTTCGTGGATTCGATAAAGGGCAACAAGGAAGGAGAAGGCGATCCACCTGTGTGAAGACAAGTTGAGAAGCGGTTCAATTCTTGATCGAAATCAGCTTACCTGGGAACGCGCTCATGATCCATCACAAACACATCTTGAAGAATACCCAGACCGCAAGCCTATCTCGACGGCTTCGAAGTGTGACTGATCCACCTAGGGGCAAGGATGGCCACCTCCATGAAAGGTGCACATAGCCTACTCCATTACTACGAGGCGCCCGAACATCTTGCTTTAACCCGGCTACTACGCCAAAAGCAGTTCGCCGTCGAATCCCCACTGACCAGAAGCGGGACTGGACCTGTCCTCGTAGACTGACCCTCTCCATCAGTGCCCCTTGACTGCATCGCTCAGATCGTGCAGCCACTTTCCGGCATATCATCAACGGCCTTACTGCTTGATGCCCGCCTTGTCCGGCCACGGGCCGAATGCCGTCGGCCCGCCCTCGGCTTTGTTGTATAGCACCTGGAAGTCGGCCCAGGGGTTCGCATTGAGCACGGTCCTGATGTGCTTGACGGCGTCGATTGTGGTTGCCACGTGCTTCAAGGCGTCCTTCTCGGCAAGGCGTCCTTCTCGGCCAGGCACTTCTTCATAAAGTCCTCGGGCTTACCGAGCTTCCTCACCTCGGTGTACCGCCCACCAATGTCGAGGCGGTTGCATGAAGAACGCGCATCCGGCCACGTGATGGCTGTCTTCGTCGTTGCTCAGTAGTACGTCGACCATGAAGCCCTTCGGTAGTTCGGTCTCGAAGGGCCGCGGCACGTGCACGCCTTTGCTGCCGATGTCGGCGAGGATGCCCGTCTCTCCTGCAGGATGACCGCCATGCGAACGCCATGCGGAGGGACTGGAGCAGGTCAATCTGCCTGCTTGAGATGCCGGGGCGTATGGAACAGTACTCGTACATGCCTGTTATATCCTGTGAGAGACTTGGCATTGAGTTCTAAAGTCAGTGGCGCTGAAGGAGCGAAGGACCAGAATGTGAGACCCCCGGTGGATACTCGGTCGTGTGGATATGGGTACATAGGGGGATAGTCTCCAAGGACCTTAGACAGCCTGATGGCTTCAGTATCATATGGCATCTTACCCCTACCTGGCCTTGCCTCCTTACTACACACCTTATCCAGAAGGTTCATGACACAGAAGAACCAGTGAGAGCACCTTCACCAGCATCAGAATCATCGCCAGCATCAGTGTCAGTGTTGAGAGACCGAACTAATACTAGGAAGAACCGGCACCAGCATCAGTGTTTCGGTAACCCATCCTAGCGAGTACAGCCCGTCCGTAACTTGATGGAGCAGTCTGGTTGATTCAGACTGACCGACTTACAGACAGACTGACAAACTATGCTCCCGCTTCTTGGGGGTTCAAATCCACGAACCACCAACTTCCATGGCCGATGCTCTGATCAAGGCGTCCTTGAGGGGGAATGTGCGTTTATCTGATGTTCCGGCTCATGAGACGCATGGCAATAGCGATGGGGTCGATGCTGAGGTTGTTGCTTCCAAGACGTCGTGACGACTCACTCTGCTGTGCTGAAGAAGCAGCCTCAGGATAGTTTTGACGACTCGCGCGGTTATGCTGAACGGTGGTTTTAGTGCATTTTGACGGACTGATCGGTCGTCCTGAACAAGTGATCTGACGAGATTCCGACGGAGCGACCTTGGAAGGGGAGGTGGTTACTTATCCCCTTGCACGGACGTGGAAGAGGGCAATCAAGAGCCAGGAAAGGACACTTACAGCGCACGGTCATCGAGCAAGGTCAATAAATGGTGCTATGGTATGTGTTGATCCCTGGCGTCCAAGGTATGACGAGAAGCTTGATCTTCAACGTCGAAGATTTTATCGTCACCTTGACTCCCCCTGGTCCAGCATACCCATACTACGTGTACCTGTACCCACCGCACCGGTTCCTGTCACAGTTGATCTCCTGCCTGTCATTTTCCTCACATACAGGCTGAAGAGTAGCCGCTATCGCGATCGCAATGCTCCGGAGGCGTGCTTCTTCTATGCCAGATTTCCAAGTTCCGGCGAAGGGCCCGCTTCGTCGGACGTCCATCTGTCAGGAACGCCAGCCACGTCAAGGCCTAGATACATAAGCTGAGACTTGTATCAGAGAAGGATCCTTCCCTTATACTTCGAGTCCTGTAGTGACTGTACGTCAAGGGACGCCTAGTACTTAGATTACTATCGCTGGTGTTACGTTCTACCTATCTTGTTAGGCCATCCCTGACATCGTCCTTGTCGGCCTGAGTGTCGTCTTATGAGACGGCAGCCAGCGACCAGCGCCCAGCCGGTCAGCGGAGGTCAGCCAAGATGAGCATGGTTTGTGCAAAATGCCTTCCTTACTTGTCGAGATCCAGTAGGCATTGGAGCGTGTTTCCACGGGGTGCGTGTGCGGGTGCAAGTAAAGACGCCATGAACGTTTTCGATATCTACCGTATACGACAATCCACACCAGCGTCCACACGAGGTACGGTATGTAGGTTGTCGAAGGCTGCATTTGAGATCTGATGCGAGTCTCGAGTCGAATCTATCCAAATACACAGGACTCCATACTTTGTAGACACTCGGCGCGTTGCTTTGTGACTGGCATCTTGAGCAGCACCCCTCCGTGATGCTGTACGTAGTCGTCATGTCCTAGGTCGTAATTCACGCCATACGTTTGATGCCTATGATCTGTGTCTATGATCTGTGTCTATTTCGCGTCAATGGTCTATGTCGTCTGCTTCGCCTGTCCCTGCACCCTTACACACGAGTCCCAACTCGCTTTTCTCCTTCCTCCACAGCTCGACCTTCAATGCCTTGATTTGCCTTCCGATCTTGATCGCCGCAGCACTGGTAGAGGAGCGATGAGGAGAGAATCTGTAGTCTCGCCGGCATACCGTCCACCACCTCGCTAACCTCACCCACTCAACTCCAGTCATCCAGTCTCTCACTTTTGGTTGTTTGCAATTCCATCGTCCGCGCGAAATGTCTGCTCCAGAAGTATCGTCTCAATCGAAAGTATCCTTTCTATTCTGCAACCGATGGCCTGTCCCCTCCATCCAGCAACCGCATCCCACTCTCAGTTCTAACACCGATATTGGAGCCCTCTACGGAATCACCACCACCACGGACAAAGACACACAGGCAGCGCGAACGAAGCCGAAGCCCTGACGTCCACGGACTGGCCCACGTAATCGGCTGGTCCGCTGACGTCGGACTCGTTGGCCCAGCCCATTCAACAGTGTGCGGGTCTGACCCTTTCCGCCAACCTCTTCCCTCTCGTATTGATGGGTTCCCTGTCCTTTCATTTTCCCAGTCGGCTCCATCTTTGTCAAAGGCTCCGGACGAGGCTGACGCAGTCCCAGCCAGGGAGGTTGCTCAAGGGAGCGAACGACGAGAGAGGCTGCTCAGGGAGCGAATGACGAGAAAAGGCAATCTCAAGACTGCGGCGCTGATGGTCGGAATTAAGCTGGATTGGAGGCTGTGGCGCATTTGATGGTAAGGGCAAGATGATAGTATACTTGGATTGTACTGGAATGGTCGGATCCGTGTGGATTGGAAAGCTCAAGTCAGGTCAGTCCAGACCAGGCCAGTGACCTAGGCGGTGAGGGCTTGCTGAGGGTGGATGTCATGTTGGCGACAATGGCTGGCGGGTCGGCTGTCCCGATATGCTTGAGTTGAACCGAATTCTCTTTGCAGGACACGAGACAACAGTGCTGGGAGGATACCACTGAGGACGCTTGTATCGCACGGCCATCGCGAGGGTGACACGACAGTGCTGAAGCCCGCTGTAACTTTGGCAGACGTTGAACTTCGTCATTAAAAGCACGGGAATCGACCATCAGACCCCTAGTCTCAGCATCAAATACCCGCAGGCATGGAGATGCACGAGCACCTCGCACATCAGAAACCTTGATCAAGCAAAAGAATCCCCTGCATTTCTCATCCTCCACTTCCACTCCTTGCCCTTCAATCTCTCCTCCCGTTCCTTCCTCTCCTTCTTCTTCCTTTCATAAACCGCCCGCACGGTCCGCCTGACCTTTTCCTCGCCTTCACTAAAATTGGTTCTGGCCAATTCAACTACTTTGTCGACTTGCTCGGGTGTGTAGATGAAATTCCATGTCGACAGAAAATCCGACTTATCCGGATCGACGCCGGGGACTTTGGGATGAGGCAGTAGTGGGAAGTAGATTACGGCGAGGCCGGCGTCGGGACTCATGAGGTGGAACTGCGGCGAACTTGGGTTTTCCGTGTCGCCGTCGGGAATGTCCCAGTCCAACGTTTTTGACGGCGGCGGCTCTTCTTCACTGGACCGTTCAGCTTTGCTGCCGACCCAGACGGAACATGGTCCAAGAGTGCTGGCGGCATCGGGCGCGGAGCCTGTAGTCGGGCTTTCCGGAGCGTTACTCTTTCCTCCTGACGAGGCCGCAGCTTTTTGTTCGCGATCTTCTTCTCTTGCTTCGGCGAGCTTCGTGGCCGCTTCTTGCGCGGTGCTCGCCTCGGCCTCTGCAAGTGCTTTCGCGTGTTCCTCTGGCTTGGAGGCGGCTCTGGGCCATCCTGCCCCAACAGGCCAGCCTTTGATGCCGCGTTGGCGGGTGTAGCCATCGACCACGGAGAGCCAATTCTCCTTCTGTATATCTGCCGAAGCATCGAACGCGATGAGGATGTCCACGTCACGGCCGGGTCGGAGGAGAGGGTAGATCGGGAGATTGTTGGACATCCCGGCGTCCATCAGCTGAAGGTGGTCGGTCTTGAAGACAGAGTCGGGACAAATTGAGGGGAGTTGCCCATCCATGCCATAGACGAAGTTGGGAATCGTGGCCGGCTCGATGGGGTGGATTTTGATGAGGTCTTCGTTCTTCCCTTCGAGGAGCATATTAATCCCATCGAAGCCGACCATGCCGAGCAGAGCGGGCTTGATCTCCTTGTAGTAATGAGATAACGTGGCACAAAAGGCTGAGCCCCAGATCCCGAGGAGGAGACTCTGGCGGATCTCTGGTAATGTCACACCGGTTTCGAGGACCAGGTTTTGTCCATTCTTGAATGGCCGCCCCAGACTCCAGGTGGGTATGCCCGCGCCAAACTCTTCGCACCAGATTTCCCATGGATGCATCTCGAACCATTGAAACCATGCTTCTTTCCTTGCGACCTCTCGGACCTTCTGCTTGAGTGCCAAATCGCCTTTTGCTGCCTCTTGTTCCTCCACATCGACCGGGATCTCGTGTCGCACGGCAGTGTAGATTGGCATAGGGAACTGACCATCTTCAATGTACATGCGCTGATTGGACAACTTCAGATCCGCGTCGTTCACTGCCAGATCACCATGTGGAACGAGAAGCCTCGCAGCAAGAAGCAGGCTGTAAATGTCGACCAACCCAAAAGTGGCACCAGGGTCTCCCTTGAGCTTCTCGATGAAGCCACTGAGGATGAATTTGTTGGTTGGAGCAGAGGTCACGAGCTTCAGTGCAGGCGGAGGGAACGCGATGTGTGTCCCGATGCGCGACTTGATGTGTTTGAGCAGCTGTCGATGGTCTTGCTTCCCCAAGGACGAGTAGAAGAGCGTCTGTAGCCAACAACTACCGCTGACCCCAGCGGTGTATGTTACGCAGTCGAAGAGACCAGCCTCTTGCGCAGAGAGATAGCTGCTGGTCCCGGCCACCATTGCTCGCAGGCCACCGCCAGAGCCGCACATGGCGATTGTCGGCACATCGTCAGGGTGTATCTCTTTCTCGTCGATATCGAGGTATTTCGCCAATGCCTTGACCACGTACTTTTTCCGTTTCCGTCGAAACTCTAGCTCATCCTTGCCGAGGGAATCTCCAACACGGACGGTCGCGTTCCACGTAATCTCGGGGTTGATGGACGGATCATGCGCCTCTCGCCATATCTCATCGGCCAGACTTCCAGGCTCCATGGACAGCTCGAATTGGAGCTTCGCGAATCCATCAGGCAGAAGTTTGGCCCAGTTGGGGACAACCCAGTCAACAATCTTATCCCCTAGGGTGGCCCATTCTATCCTGGCAATGCCCTCGGTGACATTGTCGAAGTTTCTTGAAAAGGCAGCCCACGAGTTCTCGTCGTCGCTTTCAAAGAGAGGGACATATCGGTCGGGGTCATTGCTTCGGTCGATGACGGCAGCGTCGCCTCTTTTTGTAGCGTGCTTAGGATCTTCGACCTGAGCATAATGGCTCTGGAGGCGGCGGCCGTACGCGATGAGCGAGGCATCTTGTGGGATTTGAGGGCTTGGAGGGCTGTCGAGTCTGACTAGGTTGCTGCGTCGCGTCGAGCTATGTATGCCGGCGCATGCGGCAGCAGCTAAAGCGATCGCCGGGTAGCGCAGGCGAGACGCGGTGTTCAGAAGCCTTGCAGCGCCCATGGTCGGGGAGAGCGCTGCAAAGAGGATATTATCGGAAGTCAAGTTCCATGCCTATCCGCCACGTGGAAGACAAAAGGTCATCACTGCCCCCCTGGCAATCATCCTCGCCCATGTACCATGCAGGATTTTGTTGAGGGCATCACCAGGATCGCGTTAAAAATGACGTGTAGGCAGTGGCTACAATGGATCTTGGTTCCGGCCACGCCACGCCACGCCACGCCGAGCCGAGCTTGCGCGACGCCCAGAAGCCCGGCAGCACGGGCGTCCCGGGTACCTGGACTAGCCCTAGCACGGAAAGGCGGGCATGAGCCTCCGGGGCAAGCAGCCCGCACCGCCCAGCAACCGCCGCGACAGGACTACAGTGTCTTAGTCTGACTTGTCTCTAACATCGCACATCCCATCGCTAAGGGTTATATCAAACTGCACATATGCTATCCAGCACCTGTTAAGCAGTAGTCAGTCGCTTCATTATCATGGCATCGCAGAGATCGCCCAGAACGCTGCAATGGTGAAGCACAGTCTGACATCTTGGACGCTGTTTCAGACCGGATTCTTGAGCCAAATCACATCTTGACCATGGCGGGACCCAAGAATGCCGCCTTTGCGGAGGAGAGCGCCGAGGTTGAGGTCCTCCTGGCCTCTCTGGGAAAGACCAAAGACCTTACCAAGCGGATTGCCGCCAGTCTGTCGCGCCTCGACGTGAGCGGGAAGATCGTCAAAGATGCCATCGGACCCATCTATGCCAACACGCAACAGCTCCAGATCACGAGTCGTAACATCGAGAAGGTCAATGAAGCCATCGAAAAGCTCAAGCAGCCTCTGGACTCACGAGGACGCGAGGAGGGCATCATCCGTGCTGGGCCCAAGAGCGCTGGGCTGCCACAGTATCTGGGCGCCTTGAAGCGTGTGGACAAGGCCCTCAGCGACATGAGCTCTACGAACATGAGATCGAACCAGCAAGCTATATCAGAATTCCACAGTCTGCTGACGACTGGCGTCAATCAGTTGAATGACATGTACCGGCAAATGCTACAGGAGGATTCCCAGACCCTCGAACCACTACATTATATCACTAAACAAATACCGTTCCCGACATTCTCCAACGACAAGGCGCAAAACCTGAGCCAGATAGCCATGGCGATTGCTTCAGCCGGGGCCCAATCCGCCAGATTGGGTCAACGTGACGACGACGTCGCAGCGCGCATCTACTCAGAAATAAGAGCCGACTACCTCCAAGGAAGTCTGCAAAACCTGGCAACAGCATCCATCATGACGTCGAAACGACGAGGCGACGACACTGGCGTCTATCGTGAAGGGTCAAGCGGCGTGGGCGCCTACGTGAAGGCCATCGAAGGCATGTTCCTCGCCGAAGCAGAGAACACGTCGCGGATATTCCGCAACGACGCCGGCCGTGTCCTCACTTCAACCTGTGGCAAAGCCATGGCGACATTCTCACGCACAATGTCCGATTTGAACAATGTCATCAAGCCGCGCATCTTAAGCGACTGCTTCCTCGCCTACGAGATCCTGGACCTCGTAACACCACTCGGCTATCGGCTCGAACAACGAACCGGGCAACTCCGACCACAGTTCGCCGAAGCACTGCGCCCGTTGCGTGACACCGCCCGCTCATCCCTGAGCGAACTCCTCACGCAAACCAAGAGGCAAGCCGAGTCGACCTCGACGCTGCCGCCCGACGGCAACACCATCCCGCTGGTGTCTCAGACCGCGACGCGCCTGCAAAACCTCGCGACGTTCGACCGGCCCATCCTCGCGCTCCTGTCCTCCATCGGCGACGGCAACTGGAGGTCCGCCCCCGGCATGGCCTCCCAGTCGACGCTCAACCTCGAACTGACGCCCTCGACCGAAAACCCCACCCTCCTCTCGCACTACCTGGTCGACCTGGTCGATGGGCTGCTCACGACCCTCAACACGCGCTCTCAGACCCTCCACCCCAAGAAACCCCTCCAGGGGATCTTCCAGCTCAACAACATCGCGATCGTCACTCGCGCCGTGCAATCGTCCCCGGACCTCGCCCGCTATCTGGGCATCTCGCCGCACAACGCAAAACTCGAGTCCTACAGGAAAGCCGGCTCGTCGCTGTATCTCACGGCGTGGCGCGACCCGGCGAACCATCTCTTCGACCAGATCCAGACGTCTGGCTCGCGGCCGTTGTCGTCGGGACAAGGGCCGGCCATCGACTCGACCAGCATCATCAAGTCACTGAACAGCAAGGACAAGGACAAGATCAAGGAGAAGTTCCGGCTCTTCAACGCCAGCTTCGACGAGTTGGTCTCCCGCCACAAGTCGCTGCACATGGAGAGCGAAGTGCGCGCGGGCCTGGCGCGCGAGATCCAGAGCCTGATCGAGCCGCTGTACGCCCGCTTCTGGGACCGGTACCACGAGGTGGACAAGGGCAAGGGCAAGGTCGTGCGCTACGACAAGGGCGCCTTGGCCGCCATGCTGGCGAGTCTTTAGAGCGGACCCGCGGAATGGGCGGGCACAGGCGCGGGCGCAACGAGGACGAGGATCGAAGTCCCAGACCGGAGCAAGGGCGGCATCCGGGTGGTCAGCGATGAGAGCGTAATAGCGAGGAGAACCTAGGCGTGCTTACGTGCGTGCGCGCGCGCGCGCGTGTGTGGATACTGATACGTGCCGTGTTTCCTCTGGAAATTGTGATGAGTTCTGGCTGGTGACTTAGAAGGACGAACACAGGATGCCGTGGACATTGGATACTGTAGTGAGCGCGTTGATCTTGTGAGAGACAGAAGATGCAAATGGACATCATGGAATCGGATACAGTAACGCTGTCCATTGCTTTTCTTCTCATTTCATTGTCAGTCGAATACAATACACATGCCCTTGGCTCTATGGTTACATCCCGCGTGCCGCTAACATTCATGTCAACGTTGACGCGTTTCGCCTGCGCCGAGCTGATTATGCTGAAACGCTCGTCCTGCCTGCTAGCCAGCCCGCGAGCGCAAATATGACCCGGTCGAATTGTCAACCTCCCACAAGCAACTAATCAGGTGATGAAGGAGAAGCTGGCACCGCACAAGGCAGCACAACACAACACAGCGTCCGTACCCCGTATGTACGTGCCGGCGATTCCAACACACCCATCCAACGTGCTTGTTGACCGTCAACGCCGCACCCATCAACCAAGAAAGGTAAAGCCGTAGCCGTGGCCGCAGTCGCAGTCGCAACCGCAGCCGCAGCGACTCACGGATTCATGAACAAGTCCACAATAGCTTTCTCGTCCCTCTCCCGATCGGGATTGAGAATGAACCGCACGGTGCCTTCTCTGCCTCTCTCGCCCACGCGCTGCCTAACGCCGATTACAGCACTAGGAGCGACTCTGGTGTCTCTGTCCCCTGTGGTGCCACTGGGCCCGGACAAAGAAGCTCCACCGGCACCGACACTGCTGTTCGTGTTTGTGTTGGCGCTCCCACGTCTCGGACTCGTCACGTCCCGAGGACTGACGCTGGCGTTGACGTTGACGTTGAGATGCTTCTTGGAGCCATTAATGCCGTTGATGCCGTTCGCCGCCGCCGCCGCCGACGCCTCGTCCTCACCGTCGGTGTCGACCCAAGCGGTGAATCTCGGGATCTTCTTGTCCGCGCTCTCCTGGTTAAGGGGGATGCGCACCTCGAGGAACCGATCGACGGGGAGTTCCGGCCCGACCACGCTCTGGTTGCGATGGTGGGTGTACAGTTCCAGGAGATCGAGGAGTGTCTCCATGACCATGCCGCGCTCGATCCTCCACTCCGTGTAGTCTTGTCCTTGCCACACGGGTTCGAACTCCTCGCCCAACAGCCGGCCAGCGAGTTCGAGGCAGGCGAACGCCATGACCGCCGTGGTTTGCTTGACGGGCGCCCATGTGCGGTAGAGGTCGAGAGAGATGGTGTATGCGAGTTTCACGACGGGGGAGCTCTTCTGGAAGCCGTAGTGTTTGAAGAGTTTGATCAGGAATTCCTGCGGGTGGCGGTTGCGGAAGTCGAAGCCCGAGGCTTCGAGCATGAGGCGTTCGAGGCCGATGATGGTGCGGGAGTGGTGTTCGAAGACCTAATGTCGAATGCCGAGGGTTAGACGATGACGATAGAGAAGGAGGTGTGATGCCAGTGTAAAGCGTATATCAGTCATGTGCGAGAGGGCTTAGGGGACTTACCTGGTCGTCTGGTGAAAGTTGTTCATTCCGAGGTGCTTTGAGATTGTGCGCCGCGCAGAGAATGTCTCGAGATTTCTTGAGTGTGTCTTCGATCTTGCAGGCCGCAAAGAGGGCTGCCGCCGAGGCGTCCTGTTATGGAGCTGTCAGCGTGCCGGAGTCTTGAAAAATGTGGTGGGCGACTGTCATCGAGACATGTGTGCAGGCAACTTACCACGAAGCTGTACTCTCCGTCTGAGTGCTGGAGGCGAAATTTGTGATAGTAGACCACAGCGGTGTTGAATGTTCGGACTGGTCTAAATGATCGCAAAGTCAGCTGAGGTCCTGGTTGGGTCTTGACTCGACAACACCTTTGATCTCAAGCGCGTCGAGATCCAAGTAGGAAACATTCGAGTTCTGATGGTCCACGTCGAGTCCGCGTGATGAGGCAAAACAAAGAAAGAGTAAAGAAATGACGAGACTCACAGCTTCAACGCCCGTCGCACATTGTCGATCCACTGCACGCCCGCCAGCCGGATGTTGTCCTCTCGCGCTTGGCTGACCCCATTCTCTCTCAGACGGTTCTGAATCTCCTGCTCGAAGACATAGGACTTTGCGACTTGGACGTAGTTTGGCAGTGACCCTGGTCGCTTTGGCGCCGTGCCACCTGATGATGCTGTGGGCGGCGACGCGGGCGTCGTGTTAGTCACCTCTCCACGAAGGCCAATAGCCGGTTGCGTCCCGTTCATTTTGTCATGAAGACGACCGCGACCGTGATAATGGGGTGAGATGCCGCCACATTCGCACTCTGTGTCCTGGGGGTGTGTTGGTGTTGCTGATGTCCTGAACTCGAAGAGAATTCGCTCGGTGCCGGAGAATTAGAATTTCACTACCAAGTTTGAGCTTCTTCCTGGATGTTGTGGATTTGTTTCGTGGAGACTGTCTGGGGGTGGTTCTGCACTGGACTCGTCGATGGCTGGAGGCAGCGACAGAGGCGAGATTGAAGATTCGGGGCGTGAGCTTCGGACCGAATTTCTGCCGGTGCCGACAGCCTCGTCACTCTCGCCCATATTGTCAGGCTTGATCTCGATAGACGGCGACGACATCTTGGGGCACGAATGTTGTCTGCAGAATTCTAGAACAAAGGAATCACAGAAGCACACCTTTGTGGGAAGAGTGGTCAAACAGTGAATCTCATAAGAGCAAACTGGCAATGTTTGCGCGCTCGCTGTGGGATATCCCCCAATGTGCCGCAGGTCAACAAGCCATGGTAGAAGCTGTCTATTGACGCAGCTAATCGTGCTTTTCGATGCATGCCCGTTACTCGTCTATTGCTAGCATGTTCAAGTCATGATTGCCATGTCAAGGTGAGTATGCCTCCCATATTCGATGGCTGCTGGTCGCCCTAGCTGAAAACATACTTTTCCGCAACGCTCAACGCCAGTTGGGTATGATGCCGGAGATCACTGTATCCAGGAGGACTTGGGCAGTATGATGACTGCACCCTCCTCGCCAGGTGCCTTTCCCATATAAAACAACGTACATTGTCGATCCTCGATGCTATGACTCGGCTTCGGTCACCTCTGGTTCCGTCTTGGTATCGACCTTCTTGACCTCACGGCCGACTTCGGCCTCGGCAGCATCGTCCTCACGTGCGCGTTTCTTCCCAGCAGAGGTGTCGATGTCAGCTGCACCGCTGTCGGCGACAGTGTTATGATCTTGGTCCTTCGTCTCAACGTTGTTGCCTACCTTCTGCGCCTCTTGCTCCTTCATATCCGCTTCGACCGCGGCTTTGGCCTTGGCAAGAGCTTCGTCGCGCGCCGAATCTTTCTCTGGTGCGGTGGATTTGATAGAGGGGATTCCCCTTCAGTAACGTTAGCTTGTGCCGTTGTATGCCATGAAATGTCTCTTACCGCTCGTCTGTCTCTGGCGCCTTCGATCTGCCACCTCCGCGCCATTCAGGCCGCCCACCATGACCACCACGGCCACCACGGCCACCACGACCACGGTCACCTCGCCTCTTGTCGTCTCGGAATCCCCGCTTCTGGTCTTCATCCCGACGTGTTCTCCAGTCTCTGTCATCGTCTCTGTCCCCGCGCTGTTCTCGGTGGCCCTTCTTGCCACCCCGACGCTCTTCTTGATTGGAAGTGATCCTACCTGCCTTCAGGTCCGCCTCCTTCTTGTCCGTGTACTCTGTCTTGCTCATGATTTGCAGGTCTCGATCTTTGTATTTGGGCTTGGGATCGAGCGCTAGGAAAGCCTGTGCCAGCTCTTCAGTCTCAAACTCGACGAAGACGCTGCCCTTGAACGTCTTCTCGTCATTGCGCCGCAATCGCACTGCTTTGGTCGGGCCGTACGGGTCGAAAAATGCTTCGATGTCGAACTGAGAGCTGGGAGTTTCCTCGCCGAAGCCCTTGACATACACAGTCCGTGGATCGGACTTTCCCGGGATCACCTTGAAGAAGTCTTCAGCCAGCGGCTTGATTCGTCGCACAGCCGTATCATTATCCGTGAGCTCGACCTCTTTGGAGCCTTTGAGAGCTTCCACGATTGCCTCGAAGGGCTGGAAGCGTTGCATGCGTTTGAAGGAATGAAGCGTCTTGAGAGGGACAGGCTTGTTTTCGATGCCTCCGACCAAACCAAAGAGAAACTTGTCTCTGGGCAGGTTGGAGTCAGAAAAGTAGAATTCAACCTGCACAGGATGCGTGAGCTTTCTTCAACCACAGCGGAGAATCGATCTGTACCTGTTTGCGAATTTCTGCTGGATCGTCAGTGATCTCTTTAGTGGTAGGATCGAACTTGTTGTTCTCTCGATGGTTGCGAGGCTTGTAGCCATCACGGTCGCCTCGATCCCGACCCCGGTCATGGTAGCCTTTGCGATCGCCCCTACCTCCACGATGACCCCGATCATTGTAGTCACGCGGGCCACGATCTTCGCGGCGCTCCCGCTTCTCATCTTCGGCATCATCGTAGCCTTCTTTCTTGGGTTCGTCCTCACCCTTCGCCGCAGGTTCCGTCTCTTTTGGCGCAGCTTCCACGGTGGTGTCGTCCTTCTTTACCCCATTTGTTCCTGCGGGCGTGTCCGTAGACGCTTTCTTGCCTTCGAGCTCAGCTAGCATTCGCTTAGCTTCCTCGGCGGCGGACGCATTGTCGTCCATGGGATCTGCAAGACCCTCGGTGACCGCGTCCTCGACGGACATTGTAATGCAAAGTGCGTGGGTGCACCTACTGCGAGGCTACACGAGGGTTGACTGCGGAATAGAGATAGAGATTCGAAGTGCGGGGAGAAATAGATGGTGAGTGACGACTCGATGTAATCAAGGTTGCTAATGAGTCACGGGAGGAAATAGCCTCTGCGACTGCGTAGATGGAAGGATTCAAGTAGGCTAGACACCGAATATCGCAAAAGATACAGTGAATGCGCGCAATCAACCAGTTGCACTTCACAGCCTGGAAAAGTTCAGAGGCAGCTCAAAATTTCTGCGGGGAACGCCAAGCACCAGCCTCGTCTGGCTTTGTTCAGCCTTGTGACCGTTGCTCTTAGCGGAGCTCGCGGGGCTCAGTCTCAGCTCACCCCGAGCTCACTCCAAGCCGGATCACAGTTTTCATCCTGCCGTCATCATCATCGCTATTGCAATAAGTCAATAAGCTCTGCCCTACGCCGACGCGATGAACTGGAATGTTACAAGTACATGATGGCCGCTAGAGTACTGTCCACGCTTCGTTGCCAACGAGCTCTACCTCTGGCCCTTATCTCAAAATTCAATGTGTTCTCCGCCTTCGAAGCTGGAGGACTTTGGAGGCTCAAATAATCCTAGAATTGCTCCAAGAAGAAATTACGCCACAGATTGAGACATTAGCTGCTAACATCAGCCCTTGCGCGCTCGTTTACTCCTTTTTCGCAGCTTTTCGCCATACTAGTCAATCAGTCAGCCTTTTTCATCAGAAGATCACTCTCTGCATCGCGCCTTGGCCACTTACAAGGTAAAATGCGAAAGGTATTGGCACAAACACAATGGTCAAGAACGCTAACAAGGTGCTTGCCCAGCCTATTCCTAACCTGTGAAACATAGCTGGTGCAAACAACGGAAACGCGGCTCCTGAAGAGAACCGGATGAATGCATTTCCTGCCATCACCGATGGAATTTCAGCTGGGTAAGCGTCCGGAAGGTAGTTCAACACCGAATTCTAGGATTGCGTCAGCTAGAGCGGCAGCGTGGACATTGCTCTGGGAGCAACTTACAACTACGAGCAACGTGCCGATGGCGAAGAAGGCTGTTCCGCATATGCACAAAATCCAGTGAATATCCGGTCGGGCACTCCATCCGAACCAAAACAGACAGACCGGCAAGCAAATGGCTCCCACCATCGACGGCGGCAGCCTGAACTCGGGCTTGGTTATCTGGCCGCTCTCGGTGAACTGTTTCTCTTGGACGGACCGGCAATACCACACAAATGGCGGCACCGATGCTAAACCACCGATGAGCAGGCCGATAAATGCCAGTCCGGTTTGACCGAGGCTGAAGCCATAGATGCCGACAAAAACAAGTGGGAACGACTCAAACCAGACGAAGAGTATACCGAAAATCAGCGCTACCCACATATGCAGCAGGAATATCAGCGGTTCCGTAAATGTCAACACCCAAGGCCGAACGATGGTCATCTGAGCAATCTTGACCACCGTAACCTGTTGGAATGCCATCTCGGCCTTCGTTTTGAGCTTGTCGTTTCCGGTCAATCTCCTCAGTCGTTGAGCTCGGCGATATAAAATGTTCTTCGAAGATGTTTCAGGAAGGAACACGAGGAGCATCAGCAGATTGAGCCCGGCAATCCACATGAGGACCCACATCGTCCATCGCCAGCCTTTGGCATCGGCGGCAAAGCCACCTAATAGAGGACCGAGAGCTGGAGGTTCGGCTTAGACACAAACAACATGACAATGGCCGTACTGACAAAGACGTACCTGGGCCACAAACCTGGAAGCGGATACATCAGTCTATGAAAGAATTGGCCAGGACAACGGAGGCAGTGCCGGATTGGAGTTAGCTGTCTGTGGGGAATGAATACTCACACAAGCGAGCCCCCATATCCCTATACCCAGAGCTCGTTTCTGCGGCGAATATAGCTCTGCAATCGAAGCACCGCCGGTGGCAAGAGCAGGCGAGCCAAGGACACCGGTGATGAACCGAAATACGAGAAGCATTCCGATATCAACTGAGAGGGCCGTCGGAACCTGCAGGACAACAAAGAGGGCTAAGGACAAGATGTACACTGGGTTTCGACCAATTGCAGGCACTTCGCTCAAGGGCGCAAACGTCATCGGGCCTTGATTCGGTCAGGTCAAGCTTGTAGGATCTGCCTGTTGTGGACTGTCTTACCGAGACCATATCCGAGTACGAAGACAGTCAATCCAAGCGTAGCCACAACTTGGCTCACTTGAAAGTCTTCCATCAGGCTGGGTATACCGGCCGTGTAGATGGACGACCCCACATAGACCGCGAAGGTCAAAAAGCAGAGCTGGAAGGTGACAGCTGCCTTGGTAAAGCTGGACCAGTTGAGAGGGTTCTGGCATATGGTCAGTCGTCTGTCACCGATGTCTGACTTGCAACAAGGGCTCGGACGTATACGCACCTCCGGGTCATCAGGCCCGTACCAGTCGACCAGGAGTGGATCCTTTCCTTCTTCAGCTGACTCTGCATCTTCCACGGGACTTTCCTCCTTGACAGAAAATCGTTTCAGTACTGCCGGACTCTCGTCTCCCTCGTATGGGAAAAATTTTCCGCCGGAAATATAACGAAGAAAACGACCGGTGAAGGAGTCGTGCACCAGTTGGTGCCACATTTTGGTTGTTGCCTTGCTCAAATACGAACTTGGTCAAACACGAACAGTCTGGGCATTGCTTGGTGCACTGTTGAGCAGCCACGTTCAAAGGTCAACAGCATCAACTCCAGGATGCTCAAGCTGAAGGTCCGCGTGTTTTAACTCGTGTACGAACTGAGTTACACATGTTATTCCTTTCGATCATTTGGCCCTTGTTGTCCTACATCGTACCAAAAGGACGACGATCTCCATGTCACCACGCCAAGAAGATCTGTTTCCTTGAACCCACCAAGATGATGCGGACCCGAGTGCCAAATGCAAATGTCAAAAGTTGGTTGGATTTGCATCCCACGGTCCATGTGCATTTCTGCATAGCTACAGTCACAGCCTCAGCCTCGCAACTATTTCGGTCACCGACTTCGGCAATTTTCAGGGTCCCACTAAGGCATTAGCCTCTCGGTCCGACTTTAGCCGCCGAGGATGAGCAGAGCCGCAGACCTTACAGCCTCAGAGTACGTCCGTCAGCCTGTCGGGGAATGTTCTGCCTTGCCAAAGTTGAACGGAGACCTGTATTCCCGAGGCGTCTTTGTGTGCTTCGATGCTCAATCCGGCCTTTGTGATACATAAGCTCCGTCACAGCCATGCGCCATCGACCGATCGACTTCTTTCCCTACGATGCAGGCGCGCCGACCCTTGTCCAATGAATGCCTCATTTCAGAACTCAGAAGCGAACGGCCCCTTCGCAGGGTCAAGCAGTGCATGACGGTGGCTCGCTGTCTAAAACCGACTGGGCTGACATCAACGCGTTTGCCTGGCGGCGAGGTTTGAAACCCCGAGGACGACAGAGAATCACCCGTCCCCGAGCCGTTCGATTGGCAGATGTCGCCGTGACGGGTTGCTGCACACGATAAAAGCGCCGCCTAATGCTGTAATGTGGTGTGGGCTCAGTGCAGCAGAAGGAATCATACCATCCCAAGATCTGTCTTCCCTGTGAGCGCATCTAGGCCGATCACACGGCACAATTTCGAATCGCATTCCAATACGATGGGCAGCCTCGAGCAACCTCAGCCTCACACCCCTGCTCGCCCCCGTAAGTGCCATCTCTCTGCCCCCAACGTGCTTGGCTTAGCTAATGGTGCAGATACGGGGGAGCGTTTTACACCAACCATCCACCATGACACTTATCCCGCCATTGATGTCTCGAACAGTGTAGGCGTGATTGGCAAGCACGTCTTCCTTACGGGAGCTTCTCGAGGCATTGGCAAGGCCATGGCGATTGCTTACGCCAAAGCTGGAGCCTCCATCATTGGCATCTCCGCACGGTCCGACATGGAAGAGGTCAAGCGGGAGATTGAGGACGAGGCTGTCTCGGCTGGACGCGAGATGCCCGCTGTCGTCACGGTCAACATGGATGTGTTGGACCCCGACAGCGTTCAGCAAGCCATCGAGCAGGTCACCCCGGAGTTCCAGGGCCGGGTCGACATTTTAATCAGCAACGCAGGCTACATGGAACCTTGGACCAAAATCGTCGACAACGACGTCGACGAGTGGTGGCGATCCTGGGATATCAACATCCGCGGACAATATCTCCTTTGGAAAGCCATGATCCCCTTGATGCTCGCCAACGAATCGAGCCTCAAGACCATCATCAATGTGTCCAGCATCGCGGCACACGTATGCTCGCCTGGGGCGAGCGCCTATCAAACGACCAAGTTTGCACTTCTGCGGCTCACCGACTTCCTCAACGTCGAATATGGGGACCAGGGGCTGATTGCTTACTGCATGCATCCGGGGTCTGTGCCCACGGAGCTGTCGTGGAAGATGCCCGACTTTGTGAAAGTCAACCTTATTGACACGCCGGAACTGATGGCGGACTCGGTCGTATATCTGACCCAGAAGAGGCGCGAGTGGTTACGAGGCAGATACGTGTCGTGCAACTGGGACATGCCGGAGCTGCTGGCCATGCAGGATGAGATAGTGGAGAAGGACAAACTGAAGATGAGGATGGTGGTTTGAAAATCCGCACCCGATGAGGCATGGAATCTGATTCCTGGGGCGTCGGTTGCCCATGTCGGGGCCTTGCGGGCGATGTCATAGTGTTCGTATTCTGGCCCACGACACAGGTCGATTGGCCACGGTTAGCTGTGATGCAATGCACGGGATCTGACCTGCTGTGATAGCTGTGCCATCGGCGTGCCTATTTCCTCCATACAGGGCTGGCGGAGTGGGTGTCTGGCGTGTCTGAGTCGCGCTGGGGAAGGATGCCTGTCGCTCGCAAGAGAAGGCGTCGGATCAGTGAAGCAGGCCAATTCGACGTCATTGAGCATATTCACGACGTTTCGGCCCCTGGGTATGCATTGGGGGGGTGGGGGGGTGGCACTGTGGGGGTGGTGAACGGCTGGTATGCACCCCTGCCAATTCCATGTGCACATGCGCCTTGTGCTTGTGAATTCCATTCCATTACTCGGGTCCGTTCCACCAGGCTCGGGTCTTGCCTGGCAGATATCAAGCCATGCGAACCTCAGGCACACGGGCTGCTGATTGCTGATTGCACATACAAGTAAGTCTGTGTTCTCGACGGTTTGGAGATATGTAGATACAGGAATCCCATGTAGGGACGACCATCTCATCTCCCACAGCATAAACCGAGCGTGCTGAAGAAGCCACTTGGCGAAGTAAAGAGCCAGGCAACCCAATCAGTCATACCATCTGCCATTAGTCACACTGCTGTACCCGCGTCGAGACTCGAGCCTGTGCCATGTCTCCCTCTCCCGAGGTGCTCGACAAGGCTACGAGCCATGCGACCAGCGGAAGTACCTCGCCGCCCACAACAGACAACAAGAAACTGAGACTGTCGTGTGACAACTGCCACGCCGCAAAGGTGAAATGCACCAAAGAGCGACCCCTATGCACGCGGTGCGCCAACTCCGGGACGCCTTGCATCTACTCCAAGTCGCGACGGGCGGGCAAGCCGAAAGGCTGCGGTAAGAAAGCAGGCTCGTTCAGCAAAGTCAACAGCAACAGCAACAACAACGGCACGCCTTCTCTCCCCACTGCTGCTGCTGCTGCTGCCGCCGACTTTTCGAGCCACCCGGACTCTCCTCTCTCAGACGCCCGTATGAGCATGAGCATGGACTTTGACGACGCCTGGAGCGTCGACCTATCCGGCAGCCGGCGAGGCTCCACGCTCGACCCGACCTTTACGACTCTCCAAGCCATGGCTGCCGCCGCCGCCGCCGACACAAGCACGTCGACCTCCTTCTCGCTCGACCCCACGCTCACCCAGACATTCACACACTCGACAATCGACACGGACGATTTCTCCGCGTCAGGGTTCTCGACCAACATGTTGTCGGCGTCCGTTTCGGCATCGACATCCAACTCGAATTCGAATTCCAACTCCGCAGACTTCAAGCTCTCCCCCGGCACGGAGTGGATGTGCGGCCTCGACTCGGGCGGCACCCATCTCCCCTTCACGACGGCGGGGCCACCGACGGACAGCCTGTCCTGCGGCCCCACGGCCATGCTCTACTCGGACTTCAGCTCCGACACGAGCACGCTCAACGACGACTGCTCCATGTCGGCGGCGTCGCTGTCTGTGTCGGGCTCGGCCGCGACCTCGACCTCGACCACCTCTCAAAGCTGCACCTGCACGTGCACGGGCTCCCTACAGGACATCCTCAGCGCGCTCAACGCGACGATGCCGTCGTTTGACAAATTCCTGGCCATCAACAAGACGGCCGTGCAGCGCATGGCGCACACGCTGGCGTGCCACTGCCTGCCGGACATCTCGTCGGTGATGCTCCTGTCCGTCATCATCACGCGCATCGTCCAGACGTACCAGAAGATCCGCAACGGGGAGCACCCGCAGGGATGCGAGGCCGTCGGGGTCACGCTGGGGTCGATGAAGATGGACAGCGAGGACGAGTATCAGATCAAGATGGTCTTGATCCGGTCAGAGCTGCGGAAGATCAAGGCGCTGGTGACGCGATTTCGGGACCGGTTTGAGAATTCTCTCCAGGGCCCCGATCGGCAGCTGTATGAGGCGAACATGGCGTTTTTGGAATACGGGCTCGAGGATACGATTAGGGGGTTGTGAGTGTTTGTCTGCCTCGTACCGGATTGGATTGTATGGCATTCATTCTATTGAATTGTACTCTATAGCGGGCATTATGTGAGGAGTTTGAGTTTACCTAGAATTGGCAGGGCGGACTGGCTGGCTGGCTGGCTGGCTGGCCATGGGCGGCGATCGGGCCTTACCGACTCTATAGGTCCCTAGGTAGGAGGCAGCTTAAAACTGTACTTTGTCTTCTGATCTGTGGTTCAACGGGAGCGTGGTAGCACAGGCTACACTGTGGGAGTACTGGGCGCATCACGCTGTTGTTTCCTTCGGTGTTTGATTGACACACACTCTCAACCGCATAGCATAGAATAGCATGAATAGCATAGAATAGCATCCTTGGTCAAAGTGCAATGTATTGTGGGCTTCTCAGAGAGTACGGAGTGGCTGAAACGGCTTGACACAGCACGGCAGAGCAGAGCGAGCAAGCAGAGCAAGCAGAGCAAGCAGAGCGAGCAAGCAGAGCGAGCAAGCAGAGCAAGCAGAGCAAGCAGAGCAAGCAGAGCAAGCAGAGCAAGCAGAGCAA